TTTTTTCTTGTCTTTTTCTTTTTCTTTGTCTCGTTTGGAGTTTTATCATTGCCCTTTGTCGAGGTTTTGCTAAAAAGAAAAGAAAGTCGTTCAAGATGCAGTCTGCTGTGCTGAGACGAGCGGGGGCAAAGGGCCTGCGCAGTTGCGGGTGCAGAGTCCCGAGAGCTTCGTTGGCGACGCTGGCGACGTTTCGACCTCCTACAATCAAGAATGAGCCCAACGTAAGTAAACGGTTGGTTTAGAAGACTTGAAGAGAAAGCTTTGATGCTAATGTAATTGGTTTGATAGCAACACTATGCCAAGGGCAGCCAGCAGCGAGAGGGTTTGACGGCTGCCGTCGAGAAGCTACAGAGCAAGCTGCCTCTCGAGGTCCCAGTTGTTGTAGGAGGCCAGCAGGTATGTTGAATCTCTTTGAAAGCATAATCTTGACTTTCAACAAGCTAAACTAACTGAATGAATCCCCTCAGATCAAAACCTCGTCCCTCTCCAGACAGCTCAACCCCTCCGACCACTCAAAGACGGTCGCCTCATACCATACCGCCACGCCCGCCGACGTCTCCAAGGCCATTGACGCTGCGCTGGCCGCAAAGCCGGCATGGGAGTCGCTCCCCTTTGCAGACCGCGCCGCCGTCTTCCTCAAGGCCGCCGACCTGGTGTCCGGCAAGTACCGCTACGACATCATGGCCGCCACGATGCTCGGCCAGGGCAAAAACGCCTGGCAGGCCGAGATCGACGCCGCCGCCGAGCTGGCAGACTTCTTCCGCTTCAACGTGCAGTACGCCCAGGAGCTGTACAGCCAGCAGCCCGAGCACCACTCGCCCGGCGTGTGGAACCGCCTCGAGTACCGCCCGCTCGAGGGCTTCGTCTATGCCGTCAGCCCCTTCAACTTCACGGCCATTGCCGGCAACCTGCCCGGTGCTCCGGCCCTCATGGGCAACGTGGTTGTCTGGAAGCCCAGTGACTTTGCCATTGCGTCCAACTGGCTGGTCTACAACATCCTTCTCGAGGCCGGCCTGCCCAAGGACGTGATCCAGTTCGTGCCCGGCAACCCCGTCGAGATTACCAAGACGGTCCTGGAGCACAAGGAGTTTGCGGCTCTGCACTACACCGGCAGCACTGCCGTGTTCCGAAAGCTCTACGGCGCCATTGGCGAGGGCGTTGCCGAGGGTAGATACAGATCGTACCCCAGGATCGTGGGCGAGACTGGCGGCAAGAACTTCCACCTGATTCACCCGTCTGCTGATATCGAGAACGCGGCTATCCAGACTGTCCGCGGTGCCTTTGAGTACCAGGGCCAAAAGTGCAGCGCTACGTCTCGCATCTACGTTGCCAAGTCTGTCTGGCCCGAATTCAAGGAGCGATTGGTCTCCGAGACCAAGAAGCTCACTCAGGGCGTCCCCTGGGACCACTCCCACTTCATGGGCCCCGTGATTCACGAGGCCTCCTTCAAGAAGCTCTCGAGCGCCATTGACGAGGCCAAGAGCGACAAGGACCTCGAGCTCGTCTTTGGCGGCACCTACGACTCGTCCAAGGGCTACTTTGTCCAGCCCACCATCTACCAGGCCATCAGCCCTTCCCACAAGTTCCTCTCCACCGAGTTTTTCGGCCCCATCCTCACCGCGCACGTCTACGACGATGCCGCGCCCGATGCCTTTGCCAAGGTCTGCGAGCTGGTCGACGGCACCTCCGAGTATGGCCTCACCGGATCCGTCTTTGCCAACGACCGCGAGGCCGTGCGCTTCGCCGAAGAGAAGCTGCGCAACGCGGCGGGCAACTTTTACATCAACTGCAAGAGCACCGGCGCCGTTGTCGGACAGCAGCCGTTTGGCGGTGCCAGGGCCAGCGGCACAGACGACAAGGCCGGCAGCCCCAACCTGCTGACGAGATTCGTCAACATTCGGTCAATTAAGGAGGAGTTTGCGGCCACGACACAGGTGTCATATCCTAGCAACGAGGTTTAAATCAATCCGCCGACACTTGCATGATGGATTGGAGCACTGTGTAAGAGGGGTGTAAGGTTGATGATGTATGGCGTTGACATTTTTCCATTTTTTTACTTTATAATTTCTTTGCATCTAGGGTAGGATGCTGGCGTTGAGCGACGAGAATCGTCGACATGCATAATCTCCTGTACTGGGAGAACCCCATCAAAACCACATTGATGATGTTAAATTGAAACCAATTGAAATCAATTGAGAATAATAGACTATGTGATATGACGAAATGCGTGCGTGCTGTATTACCTACTCGGGTCATGATATGTAGCCTAATCTTTTGGCAGCAATGCTTCATACGCGCAACCCTGCTACTCTGTTACGACATGACGATTAAACACGACGAATAGGAGAAAGAGCTTAAAGCCAAGGCAGCCTTAACAAGGCCTTGAATACTAGTCGATGCAATACAAAAGTTTATACACTCATCCCCTTGGCTGAAACCTTGGGGCATCGAATCAGCTAACTTGCCCATCCACTTCGTATACACGAGGCCAGCTCCGAGCACTACTGAGAGGCCGGGGGGTTCACACAAAGGTCAGTATGTATTACAAACAACCTGGAAGTCATTAGCCATCGGCTCTCTCGAATAGGCTTAAATGCACGCCCACAAGGCAAGATCCCAACGGGCTGAGCGGAATTTGAGTGTTTTTGATGGGGGGGCGCAGCTGCATGAGAGTCGAGCCGTGAGTGGACGCTCCATCCCACGGGGATCTTGAGCTTGCCGGATTGCCGTGTGGAGAGGTGCTATGCTACGGTTCGATATGCCGGTACCTGGAGAGCAAGTATAACGTGTGTTGGTTAATCGGGTAGTTTATTTCTTTTCCTTCTTTTTCCCTTTTTGCCTGATAAGGAGAGCCGAGCATGGTACTAGGTATTAACATGTATGGGGTACTGTACCAAGACCTGGGCTTTGTTGGGAACGAGGGCGAGACACTGCGTCTTAGATTTCAAGCTGGGCATTTTCCAAGCACCAGCTCCCAGCGAGTCCAATCCAATTGCAGCTGGGTTGCTCAAAATCCTAATCTCTCCCTTCTAGAAATGCCCATTTTCCCTCCTCCTCACTCACTAGCGCAGCGTGGCGCAACCCACTGCGATCCAAGCGAAGTACAGAGGTAAGTGGGATTCCTTGGAACATTGCCACAGGACACGCGAGCTTGTCCAACGTGGTTATCGAAAAGACGAAAACCCCCGGAGCCAGCCTTGGAAGGGGGTCCGTGCAGAAGATGTCATCCGCAAAAAAAGAGGTTCGTATCGGAAAAGGGACCCAAGATGGCGCGTGCTTATGTGTGGGATTCCTGGGGCACGACGTTTGGGGGTTTGTTTGAGGAGCGGGAAGAGGGAATGTCGGAACTTGAATCTCAAGTCAATCCCTCGGCTTGGCAGTGAATGAGGGCACATGATCACTATGGATAAGAATAAACATGGGGATAAGCAATCCAATGCAAAGAAGAGAATAAAAGTAATACTGATAGAAAATGAAAACCATCCGAAAACGGGCTTCCGGAGCGCAAACCATCTCGCCTCGAGTCCGCCGCACTTCTCACCACTTTCCGCCCCCTTGTCCTTGCTGCCCTTCTTCTCTCTCCCCGACTTGGCAGCCCAGCGAGAGCACGAGAGCACGAGACTCGCCGGCGAGGTCTGAGAGGATGAGACGGACCGTGTCAACGGCAAGTGGAGGAAAAAGCAAGAGAAAAAAGCTTGGAGAGGCGGCGCCCAAGAAGAGCTTGCAGGGACGTTCAAGGGTCGAGGCTCGCCACATGGGCTGGTCCGGGCTGCTGATTCGTCCACTCGCCGGCGACACCATGGGGAGCACGCGACACTTTTCTCGATGATGCTTGGTCAATTGGCAGAGGCACGTTTTCGGCCTTCTTTTCTGCTCGAGTTACTTTTTGGTTCGCCCAGCTGGGGGAGGAGGAGAGAGAGGGAGGGGGTTGTCTCTTCATGTGTTAATCCTCCTTGTGCCGTCTTATCAGGACAAGGAGGTACTTGTGCCGTACCATACATAGTGAAATAGCTGAGGCCTGCTCATGGGCACCGTTCCTTTCTCTCAGACGCCTCTCATCTCGACCTCTCCCCTTTTCTCCGTCTTCTTTTTCTTTTCCTTTTTACTTTAATTCCTCATATAACCGCTCCGCCATCCGTCTTTCCAGGGTGCATAAGTGGTCTCGTGCCGCCCATTGCCTCTGTGCTTCTGCCGTGATACCTCCCGCCGCTCACCGGTTCTGCAAACGGGAGCCCTATCGCCATACTATCTCTCTCCCTTGCCCAACACACGACATTTGGGATTGATTTCTTATCTTCTTCTTTTCCTTTTATTTGCATTATCACCCCTGGTCAGACAAGAGATACACAGGCTCTGAGTACACAGCATCTTCGATCGGAAAGCGGACCACGTCCCTACAAATAAAAAAAAGAAAAGAGACACACACCAAGCCAACCCGCTGCAACACCAACAGCCGTGGCTCAAAAGCCATCTCCGAGCTTATCTCGGCCTACCACGAGTGGAAACCTCCCGCCACCAGAGACCCTTGCATCAGAACACCAAAACTCTCGGTTAAGCAGCAAGCTCCGTGGCCCGCATAATTTCAATCCGGTGCGCCTATTCTCTTTGGAATCGCGGCCGCAAGAAACAAGTTTCCGGGAGGAGGGTAGTGCCGCTGTCGTCACCAGTACCCATCGTCTCCTGCAACTTGCAACAAGGCAAATAGGTTCGACTGCGCCTCAACGGCCCTGCCGCGTAACTCCCTGGACGGAAAAAGAAAAAAGCAGTTTTTCTGTGACTAAAGCGGTCCCTGTTTTGTGTGTGTGTTGCGTCGTGTTGCGAATAGTTCGAACCTGCGGCTCCGCGGATCGCGGAGCGTGGCCGAGACCTTTAGACGCAGATCCAGTGCCGAGGGGGAAAACACACACACCCCCGTTTGCTTACAGAGGAGACTCGTCATCTAATCGGAGGAGAGACGCAAGGGAAAAAAAAAAATAGCTGCTCTAAGTCCAAAGCGGACCATGCCTCGTCCTGCGCTGCCGCCGACGCCCGGGTCCTCGTCTGATATCAGGGGCAAGGATGGCATGCAGCAGCTTTCGTCTCTGCAACTCGCCTTTGAGCTGCCTCCGCCGGCCATCCACGATGCAGCAGCAGATGCATCTCGCATCTCGCCCGTCGACTCCAAGCAGCAGCAGCAGCAGCTCTCGCCCCTCTCCACGCCGTCGCTAGGCCTGGACAACGTTGCCACGTCGCCAAAGACAGTAGTCTATCCCATGCAGGCGGCCGAGACGGTCAAGTCCCGAAGACGCTCGTCCGCCGCCACCACCAAGGAGCCCAAGGAAAACACCTTTGCCCTGCCGCCGCCGCCCACGCGCTCCAGGAAGATCATCCAGATGAAGCCGCGAACCCAGGACACGGCCGCGGCCTCGGCTTCCACCAAGGAATCGTCTGCCCGGGCCGCCGGGAAGGCTGCCGCCGCCAAGACCGCCGCTCCGGGGCCCGACGCCGGGGCCGGGGCCGGAGGTGCTTCGGCCAAGGGCGAGTCAACAACAAAGAAGAAGCAGCCCAGCGCAACGAGCGCTGCTGGCAGGAAAATCGCTCGCAAGACTGCCCACAGCTTGATTGAGCGGAGGAGACGGAGCAAGATGAACGAGGAGTTTGCGCTGCTCAAGAGCATGATCCCCGCGTGCACGGGCGAGATGCACAAGCTGGCCATTCTACAGGTTTGTTCTTCCCCTCCCCCCTGAATCTAAAAAAACGCAAATCCAAACCAAACCCTCACTAACACACAAACTCTCTAGGCTTCCATTGAATATGTCCGCTATCTGGAAGACTGCGTCGCCAAGCTCAAGGCCCAGCAAGAGCAATCCCAGAGCAGCAGACCCGAGGCCTCACACAGCCCCTTACCACCCATCCGCGAATTCCACCCAACCTTCCACGAGGACCCGGCAGACGTCGAAATGACCGACTCCGAGGCGGCCACTTCCCCCGTCTTCGCGCCCCAGCGGCCGTCCGTCTCGCCGGCGCTGCACGCCCAGGACTCGCGCCACCGCCAGCACTCGTACTCGTCCGTGTCGACGGACCAGCGGCACTACAGCTACAGCGCCTCCACGACGACGTCGCCTGCCTTTGGGCCGCAGATGTTTGCTAACAACGGCGGCGGTACCGGCTACACGCACAGCAGCACTTCGGCGTCTGGATCGACGCTGACGAGTCCTGCGTTGTTGCCGCAGACGGATCTTGATCATGAGGCTACGGCGGCGTTGCTGATGCTTAATAGCGATAGGAGGGGGACGGCGGCGAATAATAACCGCGCCCTGTCTGTTCGTGATTTGCTGAGCTCATGATTTTGATGTTCCGTCTTCATCCTCGTAATACCCCGAGCTTCAATGATGCGACGATTTTTTTTTCTTACCAGTTGTTTCCCTTCATTTTTTTTTTAACATCAATGCTCCGTCTGTGGGGGCCCTGAGCAAAAAATACACGATACCTGTCTTTTTTTCTGCTCCAATTTCCCCCCCTTTTCCCGCATCTTGGTACAATGAAAATCCAAAATTCAGAAGCAAACCCGTGGGGCAAGAGAAGAACATTGAAAAATGGAGTCTGTAATGGGATTTGAGGAGTTCTGAGGGTTATGGGTTCTGGCGCGGATCCCAGAGATATATACACTTACCAAAACATCTTTTTTCATTTCTCTATTTCTCTCTTCTTTTTCTTTTTACTTGTTTTAGTTTCAACTTTGGCTGGGCAACAACTATCAAACAATTGTGCGAAACGGGAACAGGACCGCACTGGAATCGGCACCGGGAGAGGAAATACCATGGCAAAAAGACGGCCCCTGAGATGCGTGGGTACTGATTTTTAATACCACGAAGAGGGGAGCCGCGATTTCTGGAATATAATTGTTCTTGTTATTTTTATTTCAACGTAAGTAGTAGAATTAAATCAATGATAATTCTTCACATCCAACGCCGATAATGTGTGTTTAATGCATATTCATTATTTGGAGTCTTCCCCCCCCCTTTTTGTAATCTTTCACTCCACTTCCTTCTTGCTTTGTTTTTCTTCTATTAGGCTTTTAATCTCTCGCTTCCAGCAATATCATCGTTGGCGTCCTTGACAAGGAAACTATTTATATTTTGTCAGTAAAGGACATATTTCGCACTTAATCTCATGCCATCTCTTGGAAACTCACTTGTACCAAAGAATAGTCGGCCCAATCGTCATCAGGTGCCATAAGCTGTGGGCGTCGATGCAGCCCAGCCAAGGCGGAAAGTCAAACAGCTCCATGCTCATGGCAAACATGACCCAGGCCACAGCCAGACCAGGCCACATGGCCCAGACGCGGCGGGACTTGCGGTAGCGGTCGAAACTGAACCAACTCCACAGGGCGTTCTGGATGACGCCGAGCACCACGTTGGCGGCCATGTTGTACGTGTAGTCCCAGCTTACACCCTTTAGATATCCGACGTGGCAAGTGTACAGCACCAAACAGAGCAGCGTCCATGCTCGTAGGACGGAGCGTCTTCGTGGGGTCGGGCGGTCGAGGCGGAAGATGCGCACAAAGGTATAGTACATTCCATACAGCACGCTGGCGCCAGCGGCGAAGTAGTCGAGCTGCTCGGTGACGGCAAAGTCGCGAGTGTGGAAGATGGAGCTAAACACCCACGAAGCAAGTCCAAAGTAGGAGAAGAACTCGTAGTAGGGCCGTAGCGAGTAGTCGGCCGGGATGAGGGCGCGCACTTTCTTGAGGCCCTGCCAGTGCGCCCAGAAGTTGCCGATCGAGAAGAGCACGGAGAAGGGCTCCTGCATGCCCATGAAGCGGTAAAAGGGCCATTTGCCGTGGAACTGGACAACGGGGAGGTCGGTGGCGACGCGCGCGCCGGTGATGATGTGTTGGCAGGTGTAGTCGCATTCGGAGGCGCAGTTCCAGAAGAGGAGGCGGCGGGACAAGGCTGGCAGATTCTCGTTAGCGGCTGATTTGCTCGATCATGTTTGTTCTTGTTCGTCTTTGGAGGGGCGAGAGAGAGAGTTACGGATGGGCGTGGCAGCCTTGCCGGGCGCGCAGTTTTCGGCTTGGCAGATCTGGAACAAGGACATCTGTCAGTAACGATTGCGCAGGACATTGAACAGTGAGGGCGAACATACGTCAAGACATTGCTTGAACTCGGGCAATTGATCACCAGTAGAAGCAAGACTAGCACCGGCAAAGAATGCTACGACAAGCAAGATCAGGGAGATGGCGCGAAAGCCTGGCTTCCCGCCATATGAAGCGATCATGTTGCCAGCATGGACGGAGGGGAGTTAACAATCCAGGTTAGACGAAGAAAAGAGAAGAAGAATTGGGAGACAAATGTCAGGGTTGTTAAGCACTGCGACGAAAGAGGGGACGTGGATCAAAAGGCCACGGTAGAATCAATTATTAGTAAGTGGTGGTTGATTCTGGGTTTGGGTGTGGATATGGATATTGATATGGATATGCTGGCTCTTGGAGGTTTGGGGAATAAGATTGAGCATTATGGAGTCGAGGTGTGGGCGGGTCGTTGGCGGGTAATTCGGGGTCAATCGGACAGGCGATTGGGCATCAGGGTACCGGTACGAGCATGAAGTAAAAGTACTCCATCCTGCACCACAAAGACTTGCGAGCATGGTGTAAGTCTTGCTGCTAATACTGCTGATGAGCACTTCCTCTCTATCTGCCAAGCAGACATCGGGGCTTTACATAATGTGAGATTTGTTTAATTGCAAACTTGCCGTGGATGGCGCTTGTTTTTTTGCCAAGGGATAGCTCTGTTGGTGTCCATCTCTTGGTGAACTACGAGTACCAGCTCCCGCTAAGCTTTAACGTTGGTGAATGCGGTATTTCAATGAGACGGGAATGTACCGGTACATGCAGACTCCACGTCACATGCAGTCCACTCAAGTACAGTACTCTGCGCTGTTCTCTCTCCAGACCAAACGAATCCGTCTCTCTGCATCATCACCACCGCCTGTCCAGCGAATTGATGCACCGCTGGCCTTTTGCCGTGCAATTGCTGCTTACTCGCCTGCGTATGTCCTGCCATTGAACCAGCGCCATTTCAGTCTGTCGCAGCCTTTTTATTTTATTTTGTATTTTCTGCCCTGCATAACATCACTCAGACCGCTAGCGCCGGTTCCAGCGCCGTGCCTGGATCCGTCGTTGCCCACGGCAACCGGGAGGGCGTTGATTGGCCGCTTTGTTTCGCAAACACCACCAGGCAAAAATAATCCTGGGTCTAGCTCTCTCCGCTCTTCATCCTTGATCATGCACCCCTTCGCAACGGAGCTCCCAGTTTGTTAATCGCCTGCTGCCCTCCGGATCACGGGGAGGCTGCACACGTAACATATTTTATCGATTCGGCAACAACCAGCCGCCAATTGCTGGCCATCCACGACCTATTTCGCTTGACCGCTAACCCGCAAAACAACAACATGGCGACGGCTGCTTCGCCAACTCCCATGGGAGGAGCCGGTCCTACCCGCCGAATGTCGCAGCGACAGCAAGCCTTGCGCCAACCGCCCTCACGATCGGCCTTTACCAGGACCGAGAGCCAGCAGGCGTCCTCGTTCCAAGCCCGAAACAACCCGAAGCAATTCAACGACGACAGCTCCGAAGATGAGATTCCCGTGCCTATGAAGCTCAGCGCCCTCACCAAGGCGCTTCTCAACGATGGCGAGCCCGAGTCCTCTCAGCCTGCAGAACGACCGCCCTCACCACCACGAACACGAAGACGGATAAGCCAATTGAACGCATCGACATCGTCCGTTTCTGAGAGGGGGAGGCATTTGAGATCTACTAGCGAGAAACCCGAGGACAAGAATTCAAGAGCCTCGAGTCCCGCCAGGGATCGTGGTGCAAGCCCCGTAACAAGGAAGAGGGTAGTGAGGCTCAGCAACACTCCACAGAGCCTGAGCCAGATTCAGCCTTCCAAGAGGCGCTCAAGCTCCTTCTCTCGATCAACGCAGCGCCATCAGCAGACTAGCAGACCGTCCAGTAGGGAAAAGTCGGCCGATGAGAAGCCAGAGCCACAGGCTGACATCAACACCCCCGCCCATGGCAACCGTATCGTGAGAATATCTACAAACTCCTCTGGCAATCGCAGTAGAATGGGATCAACAGGCCTGTCCTCGGGGCGCTCATTTGATCGATCTGTTGTGGACAAGTCTGCCGGCGAAATGGACTATGAGCAGGAAGAGATCCCTCAAACTGTTGCGCGAGACACAGCACTGGCCGCTAGCTATGGCAGTGTATCACGATATAACTCAGCGGTAAGAGGCCGACTGGATGATAATGCCAACCCTCAGAGCTCAATGCGCGTCAAGCGCGTCGGGAAGATCCCTGGAACATTTCTTAGTGGACCAGCACGGCGTGGTAGGCGGAGGCAAAGTGATGAGGATGCCGGGGAAGAAGGAGAAATGGATCAGTACAATCCCCAACAGGAACAAGACAACAACGTTGTGGAGGACATGCCAGATGTTGCTTACTATCCTGATGGAATCCGAGACTTTAATTCTGGAAGTCCTGTTAGTGCGAGTGCTTCGGCTAGGGCCCTCCATAGGAGACACCTCTCTAGCATGGACTCCCGGTCTGGGTCTGGGTCTGGGTCTGGGTCTGGGTCTGGACGTCCCTCACCACGGGGGATTGAGGTCGAAGCGGAGCCCCTGCGATATCCGCCATTGCAGAGGGACAATGAGGAGGCAGAAGAGGAGGAAGAAATACCGTATAAGAAATCAGTGCTTCGCGCCGAACTGCCTTCAGCTCATGATCAGGAAAACGACGCTCACCGGAGCTATAAGCGCTCGAAATCTTCCTTTGATGATGGGATGGACAAGGCTCCGCCACGACCCATGAGCGTCGACCCTATTCCAGCCAGACCTACTTCACCAGAGCGAAAGCCGCTGGCGCCCGTTGCCAACAACACACCTCAACGGCCTGCTCCCCCGCCTCCTCCCAAGATGTCTGTCATGGAGGCGGCTACATCAACGACTGGCGCTGCAGCCACAGCCACCTCAACGAAGCAGCGGAGGAACGTGTTGAGGGTCAATGGAAAGACTTATACCAGGCTTGATTGCCTTGGCCGTGGTGGCAGTGCCAAGGTGTATCGCGTAACCGCTGAGAATGGACAAATGTTTGCTCTAAAGCGCGTGGCTTTGGAAAATGCCGACGAACTCACCATCAGAGGGTACAAAGGCGAGATAGACCTCCTTGGAAAACTCGAAGGGGTGGATCGGGTTATTAATCTGTATGCCTACGAGATGAATACAGAGAAGCAGGTGCTCAGTTTGGTAAGTAACGGCAACCTTGCTTTACAACGAAGTTGGCGAGTTGAATGAGACTTGCTAATCCGTCAATTGATGTAGGTCATGGAAATGGGTGAAAGAGATTTGAATGCCCTCCTTGCTAGTCGCCAGAGCCCCGAGACTTCCAGGTTCGACCCCGTATTTGTTCGCTTCTACTGGAAGGAGATGCTCGAATGCCTGGCCGCCGTCCACCAGCATGACATCGTTCACTCCGACCTGAAGCCCGCCAACTTTGTTCTCGTCAAGGGCAGACTCAAACTTATTGATTTCGGCATTGCCAATGCCATCCAGACCGACGAAACTGTGAATGTCCATCGCGAAACCCAAGTCGGCACACCCAACTACATGTCACCCGAGTCCCTGCTAGACTCCAACAACCCACGCGGCGGTCGTCTTCCTGGCCGCCCTAAGCTGATGAAGCTCGGAAAATCCAGCGACGTCTGGTCACTGGGCTGTATCCTCTACCAAATGGTTTACGGCATGCCGCCCTTTGGCCACATTGCGAACCAGATGGCGAGATGCCAAGCCATCATAAACTGGGATCATCACATTGAGTTCCCTTCTCGCGGCATAGGCGGTGCTCCCGTTCCACCTTCACTTATCAGGACCCTGAGGCGATGCCTCAACCGAGACCACCACATGCGGCCGACGTGCGAGGAACTCCTTTATGATAGTGATCCGTTCCTGTACCCGGCAGAAATCAACAGCGACAAGGCCCTTCCCATCGACGAGGAACTCCTCGGCAGAATCATCCAGAGCGTTGTCTCAAGGTGCCGAGAGCGCATGCCGACAGAATCAGAGGGCGCAACCGTCTGGCCGCAGGCATACTGGAACAGCATACGAAAATCAATGGCAAACAGACAACAATAATACTAATGTCAAATAGACGGAATTTGTCTATACGAAATCATGAGCAGGATAAACCAGGACCATCAAAGTCGTCAAGGAGCAGGCGTTTTTTATCTTCGTTTTTACAATTTTTATATCTTTCTTCACTGAATGAAAGACTAGGGCAAAGGGAGAAGAGAACCAAAAGAAAAGACGGTTCTCATTATGTTTCACGAAGGCCTCACCAACTGGGTGTTGAGGAGTTTTTATCTTTCCCTTCTTTTTTGTCTTCCTCTTGTGTATATACACGCCGTCTTGCGTTAAAGCGGGTTATTTTTTTATGAATTGGGTACTAAGGAAGGATGACAGGATAGAATAGCTGTTTTTGGAGACATGGCCTTGCGGTATGGCGTGAAATGGATGTCACATATCATGACGTTTTTTGCATGATTTCCTCTTGATCAGATATTTGTTCTAATTGGTGCTTTTGTGCTGCTGCCTTTATTGTTTTTATATCCTTTTCTTTCTTCTTGGTATTGTACAGCCAGCCATATACGTATATGCTGGGCGCTAGATGATACATTTTGCCTTGGAGCGTCGTAACATTGCTCATCAAAACTTTCGCTTTGGCTTTTTCTCCCTCGCCTCATTTCATTTCCATTTCCAAAATTGTTACCAAACTAGACTTCATGAGGAAGCCTCAACCTCATCCAGATTCTTAATGTTCAGCTCAGAGATGCGCAAGATGGTATATCGATGCTTGCTCTTAGCCTGACGCTTTCTCCTCTGTCTCCGCTTCGTCTTAATCTTGATCCGCAGCGGCTCTGACTCGGTCCCCAGAACAGTCGCACGGCACTCAAACACCCTCTCGTCGACGTGGGGAGCGCCCTTCAAAGTGTAATCTCTGCTGCCGATGATGCTGGCACGATTCAGGCGCAGCACGTCTCCAGGGAGAACACCGGGCATCTTGAACGGCAGACGAATCTGGTCGCCCTCCTGGACTAGATACGGGAAGCCGTGGATGTGGATGGTGATGTAGTGGCCGGGCTGGGCGGCGAGGAGGGGCAGAAGCGTCTTGACGGAGTCGGTGATTGGCGTGGGAGGCTCGACAGGGTGACTCTTTTTGAAGGCCAGGGGTCGGACTTGATCCTCGGTGGGATTGGGGGCATTGTTGACGTGAAACTGCGCAACGGGCTCGACAATTGGCGCCGTGGAGTTGAAGCTTCGATGCTGGATGTGACGAAACGGAGCGAATAGAGGGGCGATGCGGGAGCTGGGAGCCCTAAGCTCCAGCACGGAGCGAAGGAGTGCTCTACTCATGTTGAGGAGATGCGAAGTAGCAACCGCAATGCCCGGATTTTTGCAGCGGTTGGCACTATTTTCTCAGCTTGTAGGCGGATTGCATACAAAAAACCGAGAGCCCGGTATGGTGTTTTCAATGGCTCGATGCAGCTTTGCGATTTGCGGGCCGGATTAGTGTGGCGCCGGGGTCCGAAGGAAATCTGGTTGACGAGCCAATGTATTTTTTTTTTCGACGCTGGGAATTTTTGCACCGTACTAGGTTCAGTCTCCACTGGGTTTTATACAGACAAGCAAAGTCCAGGAACAACACCGCCAGCATGGTATGTTTTTTCTTTTTGCAGAGGAAGATGCTCTGATTTGAAGATGACAATGGTTGTTCTAACTCCTTGCAGCCTCAGAACGAGTATATGGAACGGTGGCGCAAGCTGCACGGCCGCCGTCTCGACCATGAAGAACGAACCCGCAAGCGCATCGCCCGTGAAGGCCACAAGGCCTCGCAAGACGCCCAGAACCTGCGCGGCCTGCGAGCCAAGCTGTACCAGAAGAAGCGTCACAACGAGAAGATCCAGATGAAGAAGGCCATCAAAGCGCACGAGGAGCGCAACGTCAAGACGGCCGACAAGAAGGAGCCCTCGCAGCCCCTGCCCTCGTACCTGCTCGACCGATCCAACCCGTCCACGGCTAAAGCCCTCAGCAGCGCCATCAAGAACAAGCGCGCGGAGAAGGCGGCCAAGTTCAGCGTGCCGCTGCCCAAGGTGCGGGGCATCAGCGAGGAGGAGATGTTCAAGGTCGTCAAGACGGGCAAGAAGGTCCACAAGCGAGCCTGGAAGCGTGTCATTACGAAGCCGACGTTTGTGGGACCCGATTTCACTCGACGAAACCCCAAGTACGAGCGCTTCATCCGGCCCATGGGTCTGCGTTACAAAAAGGCAAACGTCACGCACCCGGAGCTGGGCGTCACCGTGCAGCTGCCCATCATCAGCGTCAAGAAGAACCCGCAGAACCCCCTGTACACGCAGCTGGGCGTTTTGACCAAGGGTACGATTCTCGAGGTCAACGTCAGCGAGCTGGGTCTGGTTACTGCGGGAGGAAAGGTCGTTTGGGGCCGATATGCGCAGGTCACCAACGAGCCCGAGAACGAGGGATGTGTAAACAGCGTGCTGTTGGTTTAAAGTTGTGGATGAATAAGGGAGGAATCTGGATTGGGATTTTTTGACACTGGACCGTGGCTGTCAAGGTGCATGTATTGGCGTTTTTGGCGTTTGGTACATACGAGTGCTTGATGTGAGAAAGAAAGAGACAACAAGTTAGATGGGGCAGATTAGGAAGCATGGAGTCTTCCGAGGATATCAGTGTACTCGTCGTCTGCGAGAGAAAAAAATTGTTCATTTAAGGGCTCAAATAGAAGCAAGTCAATAATACGAGGACGATTCTCAATGTTATGGTTCAATTTTTTCATGATGATAGTATTCTCTCTTGTTGGCTAGAACCCAGCTTGCAAATTGGGCTTGCAATACATACCCAATCAAATCCGACTAGTTTTCATCATCTGCTTCTTCTATGTTGTCTAACTGGAGTTACAATACTAGCTACTATACGCTATGAGAATTGTCAATATCCATCAATTTCACATGGATCCTTATCAGTCAATCCATATCGCCCAAATCTTCTAGCTCCAACAAGGCTCTGATTTTTTCAGTGGCTCTACCGCCACCAACTAGCAAAGACGCAAAACTTCGTCCCAAAAGTGGATAGCGGGGACCCTGTCAAGGCGGTGACAGCGATAAATTAATTTTCTGCCCGACCGAAAGCCTGCATTTCGCCGCTCCGACTCGAGTCCCTTCCCGCAAGCCAAAAAAAAATCCCATAAACCAGACAAAACAAGGCGCCTCCGTCCTTGTCTTTTTTCTTCATTCTACTTTTATTCCGTCTACTCGGATTAATCTTGTTTCTCTTGTCTCTGTTGCTCCCTTTCGAAACGAAAGAATAATAGACCGCGTTGGTGAAATAGACAGGCATTGTTTCAGCTTTCAAGTTTTTTTTATCTTCTACTTTCTCTCAAAATGAGCGGCGACAAGATGGAAGTTGAGTTGGCGGAGCAGAAGCTCAAGACGATGGAGCACAGCGAGCAGCACTACTTTAAGAGGTACGTTGATGAGCCCTGGGAGAAGGAGAGAGAGAAGAGAATTACAATCTTCTTCTGGTTCTTTGCTGTCTCAGTTGGGCAGTTTTGACGAATTTGGAGAATCCTTGGCTGACTTATACCTTGCGTCCAGCTACGATCATCACGGTACGAACAAACGAAAATGAATCACATATTGGCTTTTATAGGAGAATGCATTGTCTGACTTTTTTATTTTCTTTCGACATGAGCAGGAATCCACGAGGAGATGCTGGTGAGCACTTGTTCCCCTCCCCCTCCCCCTCCCCCTCCCCCTCCCCCCTCCTTCGTTTGCGATAGTTGCCCCTCTTCAGCTGCGAAACAGATAGCGCATATTGCAGTTATTCCCGTATCTGCAGGCCGAGAGGCGCCAAAACGACTCAAAAAGACATGCAGGCTGACGTTTTATGGTTGAAATGTAGAAAGATGAAGTGCGCACGAGGTCCTACATGAACGCTATCGTCCAGAACAAGCACATTTTCAAGGACAAGGTTGTTCTCGATGTTGGATGCGGCACTGGTATCCTTTCCATGTATGTCCGCAAAACCAACCATTCCCCCTCTTCCACGATTGCATTTCCTCGTTCAGACCTGCTTTGCGGGCAATCTGTCGGAACGACCCGGCGTATGAGGACGGGGAAAATATAAGAGGAAGAAAAAATAAGGACGATATTGATGCGGTTTCTGATTTAGGTTCGCTGCCAAGTCCGGCGCCAAGCATGTCATCGGTGTCGACATGTCCACCATCATCTTCAAGGCCCGAGAAATCGTCAAGGTCAACGGCCTGTCAGACAAAATCACCCTGATCCAGGGCAAGATGGAGGAGATTGAGCTTCCCTTCCCCCAGGTCGACATCATCATCTCCGAGTGGATGGGCTACTTCCTCCTCTACGAAAGCATGCTGGACACCGTCCTGTATGCGCGAGACAAGTACCTTGTCAAGGACGGTCTGATCTTCCCGGACAAGGCCACCATCTTCTTTGCCGGTATTGAGGATGGCGACTACAAGGAGGAGAAGATTGGATGTGAGTTTTCTCCCAAAAATGGTCCCTTTTCTGTTACACCAAGTCTAACAAAGGTCAAAACTCAGTCTGGGACAACGTCTACGGCTTTGACTACTCTCCTCTCAAGGCCACTGCCCTGTCAGAGCCTCTGGTCGATACTGTCGACCTCAAGGCCGTCGTCACCGATCCCGTCCCCGTGCTCACCCTCGACCTCTACACCTGCACCACCGCCGACCTCGCCTTCAACACCCCCTTCACCCTCACCGCTAAGCGCGATGACTTCATCCACGCCCTCGTTTCCTGGTTCGACATCGACTTCACCGCCTGCCACAAGCCCATCCGCTTCTCCACCGGCCCTCACACCAAGTACACTCACTGGAAACAGACCGTCTTCTACATCGAGGACGTCCTCACCGTCCAGAACGGCGAGGAGGTCCAGTGCAAGCTCGACGTCAAGCCCAACGACAAGAACCGCCGCGACCTGGACATTGAGGTCGACTACAGCTTCCAGGTCAACGATGCGACCAGGAACGCGTCCGGCCACAGTGCGTACAAGATGTGCTAAGTGTATATTTTTCCACTCTGTTTTTCGGACTGGGCGGCGCTTGGTGAGGGAGAGAGCAACAGATGAATCAAGGGGGGAAAGATGTAGCGGGATTTTCCAAAGAGCTGGTATGTTAGTTAGGGCGATTGAAAGATGGACAAAGGAGCTCTTGGCGGCGTATATATATGACTCTTTTTTTCGTGCGCAGGCTTGGGGAGGGATTAAAAAAAGGTAGATAGACAGACCATAGGGAGCGAGTAATACGACTCGGAATGAGAGAAACATTGAACCATATACCAGTGTCTACCTGAGCATTCTACAGGATTTCACGAAACAATGTGACTTGATTCAGGTGGGCATAATTCTTACTTTCAGTTACTACTAAACCTTGGTATATATTTCTCCCTCCCTCCCCGGACACTGAGAACTAAATGGGCATCTATGTTATTGAGTTGCGAATTTCTATATATCGCTTTTCAGTTTGTGAAATTTTGGACTTGTGATATTCCAGCATTTTTTGCCGTCCCAGAGTTTTCATAACCATCATGAAATTCGTCAACAATTTTTTTTCTGCTTTCCTTTGCTTTTTCCAATGTCGTCGCAAGTCAAAAACTGCGTGACTCGGGGTTCTCACTCTCGTCCACCTCTCTTTTCTCGTCTCTTTTTTTTTTTGGTCTTTTATACATTTTTACTGTTTTTCATTGCCGAGAAAATGAACTTGATTCATCATCAGACTTACGAGCCGTATTGCTTGATGATGCTGGCCACCTTGGTAGCCAGCTCATCAGCCTCGTGTCTTGTAGCAGCCTCGGCATACACACGGCAAGCATTCTCAGTACCGCTAGCACGGGCAAAGGAACGAGCCGTGGTGTATTTCCTAACGCACTGGTCAATCTCGTCCTGAGCACCGGGAGGGTGGCTGAGGCGGCGCTCGGCGTCGGTCGTCTCGAAGATGTCCTTGTTGGCCACTTCGACGCGGACGAGGCGGTTGGGCAGGTCGGTATAGGTAGTGGCCCAATCCTTAAGGGACCACGCCTTGTGGGCCAGAATCACCTCCACCATGAGCATGTCTGAGATGGCATCGCCGACGGTCTGGTTGATGAGGTCACCGACAGCAGCCAGCGTCTCCAGGGCGTCCTTCTGGGCGGGAGACTGGGGCTTCTTTTCTCGGAAGACGCGCAGGGCCTCCTGGGAGAAGACGACGGTGCCGTGGCCGTTGGCCTCAAAGTAGACGCCAACGTCAAACTGGCAGGCGGCGTGGTGCAGGTGCTTGACACCAGTAGGAGTGCAGACGACGGGAAGCTGCAAGTTCTTCTCAATGTATGTAGTGCTAGCACCGTTGGCGTAGGCGGTCTGGACTACTCCGATTCGCAGCTCCTCCTCTAGGCCAGCGGAGCGGACAAGGTCGCCGATGAAAGAGGCATTGAGGGAGGAGATGCGGTCTCCGTCCAGCATGAAGAAGCCAGAGTCGGGGTCAGCCCAGTAGTAGATCAGACGGTCTGCATCACCATCGAGCGAGCAGCATCGGGCTTCGGGGGTGGGCTTAAAGTTGGGAGGGGCTCGCTGCTTGGTCTTGACGAAGTCGGCACCGCACTGAGAACATTGGATGTTAGCTTGAATCTAGCATATGGAGTGATTCCTACTTACGTCGAGGTTGAGGACCTCGGGTCGCAGCACATCATCGTTAACGACCTTGACGTTGAATCCAGTCACATCCTTGGGGATGACCTTGAGAAGCTCATTTAGCTTGGGACCTCCAACGCCGTTGGCGCAGTCGACAATCAGCTGACCCTGGACCTTTCTGCCTCGCAGCGCACGGACAAAGGCCTCGGAGAGCTTGTTGTAGTAGCCAGCCTCGCTGACCTCGCCGTACGCCTTGGGGGTGCCCTCGGTGTTGACGCAGCGAGTCAGGTAGTGCAGCTGGGGGGTGGTGAGGATCTTGTAGTCGGTGTACTCGATGCCGGTGGCCTCCAGAGCGTCAGCCAGGGCAGTAACCAGGCTGTGGCCCGAGGGACGGGTATCGCGGCCGTAGACGACGCGGCCGGGGGTGTTGAGGTCGATCTTGAGCTGCGAAGCCAGCTTCTTGTAGGTCTCGAGGAGCTCCTCGTGGGTGGGGGCGTTGACCAGCAGCGTTGCGTGGGCCTCCCAGTCCTGCTCGAGCATCTCGCCCATGGGGTCGACAATCTTGACGCCGTTGTCGGGAGCAGGGTTGTGGCTGGCGGTGATCATAACACCAATTGCCTGGCCGTTGAGCTTGCGGCTTCGCAGACCAGCAATCAGACCGACACGGAACGAGACACCGGGCAGAAGGTCGGCCTTCATGCGGAAACCGGCGGTACCATACTTGTAGACGTGGCCCTCGACGATGGGGTGTTTGGCGGATGCCTCGAGAAATTTGGAGTCATCCATTCTGACGGTGAGGATATGTGTCGAGGCGGGATGGCTGTCCGAAAGGCTGCGTGGGTAGTAAAGCTGGGGGAGAGTAAGGCGGCGGGAGAGAAGAGTTGATGAGGGGTGAAGAAAAAGAGAAGAGGAGGAAGAAGAGGGTCAAGAGCCCAGGAGGTTTAAAAAAAAAAATAAGGGAAAAAAAAAGGAGAAGAGCAGCACAAGATTGTACGTTACAGGCGCAGGGCTGGCAGGTCAGAGAAGGCGGTGCGAGGGCTTAGAGAGAGGCCTTTATTTAGACCTCGCGGGTGGAGTCAATTGTGGCAGACCCCGTGGCGGTTCCACGCTTTTGATTGCCTCGATGGCCTGTGGCTTGTAAGGATGGATTGAGTGAGTGCCTGTAAGCCTCGATTTCGAGTGCAAATCAATGCAATGCAATTCCTTCAGCCTGCCGATCTACTATATATGGGTAGGTAGGTGGTAGTAATATGTTGCTACCGTACTGTAAGTGCAGCATCACAGAATTCACCCTCTGTAATCCGTATGCCCACATGGTATGGATTAAAGTCTATAATCCCTCAGAAAACAGCTCCCCGTCTCGTGTCATCGTCATCATTCTCAGCAGTCACAATCAATTCCAGGTCACGTTGCCCATCCTATGAGCTGTCACCCTCGGCCGTACCAATCAATCGAATGCTTTTGCTGCTACTCTATCGCTCACCTCCTCTCCAGCTGCTTCTGCTTCTCAATATTAGGGGGCCAGACGCAAGACCCCGCGTTGCTGCAACAGTAACATTGCTTGATCCATGTCTTCAACCCCACCCTCGCCAGTATGAATAGGGTGATTTATGATTTCATGTCAATTCGATTCCATTCTGGACACGGAGTACATGGCCGTGGCATGTATTTTGTCTGCAGAGCTCATGTAGCTGGAGGCCGCCCTTTCTTTTTGATTCCCGTCTCCTCCAGCCGTTTCCACAATGGAACTGGTGACTGCAGATGTAGTTCAAACGTGTACCTTGTCGGCCACATATACAACAGGTACCTCTAACCGTACCTGATCTGGACTTGTACAGGTACAGACAGACAGCCAGGAGTTCTGCAGCAATGCTAGCACCAACACGCTCCAACGTGCAGAAGATCGGCCACGTCGAGAGGCATTAATGCCGGGTATTTGGTACTAATCTCCTTGGGCACAAAGCACGACGCAAAAGTACTGTTGAGCGAGGACTCCATATTCCACACTCCATACGTGGGCTCGCAAATACGAAGCCATCTGTACTCCGTACCCCCCATCACATGTACCCCTGTCTTTTGCTGCTGCACGTTTGCTGCACAATGATGCAAGCCGTTCACGTGACCTCGCGCCTGGGACGAGCTTCGACTTCCTTTTGCCTGACGCGTGAATGAAAGCCATTGCTTGGACCACCCTGTAATAGAGCAACAGAAAAGACGAGACGAGACGCTTTTTTCTTTTCCTTCTTTTCTTTCTTGTTGAATCTCCTTTTTCTCCTATTTACGACGCTCGGACTGATGATTCTGCGCTCAACTCTGATTTACTCGTACGAATGGCGCTTCTCATATAACTCCTGCTGTCTCCCTGCCATTGCTCAGCATGGACGATTCTGAATGTGCAAACCCCCAATTTCTGGCATGGGTCAAGGAGTGGCTAGATTTTGCTAGAGAAAAAAATACCAAAGGCTTTACGGCGTATCGGAATGCTTACGAATCTCTCAAGGCGTGTCCCATAGTATTCGAGCATCCCGCGTCGCTTCAGCAGCTCAAAGGTTTTGGACCCAAACTGTGCGAGCGCCTCCAGGACAAACTGAAGCATCACTGTCAACAAAATGGATTGCCCATGCCTGAGCATCCACAGGTGAAAAAGGCCAATGAAAGAGCTCTTAACGAACAAGCGGGAAATGGTGACGATGCAGAGTCAAGGCCCAAGAAGAAAGCAAGGCAGCCCAAGGCTTATGTCCCTGCCTTTCGATCAGGAGCTTACGCCCTGATATTAGGACTCTCCAATCTCCCTGAGGATGTATCCTCTAGCTTGACCAAAACAGAACTTATAGAGACCTCCCAACCACACTGTGACGCTTCGTTCACTGCCCCGAGTGACCCGACAAAGTTTTACACTGCTTGGAGCTCAATGAAGACGTTGATTCAGAAGGAGCTCGTTTATGAGAGAGGGCGGCCTCTGCGTCGATATGCATTGACAGATGAAGGGTGGGCTGTAGTGAAGCGAATCAAGGAGACGGCCCAGTGGCGGGAAGAAAATGGCGCCAACGAACAGCAAGGACCAGGACGCCGTCCACAACCGTCAGTCATGGCGGCAAATCAGCCTTCGAACCTGGATACGGGGGACACTCAGCCGGCAGTTGACGAACCATCATTCTATCAGAATGTTGTCTCAGATGGCCCTGTTGTTTTGGAGGATGACGATCTACCAAGCTTCACCCCAATTAGGATCCCGCCTGGGTCCTTCACTGTCCACTTACTTCTTGATGTTCGAGAGGTCAGAGCAAAGACAGATCGCGACTATATGCAGGAGGAATTGGTCAAGCAGGGCGTTAAACCAATCATGAGAAGCTTGGAGATTGGCGATGTCCAATGGATTGCCAAATGCCACGATTCGACGCTGCTATCGAGACACGGCGCCGAAGGAGACGAGATTGTCCTGGACTGGATCATCGAGAGAAAACGTCTAGATGACTTGATCGGAAGTATAAAAGACGGCCGATTTCATGAGCAAAAGTTCCGACTGAACAAGGCCGGGGTGAAAAAAGTCGTTTATCTCATTGAAGAAATCTCAATGGATGCTGCCGTACACCAGCGATACGAGGAAGCGGTGCAATCAGCTATTGCGTCGACGCAAGTAGTTAATGGCTATTTTGTGAAGCGAACACAAAAGATTGATGATACAATCAAGTATCTAGCCAGGCTGACTACAATGCTTAAGCGCACATATGAGAGTAAACAGCTGAATGTCATCCCGACAAAGGCGATTACTGCGCAAAATTACTCCCGCCTAATCCAACATCTCCGTGAGAAAGAACCAACGGTGGCATATCACGTTAGTTACCCGGCCTTTGCATCCTTGGCCTCCAAATCAGAGACGATGACGCTCAGAGACGTCTTTCTCAAGATGCTCATGACCACCAAAGGACTCACGGGAGAGCGTGCGCTCGAGATTCAGCGCAAATGGAAGACGCCGTATGACTTTGTAAAAGCGTTTGACGCTTGTGGTACAGATGAACAAAGCAAGAAACGCAAGAGAGAACTCGTGGCCAGCGAATTGAGCCACCTGGTTGGACGCAAGAAATTGTCCAAGCCTCTCAGCCACAAGATTGCTGAGGTATGGGGGGACGCCTAGAGTCGATTATAAAGTTTGAATTCGCTTCAAAATGCTTAGTCTTTCTATGGATATCCTCAGCTTTTACCGCCAACGCCCTATTGCTTTGCCCCCTGGCTTTTAGCAACTACACGCTCAACAATCTTTTCAAGGAGAGGAATTGAAGCAGCAGCTCCGTCACCACCCAAGATACCGGCCAGGGACTTTTCAGCGTACTTGGCCATCATGTCCACCTCGATGTTGACGGTATCTCCCTTGCCCTTCTTGGCCATGACAACCCTTTCCTGAGAGTATGTAATCAACATAATCTCCCACCAGCCTTCAGCATCGTTGACTTGAGTGACGGTCAAGCTGGTTCCGTCAATGGCGATGAATCCCTTGTACACGATGTAGCGCAGAAACTCGGGCTTCTTGGGCTGGAAGCGGAAAGTGAGAGCGTTGCCATCAGGCGTCACGGAGAGGATGTCGGCGGTTGTGTCGACATGGCCCTGGACAAAGTGGCCACCCATACGAGTGTCGGCGCGGACGGCCCGTTCCAAGTTGACTCTGCTCGACTCCACTAGGGTGCCGAGGTTGGTGATGCGCAGCGTCTCGGGTGCGACGCCAATGGTGAATGTATCGTTTGAGAAAGAAGTCACAGTGAGGCAGCAGCCATTGACGGCGATGGAGTCGCCCTCGTGGCAGTCTGTGAGGAGGTTGGATCCCGAGGGGATGGTGATTGTCATGACCGAGCTGCCGGTGGCGGCATCATTCACGAGCTTGGAGATGACTCGGAATTGTTAGCTGTAACGTTGTTGTAGGTTCATCCGGCTTTTATAGACTCACCTCCGATCTCTTCGACAATTCCGGTGAACATGATGACTTATTGTGAGTGTAACTCTTAGTTCTGCTCTGTTAGAGATGTGATGAAGGCTTCAGCGGGCTGTAGAGTGAACTCACTCACTGAAAGTTGTTGGATAATGTCCGTGAATAAGCCGAGGAGGACTCAATGCTCCGTGAAGAATAGTGGGACTACTCTGTTATACGTTCCACGACGGGAATTGCGAGACGAAAAGGATTGATGGCTTTTTCTTTTTAGGGAGCAAGTTGTGAAAAGGACAGAGAAGCGATTTATTCACTCTGCTTCATCCAAACTACAAAGCAATGAGTCCAATCTTACCAATCCTTAGCCCGAGAAGTTCGTTTGATGCCAAAGCAGAGCCCCGCATCCATGGGGGGCGCTCGAATGGCTTATCGATAACGGTCCCGCCAAAATTTCAAGTTTTCAGTTGAATCGGGATGCGGTGCGACTGAGCGGCCACAAGTTCAGCCAACGCTGTTGAGTTGAGAATCTCTATCAAATTCATTGACTTTTCAACAAACCCTTTTGTTCCATTTTTTGGAAATTCAAAACCTATCACTCAAATACTTCCCATCACTACTTATCTATCTTCATACTTCATCACATCTCAGAAATTTCAGCATGGCGCCTCGTGCCGGCGACAAGAAGGATGCACCAAATCTAAGCAAACTGATTGCCGATGCAGAGACGCAGTACGAAGTGGGCAATCTAGACGAGGCCATTGCCCTTGCGTCAAAAGCTCTGGAGCTGACGGGAGAGGGCGGTGATTTCGAACTCAAAGCCTTGAACTTGCTGGGAGTCTTGAATGTCGAAGATGGCGAGGTTGAAGAGGCGCGGGACTACTTCCTGCGAGCGATAAAGCTGGACGAGGAAGGTACTCTAGATGAGAAGATTGGTGGTGGGCCTGAAAAGTTTTTGTTTCTAGCTCAGCTGAGTGAGGAGGGCGGCCAGGACAGTGTCCAGTGGTTTGAGCGCGGTGCTTCTGCGCTGCGAAAACAGATTCAGACTTTGAACGACGTCGCCAACAAGACACCGGAGCAGCAGGCTGCTCTTGAGGAAATGCAGAGCAAACTCGGTGGCGTCTTGTGTGCTGTTGCTGAGGTGTACATGACGGATCTGTCGTGGGAGACTGACGCCGAGCAGCGATGCGAGGCTCTCATCACCGAGGCCATGCTCATCGCGCCCGAATACCCCGAGACCTGGCAGACGGTGGCCAACGTGCGCATCTCACAGGAGAGACTGGACGAGGCCCGCACCGCGTTGAAGCGAAGCCTGGATCTCTGGCAGGACTTGCCCCCGGAGCACCCCTCAGTGCCAGAGTTCCCGACCAGAGTCAGCCTGGCGCGATTGCTCATGGAGACGGAGATGGAGGAGCAGGCTCTCAGCGTGCTGGAGCGGCTGGTCACGGACGACGATTCCAGTGTCGAGGTCTGGTATCTTGGAGGCTGGTGCCTGTACGTTGCGGGCGAGAAGCTGCGCGAGGCGAAGCCCCAGCAGCAGAACGGCACCGAGGGCGCCAGCGAGGAGTGGAAAGCGACGTGGGGATACGCGCGGAAGTGGCTTACTCAGTCTTTGAAGCTGTACGAGCTGCAGGAATACGAGGACGACAGATTGGGTGAGCACGCGGTGGAGCTTTTGCAGAGCATCAACAAGGAGCTTGGCGAGCCTCCGGAAGGAGAAGACGAGGAGGAGTGGTCTGGCATTAGCGATGATGAAGATGAGGATGATGACGAGGAGATGCAGGATTAGAAGTGGACTTAAAAAAAGGGTTTGGCGACATTGAATGAATGGACGGCGTTGGGATGGATGCTATAAAAAAGAAGATTTGGTTTTTCGACGTTGAGACGTGGGTAATGGAAAATAGTGCGTGAGAGCCTTTAGGGAATATACTAGATGTGACGATTTCAATTTCAAGACTGATATCAATACTCACTATTTCATTGTGTCAAGCTCGCTTTTTGTACATCATACAGGCTCACTGGGATTCAATGGTTGATTTAAAAAGCGTTTATTCCGCTGTTCGTCCCTCTTTTTCGAAACCAATAAAAATGATACAAGATTCCCAAGATGTAGACATTCATAACTCCCACCGGAAAAGAACAAAAAATAAAACTCCATATATGTCGTATCCCCAAAGATATATATACGCTCGCTCACCTCCCATCATCTAAGCAGCCTCCACCTTGAGCTGCTCAACACCATCCACCAACCCCTCCTCATCCTCCTCTTCATCACCCTTACCAACCAAGCCCTTCTCCCAAAGCTGTCTCCCCGTCAACTTGACAGGCTCCTTAATCTTCGCCTTCTTCAGCTCCGCCAACCGCTCCTCCTCCTCACGCACCCTCTGCTCCTCCATCTCCCGCAGGAACCCCTCGCGCCACTTGAGGAAAGTCTCCGGCGTAACAGGCGTCCCATGGAACTTTTTATTCTCCTCCCTCTCGGCAGCGAGCTTCTCCTCCTCAATCACCTTTGCGGCGGCGTCTTTACGGTCCTGGACGAGCTGCTCGGCGGCTTCCTTGAGGGTGGAGTACAGCGTGAAGACCATGGCCATGCCGAGGTTCTCCTGGATGGTGTCTGCGAGGTCGGCGAGCAGCTGGGCGCGGTCGTCGCCGACGCTGAAGTGCAGGTGGGACGGGCTGTTGTTGGAGGCGAGGATGTCGAGGTGAGGCGCCTCGTCGGGGTATTCGTCGGGGTAGCGTACCGAGAGGAGGAAGTTGGGGGGTTCTTCGTCTTCGGGGGTTTCTTCGTCGGGGATGTCGAGGACGACTTTTATCCGGAACTCTGTCTCGGAGATGTCTTGAGTGTGAAAGAAAACATGTTAGCTGGAGAAATGCCCAACTTCTTCTTTCTTCTTCCTGGTGATTTCGAGCTGCTGGGGGGCGCTTTACCTGTGATTTCTTCGGGAAAGATGGATTCGAGCACTTCACGCTCTTCGACCTGCTCTTCGCGACCCATTGCGGCGGCTGATTTGGTGTGTTTTTCTCTTTTTGCTGTGTGGAAGTCGCTGCTTGGTGTTGATGATGGAGCTTTTTTGGGTTGGCGGTTTACTTTCTTTAGGTGGGGTTGAGAGGAAAGGCTGTAGTTTTGGCGGGGTTCAATCGTGGGGACGGACGTCCTCTAAATTTGGGACTGCGGATTTGATGTTAATTGAGTGCAGATTCAATGGCGGGATTAGACAGATGATGCTGGGGTAGTTGTTGAGTTTATCTCATTTTATATTCAATACTGTATCAACATATATCAATGGATATTTGAAGTTGGAATATTTACAGGCATCGACACCTTACAAGGGATATTAGTGCATATATCCGTGCATCGCATAAAATGGCCATCATGTAAATGCATCACTGATATTATGAATCCAATGCAGTGTCGTATCGCTTCCCATCGCAGTACTGCACAAACCCGTCCAGGTCCATCTTCTTCAGCACCGTGCTGAAATTCCCAGACCCGGCCCCAATGCCTCGATGCGAGCACAGATCGGCAGCACGCGCGGCATCGATGGCAGGGGCTCCCTTGGGATACTCGATGTGGAAGACAGGCTTACCGGCCTTGATAAAGGGGGCAAACGTCTCGCACTCTGAAAACTCGGCGCACTGCTCGTTGACGGAAAAGTTGATAAAGTCGAGCACCTTGGGGATGATGCCACCGGCGTTTTTCAAGCCAATGGCCATGTGGTACGAGCTGGCCTCGGTGTGCAGGAACTGGAGATAGTTGATCGAGTCTTGGGCCGTGAGATTCAGCCCATTGTCGTTTTGCTACCCCATGACAATGAGACGAATTAGCACTGTTGCAATGTAATGTGTTCCGTCGTGTTGAGAAAAAAAGGAGGCTTACATAACCGTCGACGTTGTCGGGGTCAATGGCATCGCATCCCTTGGACGAGGCGAGCTTGATGCGGTCCCTCATGATGCTGCGAACATTGTCGCTGTTGAGGTCCAGCCAGCGCTCGTTGGGCCATCCGTCAAGGGGCTTGCCCAGATCCGACTCGTTGAACCGGCCCTTATCCGGCCGGAAATCCTCGTACGAACCGGCGCTGAAGTAGCAAATGACCTTCTTCCCGCGGCCCTGCAGCGCCTTGAATGTCTCTGCGTCGTTGTCAAAGAGGTCGAGGTCCCAGATGGCCACATCCGGGCTGGCGGATCCGTTTGTGAGCTTGATGGCGCCCTGGAGCACGATTTGCCACGTCGCGTTGACGCTGGGCTGCCATGTGCTTGTGCGGTTGTGATTGTCTGAGTCTGGGTCTGAGTTTGAGCCTGAGTTGTTGTCATTGTCTTGGTCAGAGTCGTCGTGACCGCCTCTCTGCGTCAATCCGACGCCTAGGCCGACGCCGAGCCCGATGGCGACGATAAGAAACGCGCCTGCGATGGCAAGTAGTTTCCAATGACGCCGTAAAGCATTGGGTTTGCCGGCATGATGCTGTTTTGTGCTAGAGTCGGTGGGCTTCATTCCTCCCTGCCTTCAACTCCAATGGCCGAGTTGAAGCTGGTGAGACAACCGAGTGTAGCAAGGTTCAAGTTACACATTTCTTTTACTCCAATTCCTGCTTGTCAATTAAATCCCAAGTAGTACCGTTGTCATCATGGCGCAGTCTCTAGCTGCTCCTGCGCAGTATCGTGGCTACATGCTGTACACACTCCAGTTCAGTGCTTCCCATGTCTTTCGTGATGCCGTCAATCCACCAAAGGATTCAAATGCGGCGCAGCAAAGGGGCCAGAAGGGTCCTCGAGTGTGGCTCAAGGGAGGACAAGCCCAAATAGCTGGGCGCCACAGCAGGCTAGCCGCAATCCATTTGATTCCATTGCGTGCTAACAAAGACAATGAGCCATTGAGCTCGAATTTTTGACAGCCCAGTACGGGCACTGTCTACATGTGAAAGTACCTTCTCCGAGAGGAACCTGTAAGCAAAATCCACCACCTAAAATAGAGAGAGATTGGCGGCACTTTTTTGTGCGAGAAACAGGGAGTCGGTAATTACGGGGGACAGGCTCCGTAATATCACAATTGAATGAGATTTCGAAATCTGCATCCATGTATCCTCAAGGTACTTGTACTTGTGCTTGACAGAGAGGGCGACGAAAACTCAAGACCGCCAGTTCGTGTACGAGTACGCATGTGAAAGCTTCAGCAGCTTTTCCCATGTGATTGGCTTACGTAGAAAAGTACACGTACGAGTAGAAAGGACTGCTGCATCTGATATCTCAACAATTGGCTGGAAGATCCCGTCTGAAGCCCCCCTGTCATTTTGCATCGGCAGGCACCGGACCTGCCTTGCTGCTTACCTATGTATCTTCAGAAACGAATGGAATCCCAGCAAGGAAAAAGAGGCGAGTAAGAGAAAAAAAAAATCAGAGGCGTAGGCGTCGCCGGTCCAATCTGCTCGTGCCTTGATTATGCAAGGCCGCATGCGAGATAGTGCCATGCAATGCGACGCTGATGCAACGGTGCAGCGAGCAGGGGCCGTTAGTGGCCCTTCAGGGCTCGCAGCAGCTGTTTAGTGGCCTCTGTGGTGGTCCGACCGCCCACTGTGGGCACTGGGAGCAGCACGATAGGCTTGCGGCGACCCGTATTATAACGCAGTGCAGCTTCCAAGGCATGCAGCTGCTATGGGTCCGATTGAAGCTGTGCAGCCTCGCGACATGGCACGATTGAGCTCCGTCTCGTCGATGGCTTCCAGCGCGTGTCGAGCGTCTGCTTCCGGCCGCCGGGCTTTTGTATGTAGGTATCGATACTGCGCCGTGACCTGGCCACTGCTAACATGCTAACATCCAATGCTAACAATCAAGGGCACTGTGCGCCGCAAGTACTAACAGACATGCCTGCCGTGTTGCTTATCGTATCTGCTTGCAGAGCTGCAAAAGCCCCCACCGCCTCGCCGGCCACATTTAATTTCGCACGATTTCAACACTAGCAACTCTTCGCACCTCAATACTCATACTGTCCTCGACGCCGCTGGTTCTTCCATCCCGGGCTGTGGCGACCCTCGAAGCTTCTTTCGTCGTCATCGTCGTCTTCTTCCATCTTGGTCATCGTTCTTGATTCCAACATCCCGCCATCCCTTTATATCCTCCCTCCTCATCCCCTCGAGCCACACCGACGACCTCATCAACATCTCTAATTCCTAATCGCGACAATGGGCAGCTACACTTTCAAGTGGTGAGTTTTGCGCTTTCCCAAGGCGAAGCTTTGCGCCGCCAACCCCCAGTCGAAAAAAATCCGGCACTCGCGCCGCTACGAGCTTTTGCGAGACCACGAGGGCACAAAGGAGCCTCCACCTGGTTGGCGCGAAAAAAAAAAAAAAATACGATCCCAGCTGGAATCAAATTAGCCTATGGAAGCTGAGCTGACGTTTGGGGGTTTTCCTTCTCTAGGGAGCATCCCGCCGAAGAAGTGTTCGTCACGGGCACCTTTGACAACTGGACGAAGAGCGAGCAGTTGGTCAAGGAGGGTGACGTCTTCCAGAAGACGGTGGCCCTGAAAGATGCATCGCAGAAAATATACTTCAAGGTAGGTCGAGAGCTTGCTGTCGTGCTGCGGCTGCCCACCATCCGCTGCTTCTGCCGTTGAGTTTTTGATGCTTTGCTATATGCTGTCCTTTCCCTTCTCTCCCTTTCGCATATGCCATTGGCCATGGCCTTGTTGAATACCAGCCTCAATGCGCCGTCCAGCCCATCGCTCGATATGATCTACCTGGGGTTAGTGCCCTTTCCCATGTCTTGTCATGATCATCATACAGCACAGCAGTAAAGGCCCGCCCAATAAAGCTGCATCGCTTCGTCCACTTTCACAGTCCCACGAGATGCAATTCCATCTTTAGCACGAACCATTCGAGGCGGATCAGCGTTGCATCCGTCCTTGGCCGGCGAACGATGGAATCTCGTCGGTCGCCGGACTGGCTCAGCGTTGGCTTTTGCACAGGTCGCTGAAACCCCCCACGGCGCTTCCTGCTATCGTCTGCGCCGGGGGCTGTGACGCAACCCAACGCGACGCAAAGCCCGCGGGGTTGGAATGTTGGTGCTGATAGCAAGCGCTGGTCATCCGACTCGCCATCCTTTTCCCCCTTCGAGGCCTCTAGCGCACCCCGAGTGTGGTGTAGCGGTGAGAACGAGGGAGCTTGCGCCACAGCCGCAAGAGATTGGTGATCTATCCAAGTTTGGTTTTCCGTCCCTGTTGGCGCTGTCAAAGTCCGCTGCTGTCAAGGGGCGCCTTAATCTACTTATATCGACCTACCTAATCCAACTCAACCATGATTCCCGCTAGGCCACCACTTAATTGGGGGATTCGGCCATAAACCCTTGTCGCCGTGCCAAAGCGGCCCCCGCACCGGCCTGGCCAACCCCCTTCCATGGCCGTTGTCGTGCATATATCACGTCACACGCACCTGGATAGTGGATTCAGCCTGTTTCGCACTGCATCATAGTACATATATTTCGATCCTCTCCAGCGAGGGGTCTTTACTCTCTTCTTTGACAATCTGTTTGCTGACCCTTTTCTTTTTTCGCATCATCTAGTACGTCGTCGACGGAAACTGGACGGTAAACGAGTCTTCTCCCAAGGAGGCCGATCACGAAGGCAACGTCAACAACTTTATTACTCCTGAGGACATTCTCAAGTCCGACCCCGCAGCTGCCTTCATCAGCACCGTTACTCCCCAGTCCACTACCGCTAAAATGGCGAGTGAGCAACCCGTTGAGAAGCCCGAGGGTATCGCTACCCCTTCTGACGTTCCCGGCGGCTTCCCGGCGACCCCCCAGACCGAGTTGGACAAGACCATCAGCGTCAATCCTCTTCCCGCTGCTGCTGGTGCCATCAACCCCATCCAGCTCGCGCCTGGCGAGGAGGTTCCCAATGTTGGCATTGAGAGCACCAATGAGCACGTCAAGCTCGACAAGGAGTCTTATGAGAAGAGCGACGCCCTTCCCGGCATCGTCGCCGCCGACCTGCCTCCTGTCACCAGCAATCTGATTCCCGAATCCAGCCTTCCCGTGACTGCTGCCTCCGAGGACGTCCACATCAACACCGTTGGTGCTGGCGCCACTACCGTTGGCCTAGCTGCTCAAGTTCCCCTTGAGGCCAAGGTTCCCGAAGTCGTCAAGGAGAGCCAGGAGAAGGCCAATGCCGAGCCTGAAGCCGCCGCCATCCCCGCAGAAGTCGAGGCCAAGGCCAAGGTTGAGGAGGAGCTCAAGGAGAAGGTCCCTGAAGCTCCCGTCACCTCTGAGGACAAGCCTGTCCTCGACACCGGTGCCATTGCTGCTGCCGCCGCCACCACTGGCGCCGCTGTTGTGGCCGCTGTCATTGCCGCCAAGGACAGCCTTGTCGAGACCGCCGCACCCGCCGCCAACGACGCTGTTGATGCTGCTGTTGATGCCGCCAACAAGAACCTCCCCGACTCCGTCAAGGAGCAGCTGCCCGAGCCCGTGAAGGAGACACTGGCACAGCATGAGACCGCCGCCAAGGAGGAGACCCGAGAGGAGGTTTCTCCCGAAGTCCCCGCTGAGGTCAAGGAGTCCATCACTGAGGCCGGCAAGAGCCCCGAGGCTGCCGCCAACACTGTCGCCGTCGAGGAGAAGAAGGAGGTCGAGGCCGAGCTGCTGAAAGAAGTCAAGCCGGTCGCGGCTATCGATGAGCCCAAGGTTGAGGAGACCAAGGCCCCGGTTGAGGTGCCCGTCACCTCTGCTACCATTACCGATGTGGCAGCCATTGACAGCCCAGTGACCGAGGTCAGCAATGTCCAGGTGACCAAGACTGAGGTCCCCGTCGAGGAGCTCACAAAGGACGCTCCTGCAACCGAGGAGCCCAAGGCTGTTGAGGTCGCCAAGGTCGAAGAGCCCAAGACTGAGGTGGCCGCCCCGGCTCCCATTGACACGACAGTTGCCTCGGAAGCTCCCAAGGCCGACACCGCCGTCGATACCCCCGTCACCGAGACTGACAAGACAGAGGTGCCTCCCGTCGACGCGGCCACTGAGGAGCCCGCCAAGGGCGATGCTGCCAACGGCACCAACGGCGCCCATAGCGATAAGACGTCTGAGAAGAAAAAGAATCGTATCAGCGCCTTCTTCAGCCGGTTCAGCAGGCACAAGTCCTCGGACAAGAACTAGGAGTCATAGTGGCGACAGGACAGAGCATCATCAATGTTGAGATGCCTGGTTTACGTTTTACAGTGTCGGTTTTCTTGGGCTGCTGGAGTGGCTTTGTTTATATGTCTATGATTCCCCACTTTGGCAGAGAAGTGTGACTTGGGTCGAATAACGTCGGATACCTGGATCACTATTTCATATACCTAAATTCATTCCGTTTTTATTTTCTTTGCAGCCTTGTTCGCTCTCTCTTCCCCTTTAGTCTTGTCATGTGCTATTTGGCTTCTTCAATTGGTGCCTGCTTATGCGTTCTAAGAGAGAGGACGAGCCTGGGGAGTCTCTTAATTTGTTTTATTTCCTATGTAGCATGGAACGGCACCCCCTCCCATGTAAATACATTTTTGCCTAATTAATGTCTATCATTATATTTTATATTTGACTACTCTTTCGCTCCGATCTGTGCAGGAATTAAAACCTGCAAAATCTGCAATCCAATGGACAAGACTGCCAACCAGTCTAGACCTTGTCGATTCCTTTTGCGGGGATGGCTGGGTGCTTACGACGAGCTCGTACTCGTACTGTGACTCATTTGCCGGGATATCTGCCCATATCTATGCAGGATTGATTACAGGTTACAGGCAGTGTCTGATGCCAATGCGCAACCTGACGGCATGGATTCCTGTTTACCGCATTCGGCGCAAAGCAATAAGTCTCAATTTGCACCACATCCCACAAGCTTTCCTAGTAGTAATATCTGTATTGATGTAATGCATGTGAGACACTGATAAGGACGGTAGCAGCGCCAAACAGTCACATGCGAAATCACGTGCTGCAGTACCAGCTTCTATCTCCGATCAAACAGCGTCCATGATTCCCGTGCCATTTGCCCCGCCGCTGACTCGCCCATTTTACGTGCTGCCAGCATCCCGAACCTAGACTCTGCTACTCTGCCTACTCTATCCTCCAGTGCCGGGGCCAACCGGGTCCCTTTTGGAGCTCCATCAGTCATCCTCTTTCTTCCTCTCTTTGCATCATTCATTTGCTTTTGTTTCTCCTCATTGTCCAGCATCTTTTGCAAACACCGTCCTACTTATCCATCATCCCGCGAGAGTCTTGACGGCACCACGGGCTGCGACTTCACTGCAGTTCGTGGGCATGCTGGACTTGACGCCACCCGCTTCCGACGACGTGGGCGGCTGAGCAGCCAATCTGCAAACCGTCGACCTTGGCTGCTTCCATCACCATCTTGGCCGTCGCATCATGAACCCTTCGAACCCGAGCGCGGGCAAGTCCCTTCAGATCCAGTCAAGCTATCCAGTGCCCGTCCAGCCGGCACCGGCACCACCGAGCTTCGAAGCCTCTCGTCGTGCGAATCCAACAGTCGGAGCCTCGTCGCCCCAGCCCACGCCCCGAAAGGGACAGAGCTCTCGCAGACAGCATCGGACGCAGCGTCGGCCCAGCATGGGACACAGGCCCGTTGATGAGTATGACGCCATGGCCGAGATCAGGGCGCTCAGAAACCCGACGAGTCGGCGCGGACAGACTTCTATCACGCATCTGCTGAATTACTCAGCGCCACTGCACCACCAAGATCTCGGTCACCACCACCACTCCAACCCCAGGTCGTACCGGCGGAATCCGACCTGGGGCCCGGGCTCGGGATACCATGCGGTCGATAAATCCAGATATGTTCACGCCAACTATCGCTTCGTCGTCTCTCCCAAGGGAGACTACTCTAAGCATGCCGCGGATGCCGACCTCTTCTTGGACTGGTCCAATGTCCTGCAGGTCATTGCTTCATCAGAATCACAGGCATCGTCGTGCCCCATTTGCCTGTCGGAGCCCGTTGCCCCCCGAATGGCAAAGTGCGGACACATCTTTTGTCTTACATGCTTGCTTCGCTTCATGAACTCGGTACTGAGCGAGGATGAAGCGAAGCCGGGCAAGGCCGCCAAATGGAGGAAGTGTCCCATCTGCGAAGACAGCATCTACCTTCCCGACGTGCGGCCAGTGCGGTTCTACGCTGGTCAAGAGAGCCCGCTCCCCCGAGTTGGGGATGACGTTGTCCTAAGGCTGATGGCGAGAAACGCAGACTCTACTCTTGCGCTACCACGAGCAAGCGGAGCAGAAGTTCTCAATTCAGAGGATGGCATTCCATGGCACTTTGCCGCCAATGTTTTGGATTACGCCCGTGTCATGAAAGGAACGGGACAGTACATGGCCGCCCAATATGATGAAGAAATTGAGACAATGCTACAGCAAGCCATGGAAGATGAAGTCCTGTTCGGACAGGATGGCGAGTGGACTCAAAAGGCTGTCAAGGCTGTCAACGCCGCCAAAGAGAAGGTTGTTACCCTTGGTGGTGCCGATGAAGCAAGTGCAAGCTCACTGCCTGGCTCGGCGAAGCAGTCGTCCGAGCCCGACTTTTACTTTTATAGCGCTCTACCTCACTTGTATCTTTCGCCTTTAGACATTCGGATTCTGAAAACCAAATACGGTTCCTTCTCGGCTTTTCCCTCCACGCTGCTACCAAGAGTCGAGCACATTTCCACGGGTCATGTCGTCGATGACGCATTACGGAAACGGGCAAAATACCTAGGTCATCTTCCTTATGGCTGTGTCATTAGCTTTCTAGAGTGTGACTGGACAGACATTGTCCCTGCTGAGACGCTCGAGTCGTTTGCTTCAGACATTGAGCGGAGACGCAATCGAAATCGCGAAAAGGCTGCACAGGAAGAGCGGGAACGCCTTCAATCTGAGAGGCTGGAAGCGGCTGCTCTCCGAAACCTCACCGGATCTCGACGGCCTCACTCTCCACCCATTGAAGACGATTCGCCCCCAATGGACATGTCGGAATTTCAGCCCTTGGCGGCGCCGTCTGGCACAACACCTCCCGACCCAAGACTGGGATTCTCCACGCTGGCTTCCATGTCGACAAGTCCCTCGACTCAGAGGACGGTCTGGGGCACTCCCGCCATCTCAACAACTCCTGGGATGGAAGACGTCCCAGTCCCAGTGCCCACCAATGTTGATGATGGATGGCTCAAGGATGAGGATCTCTTCCTCAGCCCCAGTGAGCTCGCCAGGCAAATGGAGGCACTGAACACCATTGAGAAAGAAGAGAATGGACAGAGCAGCAGCAGTGCCCGCGGCAGCGGCAGTGGTGGTGGCGGTGGCAAGAAGAAGAAGAAGCAGAAGATTACCCTTATGAGCACTGGTGGGCGGCGTGGCGTCTAACGAAGAGATTCGAGACAGCCGCAAATGCCAACATAGATGATTGTGTGTCTTTTCACGGCGTTTACATATGTTTCATCCGGGCTGGAGTCTTTTTTTGGGTTGAGGAGGAAGAAGTGTAATCATTTCAGACATATAAATATATAACCAACTAAGCGACCAGCGACCTTGCGATGGAGGCATCAAAGGATGGTTTCCCATGGAATCGCTGGTATAAGAGAATTGCAAGGCTCTTCTCTTACTGCTTAGATTGCGTAGCATGACGCCAGCGCTGTTTTCAATGATATACCGACCACGTAACAAAGCTTCCACTACTTTGCAATCGCTTTTTGAGTCCAATTCGTAAAGCCTTCAGTTCGTTCAACGGTGAAAGCGATGCTTTAAATCCTTATCGCGATAAGACGTCAGTTCGACTCGTTAGCAGCAGATTTACAGCGACTCGTGCACTACAGACTACAGCGCAACGCTTGCGGGGCGAGTCTTTTGCCTGTGGGGTGATTGCCTAGTTCGCTTTTATCAGAACTGCAATCGATAGCCTAAAATTTTTTCCACTGCCAGCCGCGTTATCGCTCTAGCTTCAACGATCCAGAGCAACCAAGAAAAAAATATCCGGGAAGAAAATATCCCTTCATTCGCGGAAAAAAGAGCATGGCGGCCAACACCTCGCCATCTCTGACAAACTCGTCTCACACAATGACGGCACTGCCGCTGGTCTCGGTGCCGCCAACGGGCGTTAATGGCGAGAACAACAAGATGCTGCTGGCGTTGCTAGAGAGCCTGCGGCCGGACAAGAGGCACGTCTTTCTGCAGCCGAGCGACGCCCTGCCGACGGGATCCCTCAATGTGGTCAAGGAGACGCTGGAAGGGTTCGCGGGCGAGGTTGGCGAGGAGCAGGAGGTCAGGCTGAAGGAGAGCCGGAAGAGGAAGAGGGAGGGGAGGGGGGAGATTGATGTGCTGAAGCTGAGGAGGGTGTATGTGGATGGCTTCGAGACGGAGCAGGTGTGGCAGCAGGCGAGGAGGATAATTGGTAGCGTGTTGAAGTTTTCGGATGGATTGCTAGATGAATTGGAGGAAGAGGGTGAGGTGGTTGCGGCTGACCAAGTTAATGGCCAGGATGACGAAGAGGAGGAAGAGGAAGACATTGAAGACGATGAAGACATTGAAGGAGAAGAAGGAGAAGAAGAAGATGATGAGGAAGAGCTTGATGTTGAGTTGGACGAGGACCAATTGGAGGATGGTCTAGAAGGCGAAGACGACGAGGATCTTGATGAGCTGGAAGACGGTCTCGAAGATGAGCTGAATGAGGATGAGGACGAAGAAGACGAAGATGAGCAAGACGTCGAAGAGTATGTCGAGGATCCTGATGGCCTCAATGACGGCTTCTTCAACCTCGAAGAGTTCAACCGACAATCCCAGTACTTTGAAGAACAAGACGCAAGGGGTGACCCCAACACCGACCGAGCCAGCGATGACGAAGACATAGATTGGGACGCAGACCCAATGTCAGAGCCCAAGGCTGGTTCTAAAAAGTCATCCAACCGCAAATCACAAGACGAAGACGAAGACCAGCTACAAGATGAGGATGATGAGGAAAGCGACGAAGAGGATGGCCCAACATTCGGCGACATGGCTCTTGACGCACCAGAAGGCGAGAGCGACGATGAAGCCCTCAATGACGAGGCCGCAGATGACGAAGGCATGGATTTCAACGCAAACGAGGTCTACTTTAAGGACTTCTTTGCACCACCGCCCCGGAAGAGCAAAGGTGGCAAGCCAAAGAAGAGCGTTCGCTTCCAGCCGGAGGAACCTACCAAGGAGGATGTCGACAGAGCCATGGCCGATGTGCGCCGAGATCTCTTTGACGATGAGTCGGACAATGACGATTCTGAAGATGCTCTATCTGATGTCTCAGCCGGCGACCCCAAGTCACGCCGATCAGCCCACGAGCGAAGACAGGCCAAGCTGGCCGAGGAGATTCGCAAGCTAGAGGCCGCCTCCGTTGCCAAGCGCGAGTGGACTCTCTCTGGAGAAGCCGCTGCTGTCGATCGACCCGTCAACTCTCTCCTGGAAGAGGACCTCGACTTTGAGCACGTCGGCAAGCCCGTCCCCGTCATCACCCCGGAGGTGACGGAGGGCATCGAGGACATGATCAAGCGACGAATCCTGGCCCAGCAGTTCGACGAGGTTCTGCGCCGGAGACCAGACGCCGAGGCCGTGCCCAGCGGAACACGCCGCGGCATAATCGAGGTCGACGACAGCAAGTCCAGCAAGGGCCTCGCCGAGGTGTACGAGGAGGAGCACGTCAAGAACGCCAACCCGGACACGTACGTCAGTCAGTCGGACGAGAAGCTGCAGCGCGAGGAGAAGGAGATTGAGGCCATGTGGAAGGACGTCTCGTCCCGCCTCGACGCCCTCAGCAGCTGGAACTACAGACCCAAGCCCAGCGCGGCCACCGTCTCCGTCGTTTCTGATGTCGCCGCCGTCGCCATGGAAGACGCCCAGCCCACGACGGCGTCCGCCATCTCCGGCCAGAGCAGCCGCCTCGCGCCCCAGGAGGTGTACAAGGCCGGCGCCGACAACGCCGCCCAGGGCGAGGTCGTCACCAGCGGCGGCATGCCCCTCGCAAGACAGGAGCTTTCGCGCGAAGATAAAGTGCGTCGTCGTCGTCGCGAGAAGGAGCGCATGCGCAAGGCTGGCGGTGCGGACGCTGCGGGCGCGACGAAGACGAATGGCGCCGGTGGTGCGAAGAAGACGCTTTCGGCAAAGGTTAAGATGCAGCGCGAGACGATTGCTGAGCTGAAGAAGGGAGGTGTCAAGGTGATTAACCGCAAGGGCGAGATTACCGACGTTGAGGGCAAGAAGACCAAGGTGGCGGCCAAGATTGTGTCGGGAGGAAGCTATAAGCTGTAAAATTGCGAGCCTATGGGGTTATTTATATACAAAGTCTGAGGACGAAAAGATGACAGATGGGTATTTTGAACACTGTATATATAGATGTTGAGAAAGGGCAGTTGGTTTGATTAGGCTTTTTTGGTTTCTGTGTGGCCGGCTGTAATGAATGGATTTGTTTGACGTTTCTTTTACATAAAAGTCCATCAAGACAAAGCAGAGTATTCGGGGTGGAAACTAGAAAAGGGGAATATTCCATTTATACAGGGCGCGAGAGTTGTTTTCTTTCTTCAAATCATGCACGTTCTTCCCATTTCTGCACTTCTTTGAGAGACCAAAAAAAGGGGGGTGGCATCAATTGCTCGTTGGTATTCCAATCTCATACAGAATTAAATCGTCATGTAGCAAAATCGAAGGCATCGCACCCATCCATCCATCCTTGCCTTATCCCATCACCCTCATAAGCTCTCCCCACCACAGGAACCACAATGGGTATGGGTTTTCCAATATCAAGCTCGATTCATCTTCTCCCCCCTTTCCCATCCCTCCTAAGACGCCCTAAACTCCCCGACTGAAAACGCAGCGTTCATTCCCAGAATCTCCTCTCGTCGAAAACAAATTCAAACCGGGCAGAATCAAGTAAAAGTAGGGTGTGTGGATAGCAGGCTTATTTATCAGCTTCGGCGGTCTGCTCCTCCTCATCCACCTTGGTCCTCTTCGTTTCAAGCTCAGAAGACTCCTCGTCGGCCTTGCGCTTAGTATTACCGCTGCCGTTGACGGCATCGTCGTCCTTGGCCTTCTTCTTGCGAACAAGACTCGTCAGGTCGACGGCGTTCTTACTAGCCTCTTCGACGCGCGCCTGTACCTCGGCAGCGGATTGGCCAAAGGCAGCGCCGAGGATGCCGCCCAGAGGGTTGGCTCCGTCACCTAGCAGGTCATTCGCACTGAGAGGATCCTTTTTCAGGTCCACGAGCTGTGATTTGTTAGTAAAGAGGAAAGGGGGGAGATAACACGCGGTGATGCTAGTGGGATGGGATTGAAAAAGCCTTTTGAAATCAGAATCGACATACCCTTTGCTCCAGTTCAGCGATAACATCCTTCATCTCTTCAACAGCCTTGCGAGACAATTCATTATCCTCTGGAGACGCTGAGCTAGCAATCTCGACCTCGATAGCCTGCATCTTAAGTTTAAAGCTCTTAATGGCAAGCTCCATTTCGGCGACAGCCTCGTCGCGCAGGCCCTGATCAATCTCCTCGCGCTTGGTGTTCTTGCCCTCATCATCGGCAACTGTGAGGGAGGCAAACTCTAGCGCTAAGGAAAGCTTGTAGTGTGCCTCGGCAATGATTTCGGATTCTTCAGGGTAGAGCTCTACCTTGTAGTTGAGAGATGTACGGCCGTCTTCGATCGCATTAGGATACCTGTGCTCACAAAGTCGGTCCAATTAGCCGCGTCTCGCTCCATCTCCGAAACGAAAGAGAAGTAAGAGTATGGCTTACCGCTCATTCTCGAGAGAGATTTCAGCAAGACAGTCGTGGGTCTCTGCAAGACGCTCTTTGATGTGTCTGACGGCCGAGGAGTCTTCTTTGGCGACTTCTTTGCCCTTGCCTTTGCTCTCGTCTTCGCCCTGCGCTTCCTCCTCTCTCAGCTGATCCAGCTGCTTCTGGTAGCAAACGCGCGCGAGTTCGAGAATCTCAAAGGCAGTGGCAAGATCGTCGTCTTCCTCTTCGTCTTGGTCTCCTTCTTCCTGGCCCTATTTGTTTTGCACGATGGGTAATTAGACAGCGAACACAACCCGGTCACAACCCGGTCAAGCTGGCATATTACCCACCTCGTCTTCGTCAGACTCGTCAAAGTTTTCATCGCCCGTAAACTGGAAGAAGAGCTTCTTTCCTTCTGGAACGTCGTCCTTCTCCTCGTTCTTCTTGTCCTTTCCTTGTTCGGCCCCGCCTTCCTGAGCTCCCTCTCCCTCGTCCGCTTTGGTAGCTTTCTTAGAGGGCGCACCGCTGCTTGATTTTGTCTTCTTCTCCGCGGGAGCGGGAGCGGAGCCACCGAGGACATCACTCTTGCTCTGACCAACCTTGAACAAGCTGCGTCCGTAGTGGAAGAGGATCTCAGCGTTCTCTGGCGCCAGCTCGCCATTGATTTCGGCTTGGAGGATGCTCGCTCTCGAGAAGATGTCGGCGGCTGCTTCGTACTTCTTGTGGGCATAGAGCGCAGTGCCCTTGGCGCTCAGGTCGGCGAGAGTGACCTTTTTTGACTTGATGTCATCGTCCCCCTCAAGCTCCAAGTCGGCCGTAGCCACTGCTGGGGTTTCTGTCCCTGTCTCTACATCTGCTTTGGCTTCTGTCTCTGCCTCTGCCTTTATTTCTTCAGTAGTAGAGGCTTTGATCGTCTCGTCGACAGTCGTCTCCTCGGCAGGCGCAGCCTCCTCGACTGGTCGCGTCTCGGCGATTGGTTCTGTCATTGCGAAGAGCTAAGAGCTAAGAGCTGCAGACACACGCGACAGAGGATGAGCGTCTGCTGGTAAGTGGTGGGATGAGGTGCAAACAGAACAGATTCGGGCTGTTCTGGTCCAATTGCAGTTGGAGAAGCTCACCAGAGATGAATTGATGATGCCAGGCTTGTCAGATGGAATAAGAATGCAGAGGCAAAAGGGAGCTGCTGTGAGTGAGCACAAACAGCTGATCTCTGGTGACCTTTTGGAAGGTTTGCTGCAGTCGTGACGTGCGTCTCGGAGGGGCGCGTCTGATTGGCTGAGAGGGAGCTTTTGTGGGGGCTGCACTTGACACGGTGTGGTTGAGTGGGACTGGAGAAGAGAGAAGCTGGATTAGGTAATCTCTCCAACTCTCCAAGTGATCAACAGCTTACCCTGCGACTAATCATCAGATTACAGTTTGGCCATTGGTTGCAGAGAAGACAGAACTATGACGATTAGCCTGGTTTTTACTTGTCCCTCATTGTTCTACGGAATCGATGGATGGGCTTCCAGATGAAACTCGGGAAAAGATGCTTCGCGACTCCGTCTGTCCAATATGACTTAGTTGCAAGCTAGCAACACGCCGCTGATGAGGTTCAGCGAACCAACTGAAACGGCCCTCGCGGTTCACGCCATCCGTTCGAATGGGCAATTCGGCTTCACGGCCATCGTGAGAGTTCGGGCTCTTGCGCCGTAGTCTTGCGCCACCTAGGCGTTCATTGGAAGAGGGCCGCTCATCATTGCCAGGCAGGTCACCCAACTCGGCCTTGCCCCTTCAAAACAGGAATTCCATTGCCCCCGGATATAAATATGCGTGAGCCCATAAGGCCGTCTATGTAAACCTCATCTTGTCCCATCACTGCATACTCTTGAGAATCTTGGCTCCGTATTCCGTAGATCTGTCTGATAATTTGATAACTTATTACCATTGCTATATGCTGTTATAGCTCTCCAACCATGTCGGAACCTACCGAGGTAATCATGGACTGAAATGCACTCAATCATGTGTCGTCAGTCAAGACCCTGAAACTTACCCATGTTACAATAGGAATGCTACGGTCAATTGTGCTGGCTCGCTATCCCAGTCATAAACATCGAAAGGGCCAGTGCCTTTTATGCCGAAGTCTTCGGCTGGGAGATCAGCCCCAACGGCGTTCCTCACGGGCGGCCCGGCGTCAAGGAACTCTACTTTTTCAACCGTGGCAAGGCCCTGAATGGCGCCTTTTACGTGATGGAGGATGGATACCACGTCATCAACCACTCGATAGGCTCTCACGATGCCTTTTCCGTTCACCCGAGCTTCAACGTCAAGAATTGCAAGGAAACACTTGAGCTGGTAACGAAGCTCGGCGGAAAGACGCAGCTGTAAGTTGTCCCGCTTTTCCGTGTAGCCGCGTGGAGAAATATACAGAGTAGAAAAGGATAGATAGGAAACAGAAACTACTAAGAGAGTGGACGGAAATGCAAGCTGACCGTTGTCCAGACACAAGACGGAACTTGGCGAGAACATGGGGCACTATGCTCGGTTCATCGACACTGAGGATAATTTGATCGGGATCTGGTCCAAAATCTGACTCGGGGTGGAGTGGCAGATGCTCCTTGGGTTTCCTGTCCCATGAACTAGTGTTTCTGATGCTCTTTTATTCCGCCGAGCAGAGCCAATACTATTTCTCGTTGATGGAAAAATAGGACCATAAGTTCTTGAAAGATGTTCCAGCCTTTCCTTTGTTACTCTGCCTTGTTCAAAATATGCCCGCAATAGTCAATACTGTTCCTCCACTCTTATCATTTGCCGTGGCGCAATTTATACCTGGTAATCAGCTGTGTATGCTTTCCCCCATCATGCCGGGCCGTTCAAGCAGGGGCGGATAAGATGACCGGAAGCGAACTCCATTTCGACTTTGACAGCGGCCGCTCCCATGGCGCCAATTTCTCCAGCACGGAGATCCATCCCACGTTGCATCTAGGAAGAACCATCTTCCACCGGTATATCGAGCTTCATCGAGGACGAGTCGTGATCTCGTAAGCTACATGTACTTGCTGTTACTAGTAGTGATTATTGATTCAAGTGCTTGTTTGCGGCAAGCTGTCGGAAACCATTCCAACATATGGCTGTTATCTGTACTGTATCATGATTACACATGTCTGAATATGCTTAAACGTCACGGCTCTTGAAATATCTTAAAGTTACATCCATGTCGGTACATGTAGTAGTGGGCAGCGCCTCTGCTGACAAAGCGGCCTCTCTCGTGGTGTTTTCGATGTCGACATCAGAGGCTCGTTGCTTATTGGACATTCGTTTTCCCACGATCGGAAATATTTGTGCAATCAGGTGCAAGCGTTTCTTCTTCCCATCCGGTGATTGCTAATTCGTGGAATTTTATTCCCATATTGCTGTGCTTGTGACGAACTACAATGATAACGGACGACGTCCGCATGCTCGCGTGTTATCATCAACATCTTCGCCGCAGCGCTTGGCTGCTTCAATACTCGTACTCGTACATACATGCCCAGCTCGTACTCTAGCAAAACAAAAAACATGAAACAGCGGCATCACTTCTTACGTGCAGATCGTACGGAGCACAAGCGCAGGTAACGTATTTAGCAAGTGGCCGCGGTACTACCACCTTGGGATTGATCACCTTCTCAAAGGCCCTCCCCCGTGCATGAATTGTTCCACGATGTTGGGCCCTGTTCTCGGCGATACAACGCATCCCGCGGGGGTCAAGAGCTTTTCGACCCACGATACTAAATCTTAAGCAGGCTCGGGTGGATGACCTAAGGGAGCGAACGTCTCACTCTGTTCGCTTTACTTCTCGGGCGAGTAGCATCCGGAGCTCCGTTTTTACGCTCCCTGGTGGGCGTGAAGTTCCCCCCACAAGATCGGGAGTCGTTTCGGTCTTACTCTTCTTAGTCGGCTGCGGGGGGGAAGTGATTGTTCACAATGAGTTGGCGGTGTTTTGTCTTGAGTCAATCGAATGCAGCGTCGTCTCCGTGCTCGAAGGATCGACTACTAAGGTAGGTAGGTCCAAATAATAGCATGAGACCACAAACTCACCCATTGTTTCCGGGTGCTTGCGATCAAGGTAGCAGTACTTGCACGAACAGGAGACAACCTTCTGCGGCCGGCTGACATACCCCCGGTGACTTTGATGACATTTGGCAACTTTCCACGGAACAGTCAGGGAGACTTCGATGGATATCGGGTGTCAGCGTCTGCTCAACCGTTTTAGTACGTTGGTACCCCCGAGCGGATCAGCCAGATACATGTCTATCGCCTAGGCAAGGTACCATCGCGGGCATGAACTCGGCGTATCTGGAATTAGATCTTGTCCCTTTGGTTACAGACAATTGGGGCCACGAATACAACAAGTTGTTGGGTCCTGCCACTGACAAATGAAGTGTCAATGCGCGCTAGTAATTGGAAAATAAAGGCGCCTAGGAAAGGAAAAAAAAAAAAAAAACCAGCCCCGGCATGTCTTTTTCCGCAGAATATGATAGGAAGGATTACTATTCTCCTGATGGAGCAACGAGCTTTTGCCCGTTGCGTGTTAAGGGGAGAGCCAGAGGCGAAGATTCTCCGCAATAATACGTGTGCTTGCCAGGAGATTCCGTGCGTGGCCAAGAATTCCTCCGTCTTTGCAGAGGTCAAATTGGATTCCGGGACGGGAGATACTTGGGCAGCAACAACAAGTCTTTTTGGCCTTTGCAAACCAACGACAGTGTCCGGAAACTAGCTGATATTTGAGAAAACGTTGGAAAGTGCGAGAAAAGAAGGATAGTTCTCGTATCGTACGAGCTTCCATGGAACTGCCCCATCAATAGCTCCAGTTCAGCAGGATTAGGATTGAGGATCAAAGTGCATGTGATTACCCCGTACTTGGAGGTACTAATTGCTCAAGCTGCCTTAGCTTGGAGCTCAAGCACCCGCCATACAAGTACATGTACAGAGCACCGGAGTACATATGTTCCTTGCTCCGGGATCACCAAAGAGGCAATCTCGGGTACCTCTACGCACATTCTACCACTACTGCTACCTCTGTACTGTATGGAGATGGAGATTAAATTCTAAGTCCATGCCGTCTGGTCCAAAGGATCACAGGTCCAGCATCCGTCTCCGGATGGTCTCATTGGGGGGTTAATCTCTCGGTAGCAATGCGGGGCATGGCCCTGTGATTGGCGGAGAATTGTAGCACCCCCAGCATGGCCGGCAAATAGGGAGAATTTGCGCACTGCACAGGCCTGCTCGCAGTGGGCCATGCTAATCGCGACAGCAAGGCTGACTGGCTGCTGAGCAAATACAGGTCAACAGGTCCGACTCCGTAGCGCTACATTAGCACTAGGTTGCACAGATTCTAGCGACCTCCAGCGGCTCCCGCGCCGGGGTTTGCAGCCTCCCCACCAAGCTGGCTGGCGCCGCTGCAGCGGAAAGCCACTGGACTGAACCCCACGCTATACCAGGGCCTGGCCTGCCTGGTACTTCTGTCACTGCCCGTACCCATACCCATACCTTGGATATGTACTGTGCTGTGCTTGTTTTTCAACATCAACATAACAAATCGTCCTCCCGATACTTGCGCCGCGTATCCAGCTGTCGCGCATTGGCTGCCCGAGTCCCTCGCCATTCCAAAAGCTGCTCTACGGCCTGTCCTTTTTTGCTCCAGGGCCTGCGCATCCCCTCGGAATCGTTGCCAAGCACCGCCAAGGCTTCTGGACACACCTAGCCACCTCATATCTTTTTCGTATTGATCGCATCCTCTCTCACCATCACCAAAAAGACATTTGCCTCCAGCCGAGCTTTGTTTTGTTTTGCTTTGCTATCCCCGACCTGGATCATTCGCCTCCTTTTCACTTCCGTCCACTTGGTGCTGGGGCGCACAGAAAAGGGAATTTGGTCACTCTGACTGAGAACCTGGTTTGCGGGAATCCAATTTGGGACCGGAGCGAGATCCGCGGCGAGGAAAAAAAAAAAAAAAGAGAACAGAAAAAGCGAAAACCGCCACGAGGTTCGAGAAGAAGAATATGGTTTGGTCCTGATTTCTGCCTTCACTTTTTATCTCGAGCCACTCACCGCTGGGCCAAGATTCTGCATTTCCCTGGATCGACTAGAATCACACCCATTTCCGATACGGCCTGCCGCCACCACGCATCTGCCTTGGCCGCAAATCCCTCCAACGAACGACCGGCGCTTGTGACCTATAGGATCAATATTAACTAAACGCCTCCGCTTCGTGTAAGTCTTTGACCAAGGAGGAGCCGGGGCCTAAGCTGCTTTTCAGGCAAAAAAGGAAACGAAAGGGGAGCTACTATTGCCATCTATCCGCATACATAACCATTTCTACTGGCCTCATAAGCGCAGTGTGTTGCCGTCTGTTTTACAAACGGGTATATCGACTCCCCGTCGTCGCTGGCTTTTATTGGGGCGTCTTTTACGGTAACCTGGACGACTATTCTCTCCCGATAGTATATTTGTCTTCTGTATCACGGCTTTCGGAAGCTATCCGACTCATCTGCCACTAACCGGCTTACGGGGAAAAAAGAGCGAGAGTGTGCATAGACCGCAGACTCTCGATAGTCGTGGCCACCTTGTTGCATTGCGCTTCCTCCCCTCATTACGACCTGCCCTAATCGGGGGTTTCACCAGGGGGGCTTCTCCAGGCACTCGTTTTGTAGCTTGGGATATACCTTTGGCGACAGATCGCTACCCAAACTCTCGGAGTATCCGCCCACGCGAACTTCAGCTCATCGTGCCCGATCACAGCTGGGTGGGAGGTGCATTTCGGCATCGTCAAGGCTGATCAGAATCCTTTCGCCAATCGTCAGGCGCGTCTTGGTCGAACGAAGTGCTGGGGGCATCAATTTTCCGATTCCCACTTGGCATGCAGCGCCGAGTTGGTGGAGGGTGCTACAAAGACACAGAGCCATAATTTCTATACCCACGGCAGCGTCGCTTTTTGCCGAAGCGGCTGCCTGGACAATCCTTCGGTTTCCACCTTGCAGCGAAGTGTGCCGTCCGGATCAAACTAACCCCTAACAAAATCACGATGGCTGCTGTCCAGCAGTTGCTGGCAAGCCCATCGCCCGCTCCAGCGCCAGTATCGTCACAGCGCATCAACGACACCTCAGCCTCTGCCGACATGGAGCTCGACAGCACCAGCAATGACCCGGTTATGATTGACAGTGGGCTGATGAAGGGTGCGCCACAAACGGGGGATTCTCGAATAGCTGTCATTGTGTATGGACAGGGACAAGAAAATGTTGTGTCCGTATTCGCGGAGGTACTGGGCAAACCGGTTAAATTGAAGCGATCGTTCAAGGACGTCGACCACGAGGATGAAGGTTTCGTGATTGGCCTTGCTCTGCAGGAGGCCAAGCAGGATGTGGAGGATCGGGACCAACAGCTGCTCGTAGCCATCAATGCTCACTGCGTCAACCTAGGAATGCCTCCGGACCTGCATCTGTCGATCCACTGCGACTATGAGTTTCTCTACACCGAAACCCCCTTCTGCAGACGCGATCTCGCTCGATTCATCTCATTCACACTCGGCCAGACCAGCCCGCACAGCCAATTGATGGCCAAGCCGAGGACGTTTTTCATTTCCACCACGTTTCCCGATGTCCAAGCGGCTCTTCCCAACTTGGACATTCTCACAGTAGGAGCTGATGCGGTTGAGATCCGCGTAGATCTTTTGCGCGAACCCCGGGGCGACGGGACCTTTTCTGACATCCCAAGCCTGAGTTATGTCGGACAGCAGGTCATGCTACTGCGGCAGAGAACCGAGCTTCCCATCATCTTCACCACTAGATGCACAAAGGAGAATGGAAAATTCCCCATGGACAACCCCGATCTATACTACGAATATCTATACCGAGCGGTCCAGTGGGGTGTAGAGTACATCGATGTCGAGCTGTGGCTACCGGAGCACATTCGAAAGAAGCTGTACGAAAAGAGAGGCAACTCTCGCATCATGTCTGCCTTTCACGACTTCTCAGGCACTTTCAAATGGCCGTCCCAATACGCACAGGATGTCTTTGTAAAGTCCAGGCAGTACGCCGACATTGTCAAGATGATTGCAATCATCAACGATCACAACGAAAACTTTGAGCTCGAGTACTTTCGCTCCAAGATACGGGCGCAGTATCCAGATGCACCACCGCTGTCGGCTGTCAACATGGGCGAAATTGGTCAGTTTTCGCGAACGCTCAACACGGTCTTCTCGCCCATCACTCACCCTCTTTTGCCCATCATCGCCGCCCCCGGCCAGATGAGCACAGCCGAGATCAACGGCGCCCTGGCATTGTTGGGCCAGCTCCCAAAGAAGTACTTTTACGGCATCAGCAGTGCTGCTGCTCGAAGCATCGCGCCGCGGGCACCTTTTTACGAAAAGTGCTTCAACGAGTTAGGATTGCCGCATCAGTTCGCCGTAGTGGAGCGCCAGCACAACAACCCAGCAGGCATTCAATCGTGGTGTAACCAGAGGGACTTTGGAGGTGCCTATCTCGACCCGGGGTTGTCATACCAGACCATCATGAAGCACAACCCGTGGTTCTCGACCCTCAACAACGGCCAGGGCCCAACGCTGTCCGAGGCGGCTCAGGGGATCGGTATCATCGACACAATCGTTGTGAAGCCCTCGGGGTCATCAGGATCAGGATCAACCTCGACACCACCGTCTCAATATAGCGGCACTATGCCACCTGGAGGACAGCCTGGCCTCGCCCCTAACACGTCATTGATCTTCGACAATGCTAGCTGGAGAGGCATCCTGTCCACACTGACTCGCGATCTAGCCCCCTCTGCTTATTTCGGCCGGACCGCGGTGGTGCTCGCTTTGACGGCTGACGATGCTGCACCTGTCTTCTTCGCATTGAAGGCGCTCAAAATGTCAAAGATATACACAGTCGGCTTCAGGACGCCATCCGGGCTGGCCCGCAACGCCCCTCCGATCGAACAGTTTATCAGCATGGAGAGCCTTCAACGAGCCCGATCCGTGGCGGACAACCGAGCGCCGTTTGTCATCATCTCAGCGCTGGGCCGAGGCAAGAGCAACATTGTCGGCATGATGCTGCGAGTCTTTGGAGAAGCCGGTCCCCCAGGATCGTCGAACACGAAGAAGGTCTTTTTGAACCTTGCCGAGGCGGCGTCGCAGCAGAAGAACGACCCTATCGTAGTCGCGGAACAGAGCGGTTTCACCGCATATGACGCTGCAGACGTTGCGGCCTTTACGACGGTCGAGAGCCTACGGCTGCTAGTCGGACAAAACGTACCATACAGCTTCGTCCGGCTGGCAAGCGGACGAAATTTATTCTGAGAGGCTAATCTATTTTTACTTTGAAAGGATTCAGCTGATATAATAATACCCACTGCGAGAGCTGGCCTAGACCATAATTTTTTTTTTCGCTTGATCGATGCTGGCAACGAGGGAGATCTTTTTTTTTTTGTCTATCGAGCTTCCTATTTGCTCTTCGGCGCACCGATTATGGAATACGGCCCGGAATCCTGTTTCGTTTGTTTGCATCTGTGGCGTTGGAAGCGAGGCCAACACAGAGGGCATGCATTTTTTTTTATGCTCACGGCGCATTGTCGTGGGGGTGACTTTTCTTTTTCTCTTTCTACTTTGTCGGGTTTCTATATATACATGTATATATAGGTATGTATATGAGGAGTTTTATACACGCTGTACATAGGTAGTTCATTGTCATTGGATGGGAAGAGCGGTTAGGGCTGAGGGGTTGATTTGATTGGAATAATCACTCGCATGTACTGGAGTACAGAGAAGGGGGGGATGTCGAGATGTGTATGGCCGGATGAACAATAACATCACCATCAACTATTACTATTACGGAGCTTTGAGTTAACTATGCATTTGCTTGGCCATGACGAAAGTTGCATCGGACAATCGGCGACCTAGCTTGTCGGCATTTTTACCAATTCCCACTACACCCCTTGCCGTTCGTCCTAAGTGGTAAGCCGAACCGAAAGGTCAGCTTACCTCTACATTACTGTACAGCCGGGCGGCAAGATTTGGCTAGGGGATGTCAGGATCTGATATGTGAGAAGGGGGGAGGATCCGCATAATGTATGTACGAGGCGTCAATGCTGTTACGAGTTGTACGCAAATTCCACGGGAGCGATGACGAAGGAATCCCGATGAATGATAGCAATTTCCTATTGAGGCTATTCTTCGCGCCCCCTTGCGGTACTAGTAGTATCTTTCCCGTATACGATATGTGAGCAGCTATCTACGCGGATGCGAGGAAAATCCCCGAGTCATGAGCAACATAAACCACTGGGACAGATGTTCCTTGCTCGTACGAGGAGGAGCATCAGCGCATGCAGATAGCAAGCAACGTGGAACTCGTATTAGAAATTGAACATTCGGCATATACAATGGATAGCCAATTCGACTAACCCGTTAGCTATGTAGCTTCTGTTTTTTTCGTTAAGTCGGCGTTATCCGCAGCTATCTTCAGGTAGTTAGTATCCATTAACCTTTTATGCTACCCCCGGACTCGCTACAGTATTTCTGGCTTACAAGGCAAGGGAGACGAGAATTTTCTAGCTGGCAGGGGGCTGCAGAATCTAGGGGTTTTCGAATCAGGTGCTGCGGTTATCTAGAGGCATGCCTGAACCCTGTTGCTGCTGCTCCGCTGCTATTAACTTTTGCGGTAAATAATAAGGATAAGGCTTTTGTCGCTCAAGATTGGTTTGCGTGGAAGAATCGGAATCGCCACTACTACCTACCTGTACCTATGTACGTCCATAGTGAGACGGCACTTCGCACTTTTGCACTTGTAGATGTTTTAAGCTCCTCCGAAATGATCTCCCGCGATGGCATAACCTCAACGGGATTATTAATCCATCATCGAATCAATTGACTTTGCAATCGATACCTTAAAGGTATACTGTACTCCAGCATTGAGTTCTGTTCGAGGCGAGAGGGGCCCTTTCGCGGCTGTCGCTTCTCGAGATCCTGACCGAGCCACTAGCTAGCCCATGGCACGATGGGCGAAGGAAGCAGAAGGCGGTATGAGAAGCATTGATGGCCCAATTCCGAACTCAGCTCGGAGCACTCGAAACTGCTGAAACCCGGTCAACCAGTGCCAGTTTCTTCGAAAAAGAGAGGGGTGGCCCAGCTACGCCAAGTCTCGCCGAGAAAGGCTCCAAGTGGAGGCGGCGCGCCATCTAAGGCTGGCCCCTTTGTTACAGTACTATTTGGCTGCTCCTCTTCGCAAAAACCCACAAGGCAGCTTTTTCCGCACTCTTGATGCTTTCATGCCGCGCCGAGACTTCTTCCTCGATCGATTAGATTGATCTAATTCGCCCGCCGGCTCTTTTCCTCTCTCTCTTGTGTGTGTGTGTGTGTGTGTGTCTGCGTGGCGTCGTCTGACCTCGGCCGCCGCGTGGGGGATTCGGCTGAGGTTTGCGGTAACCTCCATCTATTTCTGTCATGTGGCCTCACTCATGTCTGTTCTCTGGACTACTTGAGTTTGCAGCACGATGGCGCGTGTAAGATTGCAAAGGTACTCTCGTACATGCAAAAGCACGACTAGTTCAACCTTCGTGCCTGAGCTAGAAACAACCCCTTGAGAGACAGACAGGCAGAGAGCATATGGGAACAAGAAGGACTCGAAACACACAAGTCTGAAGTTAGCCCTCTTTGCCGGGAACTTTCCTGGGCTAATAGCTGAGAAAGAGGGCCCCCCCGTACTGTATGGGGTATTACAGGACCACAAGATTGCCATGCCGGGTTGCTGGACGCGGCACAAACCCCGGTCGTCAACCTCCCCACAAAAGCAGCCTAAACGTGTGAAACGAAAGAACGGGAGTGGCACCAGGGCAGTACTAGGTATTACAGTTAGAGTAGCAGTGGCCACAGGTACAGTAGCATTTTTTCTTTTTTCCCCTATGACGGCTAACGGCGTTGTGTGTGGCTTTCGCAAGGGGGGAGATGCGTCAAGCAAAAAGAGAGAAGAGGGGATTGATTCGTTGGGTGAGAAGTGAGAAGTGAGGCAAAGCCCTTTTGTCTTTTGTCAGAAAGCGGTGCGACTCAATTCTCACTTACATGAATCACATTCAATTCAATATACAACGCGCGGATTTTAGTGGTCAATGGTCTCCGTTTGGGGTGCGGCGGTCGGCTTTTTGGCGGCATATCACCGCCCACCGGCTGTGCCTGTTTGGCCCTCGGCAGTTGGGGGCGTCATCACAAAAGGAGACATGACACGCCAGAAGCAGCGCAGAGAACCAGAGCCAGTCAGATCGAGAGAGCGAGAGCGAGCAGGAGGAGACAGCAGACCAACGAAAAGAGAGAGAAAGACAAAAAGGCCCAAGGCTTGGGCTGATTTCGCGCCTTGCAGAAACCGGTGGGTTTGCGCGCCTTTGCGGGATTGATTCCCCTTCCCCCTTGCCCCAGTACGACTCTGTGTCCTGGCCGTTCGATTTGAATTGGCGTGGAGAATTAAGGAAGACAGAGTGACATTTTTGGACCAAGCCGAAAACACAACCTGCAAGACCCCCCCCTGGTCCCCTGGCCTGGCCACTTTTTTGAACTTGGACTGACACGGAGATGATGTGGTAAGCAGCCACAGGGATTTTCGGCTGTGTTTCTTGGGGTGATGATGCGAGCGGTTCGAGACGAATATACCGTTTTTGGAGTTGCATGTGTCTTGGTAAGTTGTGCTGTGTTATTACGAGATATAGTTACGCCGTTTGGAATCAATTACTGTCCATAATTCATGCGGTTATTGCTGTCGCTGGGACAGTAAGGGCCAAAGAGATCAACGGCTATGATTCTAGGATAGATTACATTGCCTTCCTAGAACTGGCAATTTTAAGCGGTTGGTCTCTGGGTTGAAGACAAAGAGTTAGGGCCATGTACCCGTAGGTATAGGTTGGCATATGACAGCCTATTCGCCAGCTCGGATCTCGGTGTTGAATCAAGCATGTCGTCGCCAATGGCTGGTTCTCACTGCATGAGATGGAGGCAAGAATCGCCACATTTGTCTCCGAGTCTGCTTAGGGATGCATGTGTGTATTTACGTACATCTGATGTTCGACTCGGCTCAACTCCCTCTCCATGCAAAGGATAGACGAGAGGGTGGATGCGTCGGCTGCCTCGCTCTTACGCCCTACCTCGGATGTTCCTGGGGAGCTTTTGTTGGTGAGCATCAGATGGAGTTGATGTCATACTCTTATTTGACGGACTTGAATACTGGAGAGCACTCGGAGATAGTACGTGATTTGTCCTCGTAAATACTACCTTGTGCTGTAGGGGGTTCATGCTCTATACATGTACCTTGCCTTGAGTTGCAACCCGTCGATACGAGTACTATTTCGTACATACAGAGAATACGACCTGAGTCAATACCTATTGCCCAGCACCATGGATACTATCAAATGGATGGATATAACGCTCCGGCAACTACCTATCTATTCTCTCTGCCTGGCATCAGCTCAACTCGCAAGGATGGATCAATGCCTGGATCCGTCAGAGCTTGCTCGGGTGGGGGAGCCAGTCACAGCCAGTCTCAGCAAGGCCCTTGAGCGGTCCTCATGCGAGCTCCAGCGCTCCCAAACGGCTCGAGTAGGGCTACCAGGCACTAGCCGCTAGTTGGCATTACTGGAATGGGGTAGCCGCTAGCGTGGCGATGGGCTGCCCTAGTTGCAGTGCATGGCCGGATACTAATGCGACGAGGGACCAGCGTCTGGTTCCGCCCCAGCGCCAAAAGGACGGAATACGGGCAGCGGAAGCGGAGCAGTGCAAGCTAAGCTGTTGGCGATAGTGGTGGGCAGGTACATGTACAGATGGAACGGAGTTGAGGTCAGTCAGACGCTGCAGACGCTCCAGTGCTGCTGCTACTGCTTCCCCAAGCTGCAACTGCACTAACCAGGAACCACCCTCTTCATTTCCACCTCCAGCCTTGGGTCAGGCATTTGCCGGTTCCGCGACTTCAAGCAACTGGGGAGACCAGCTGTTGTTTCTTTGCTTTGCTTTGCTTTGCTTTGCCTTTGCTTGGTCATTCCTCTATTCCTCTTCTCTTTCTTGTTCCTGGCGCACAACGACGACGACACGATACGCAGCTCAACCACGGACGGACTCTCGGTGGGTCTCGCCGCCGCAGTCTCTCAATCCAATCCATCAATCCCTCTCGAAACCTCAATTCAAAACCTGCAGCAAAACGCGACAAATCCAGGACGGCGTCCATCGTCGGCGACAGGGTCCTCGGCCATGAATGAGCTGCAGATCAACCCGCCCTCTCGTATTCCATAATCACTAACACCGAATTGCCTGCGCGGCAAACCATCGCCCGGCTATCTCGTTTCTTGCTTGCGTCCAGTCCCTCCTCGCGCTTCTTCTGCAGCCACGCCACCTTTACCCTTCAAGGGCCTCTCAACCTTGGCCTTGATTGCGCTCTTTGCCCTTCGAACCAACCTCTTTGGCGCCTGGCTGGCGCCGGCTGGCTCTGCGCATTGCTCCCCCCGATTAGCCAACCTCGCCGGGAGCCAATCTTCAAACTGGCGCCCGCACATTCTCGGCCACCACGTCCCATATGAACGCTCCGCATCGTCCTCCGGCCCAGCCTGTGGCCTTGCCGCCCCAGCGGCCGCAGGTTGGCATTGAGCGCTTGCCGACTCGGAATGTCACCACGGAGCCCCGTGAATCCATGAATTGCAAGTCATGCCGGAAGCGAAAGGTGAGTCTCTGCCCGGCCGTTCTCCTTGCGCCGCCCCTCTGTAGACCTCCCCTTTGATGTGAATGTTGTGCGCGGCATCTAACCCGTTTTTGCCTGTTGAATTAGATCAAATGTAATCGCCTTCGCCCATCTTGCGAGGCGTGCCTGGTGTTTCAATGCCCTTGTATATACGGTAAGCTTCAACACATCCTAATACTGCCTGGTGCTTCCCGAAGCGGGCAGTCGAGTGTGCCTCAAGCCCTCCCCCGTGACGGCGACTATCTCGGCGATATGCCACCGCCGCTACATCACGGTGATTTTCTTTTTTTGTACCAGAAATACTCATGCCTGTTGGTCTTATAGATGCCGTACCGAAGAAGCGTGGACCAAAGACGGATGTCTTGGAGGCCCTCTTGAAGAGAGTGGATGGGCTGGAAGCCAAGCTCAAGGAGAAGAATGCCGAAGGCGAGCAGGCTTCCGCATCATCAGCCACGGAAAATTCAGAGACACCAACGACTGAATCGTCGACAAAAAGGCAGCCCGCTGAGCGGGATATTGCGGAACCTGTTGCCAAGCGACGGGCGACCGAAGAAAAGACGACACCCAATGTCACGGAGCTGCCGCTTTACTCCCCGCAGACCTCGACAACTGGGTAGGTTGCTTCCATCTGTCGTTACTATCAAAGTTTATTCGGTACTGATACAAGCTGCAGGGAGCCCGCCACCCCTTCCATACAGACAGACGCTCTTCTTGATACATATTTTACCCGCTTCCACAATAAGCCGTTCCACATCTTTGACGAGTCCTTGATCCGAAAACGCGTCAACCAAAACCAGCTCCCTCCTTTCCTATTCGATGCCATTGCCGCAGTCGCTGCTAGGTATGTCTCGCCCCTTCTACTAAACCGTCGGGCCATGTTGGTGTCCAGTTGTCTCACATCCTATGCAGGCATACGCCGCATCCTCTCGGTTTCCGTGCGGCTGTCAAGTTGGGCGACGAATATGCCTCTCGCGCGAGGAGTGCCATTGACATCGACGAGCCTTCCATTGACAATCTCCAAGCAATTGTTTTACTTGCAATTGCATTCACAGCCTCAGGCAAAGGGAGAAAGGCCTTTATGTTAATAAGTACGTGTATCCGCCCTCCTCGCGCTGCCTCCTCCATGATGGGAGACAACATCTGACCTGATGTGTAGGCAACGCCATTGGCATGATTATGGCACTCGAATTGCATCGTGAGGTGGACCAACAGGCACAGGTAACCCCGACGGAACGAGAAACGCGGAGGCAACTCTTCTGGTCATGCTATCTCCTGGATCGCTTTGCGGCCTGCGGTTCCAAGCGCCCATCGCTCATTAGTGACGATTCCATCGCATTACGACTCCCGTCATGGCATTCGGCAGCTTCCAATCTTCATGTGGATGGCGATTTCTTCCTCTGCGGATCTAACCTACAGTATTTTCAGGGTAGTGGCAAAAAGTCCCAGGGCACCTCAGGTATGCTTATCGACATAACGCGCATTCTCGGTGTGACGAATCGATATCTGGCGGCTGGAGGCGTCAAGGGCGATTCGCATTTCCCTTGGCATTCTCTGTCAAATCTATCCAAGATTAGGCAGGATCTCGACGTGTGGGCATCTGGCACCGATGGCATATTCGCATCCATGGACGTCCTCTTCGGTCAGCAAGACTCAACTACGCTCGTCTTATGCAAGCTCATATATCACCTCATCCACTGTCTGATCTACCGACCATTCCTCCCAATCAGCCTAGCCGAGTTGGCGGGAAATGGACAGCACCAGTCGTGGCAGATTGAGGCGACCAACATGTGCTTCTTCCATGCGAACGCCATTACGGAGCTCACCGAAATGGGTAGGCAGATGCAGACTATTGAGTGGCCATCGTTTGTCGGTTACTGCATCTGCACCGCCGGTACCGTTCACATTCATGGCGCGCACTATGGCAAGCAAGGCACCAGCGGCGAAATCAGTGTCTTTAGCTCTTCTTCGGATTTCTTGTCCCGCGAGATGCAGCTGTTGAGCGACCTGCGGTTTACGTGGGCCATTGTTCAGCACCAGCGGGATATGCTCCAGCGGCTCTACGAAGCCCACAGAGAGCTGGTAAAGACGATTACTGGGAATGCGATGCGCTATACACCTGGATTCCAGCTCGAAGATTTCTTTGATAGGTATTCCAACATTGGTGGACCTGGTGGGCCGACTTTCCATTTCGATACCGCAAACCTTAGCCTAGCAGACGAATTGGTCGACTACTCCAACGAACCCACGCCTTTGCCTGACATTCAATCACCCTGGCCTACGGAAAATAGGCCGAATCTCAAGCGGAAGAACACGTCACAATCTTCCATACAAGGCATACCTCTGCCTCTCACGCCTACGATGACGGTGACGAGCTATCCCCGTCAGTCCGTATCCATGCAGCCTGGTCTAATGCCGGCACCGTCAACACCCGGCGTTGGTGCTATGGCGGAGATGTTACCCGCTCATATGGAGGCCCAGCGGCAGCAGCACCACATGGGCCCCATGCGCAACACTGTGGATGTCACATCTGCTGCCCATCCAGCCATGGCCGGCTTTGGACTTGGGCACCCTGCCCACGCCGGCGTAGGAGGAATGGCCTCCATGGGTGGTATGACGTTCAGTCCTGCTTTCAACTATAATCTTGGACCTTCACACGCAGCGGGCGGCGTCCCTCAACAGCAAGTAATCAACGACGCGAGCGGAGGCTTCGATGCCATGTTTGGACCCAGCGCTTTCAATAGTCCAGCCCAATGGCAACCAGCAGTCGGCCAGGCGACACCGGGCGCCACGGCTCCCAGTCCAAGCACGAAGAGCAACACAGGCAGCACCGGTACAACGGAGGAGAAGGATCCTTTTATGAGCCTCTTGGAACAGCTTGCCAACGATGAGCAGCGGCAGAATAGCGGGTTGAAGAGCGAGCTTGATTTCTTCTTGACGGGCGGCAGTACTTCATGAAGTCCCCTTATTTTTAATGTTCCCCTCGTTTTTCTTGCGTTTCACTTTCCTCCTTACGATTCCGAGATATATAGATGGATGGATGGATGGATGGGCGAGCTCTCCTTGTACGGGACACACTGGACATAAAAATCATAAAAAAACCGCACCGACAGGGAGTGGTATGTATATGCTTACAAAAATCTTACAAAGAGCTTTGATTACTTTCAATGGGGGATTTGTATAAAACAGGATGTAGGGGAACTACATGTATGATATGATGAAACGAAACGCGTGGAACCTTGGACATGCTTTTCTTTTACATAGCGTGGGTATGAAGGGTCGAGAGCGGATGTTGTGTAGCTTAGGAAACCATGCTTTACGAGGAGGCCGATTTATAGTATTTAATGTTAAAAAATATTAATGAAAATAAGAGAATATATTGTGCCAGCATAACTTGGAATTAGATTGCCTAACAGAGTCTTTTATTGTGCATTACATTACGGATAGGTAAACGGCCTAGAGAGTCGACTCAAAATGGATTAACACACACACATATATATATACAAGAATTTCATAGCATATGTACATCACTCTTCGTCTTCGTGAAGCCTGCCTTCTGCCTCCTCTCTGGGTGACGTCCACCCAGCGGCAGCCTGTACCACAATCACGACCAATGCCAAGACGGCAGCGGCTTGCCACACGCCCTTGATGGCAGTCGCATATCCGTCGACGGCAACGTGCCTCTCCCGTGGCGCCAGCACGTCGTCGCCGTACCACACGAGATCGGGCGACCCGAGCAGGCGGTCGACGAGCTTCCTGCGGGCCGGGCCGAGCTCGGGGGTGCCGTCGAGGCGCAGGAAGCCGTTGACGAGGCGGTCGCGCAGGACGCGGTAGAAGATGCCGCCGGCGAGGGAGGTGCCGAAGCTGCCGCCGAAGCCGCGGAAGGTGGCGAGCAGGCTGGTGGTGACGTATTCGGTGCTGGGGTGGCTGAGGTGGAGGATGTGGACGAGGGCGTAGTTGAGGGCGATGCCGGTTGCTACGCCGTTGAGGGTGACGATGGCGATGAAGACGAGGGACGGGGTGGTCGGGTGGGATATCACGGCCAGGAAGGTGATTGTTATAAAGGAGAAGAGGAGGGAGAGGAGTTGGGCGGCGTAGTAGGATCCCGCGCGGCGGATGTGCAAGTAGCCGATGGCGAGGCCGCCGAGGGAGAAGCCGAGGTTTGTGAAGATGAGGACTGCGCCGGCGGTGGCGGGAGGGCTGGCGCGGACGGCGAGCATGAAGACGGGGGTGTAGAAGAGGATGCTCCAGCGGGCGGTGATGAGGCCGAGCTGGGCGAGGCAGGAGAGCAGGACGCCGCGGGAGGAGAGGACGGATAGGGGGATGATGGGGTTGGTTGCGAGGCGGAACTCTGTGGTGACGAAGGCGATGAGGGAGAAGAGGGAGAGGATGAGGGGGGTTGGGTGGATGTCGCCTGCGAGGGAGTAGAGGAAGAGGATGATTGTGAGGGTCTGAGATGTGTTAGTTTTGTGTTTGGTTGAGGGATGAAAGGGGGAACTTACGAGGAGGATTGCGCCGAGGTAGTCTATGCTGGCGAGTTTGCGGCTCAGGGGGATGGGTTTGCCGTTTTGTTGTGCTGGGGGGGATGACATGGAGGGTGGGAGGCTGAGATAGAGGGCAATGCCGGCGATGATGGCGAGGGGGGTTTGGAACCAGAAGAGGGGCCTCTATATCAATGACAGTTACATGTAGTTAGTTTGATGATATGCAAGATATGTACGTTGATTTATGGTTCACGACAAACTCACCCATCCAACAACGGGGTGCAACACGCCGTATACCGCCGCACCCACAGACACGCCCATGGTAAACGCCGCGTTCACAAACCCAATCATGACGCCCCTCGTCTTCTTGTCAGTGAGCTCAATCACGAAAACCACGGCCATGACGACGATGCCCGCGCCCCCTCCGCCCATGACGATCCTGCCGGCCACAAAGGCCGCGAAGGAGTGCGCCTGGGAGGCGAAGAGGCTGCCGAGGGCGAAGAGCGCGACGCAAGGAAGGACGACGGCTCGGGGGGAGAAGATTGCGGCGAGGCGGCCGATGACGGGGAGGAGGGAGGAGGCGGAGATGAAGTAGCTGGTGGTGAACCACATGGCGAGGGTGGGGGCGTGGAGGTCGATGGCGAGGGGGCCTTGGATCATGGTGAGGCCGGACATGTTTGTTGCTGTTGGGATAGTGTTAGTATAAGCACGAGAGGAATCATGGTGGAAATGAAAGATGGGGATGAGATGGAACGCGTACAGTGGATGAAGATGAGCACAAACAAGCTGATGCCAATAGCCACGCCCCGAGCAAAGCCCACCTCGTGGTTCGATCCATCCAGAGCTACTCCTCCCTCCGCCGTCTGTCTCCGCGAGGATTCTTCCCGGCTATCCGGCGCCATACCGGCGTCCGTCCATCTTCCGGGCGAAGCATCGCCGAGGAGCGGCTCGTGGCCGGCCAGCAGGGCCGTTTGCTCCGGCGGCAGCTTGGCGCCGGTATCGCGAGCGGTGGGCATGATTGGGTGGGACTTTTTCTTGTAGAATGGCTATCTACGTTGAGATGCGTGGGTCATTTAAGGGAAGAGTTGATGATGGAAGGATGGTGGTTTTGGTTGTTGCTTTTGTGTTGGATGACGTGATTGATGTCTTTGAGTGATGTTCGTCAGAAGTGGATAAGATGGGTGGGGAGGACGGGATATCGGGATCTGAGATCTTGAGATGGAGATTCGGTATGTCTTTATTGAGATCGCAACACTCAACGTCCATTTTTTTATTAAAACGTATGAAATAATCCATGGCTTTGTTATTGATTATTGCTGTTTCTTTGGACTATAGATCAGGATACAAGATGAGAATCGAGGCCGACACCAGAGTCCTGTGACTCCATATAGTCGCCTTTTACAGCTGGGAGGTTTTTGCTTATGCTCGGCTTGGGATTAGAAACCCTTTTACAGATGTGTTATGTTACTCTAATAGCTCGTCATTTTTCTTCTGTTGCACCTCATTATACTCTTGTTGGGCTATTTCTTTATAGATCAACGTTGACCAACCTGCTACAACGGCAGTTCCCTAAGAATCATAGAGTTATTTGGCAACTGCATCATTAGGCATATATTACTCGAGTAACCTATAGCTTAGTGTGCTTCTGTAGCTTCCCTTCGTCCTTGGAAACAATCTTCATTCAGAGGCAAGTAATTCTTGCATTGGTCGTATAACGCATAGTCAGCCAAACGTCCCAGAGATCCGTGCGCGCGAGACCCTCGACGCTCTCCGCACGGCTAGATTACATGCTTGATGCACGAAAAGACGCGCCATCATGCATTACTACTGTACATGTGACTTTCCTCATCTGGTCGCACACGGGACCTTGCAGGTGATGTGCATACAAACACAGTTACAGCGCAATTCATGCAAGGAGTTAGCCATGGCCTCACCTCGGCGATTCACATGTAAGAGGTGAGAAGCTGAAGCAGTGTGGCTCTCATAGAGAAACACCATGATGCGAATACGTCAATCAAAAGAGTCATCATGTTAGTCTACTTAGCCCTCTTCAGCAGGGATCATATCGTTTGCCCAGACCTTTGCCCAGATCGGATCAGCACTTTTCGAGATGCTTCATCGGCAACGCCGTCACGCCATGTGTAAGCCCACGCTCTTCCTATTCGATAAACATGTGCAAAGCTGCGACACGGTTGACGGAGCACTCAGGTTCCTTCCCCAAGCGGCCTAAAACGAAATCCAGACGCCTCCCCATGTGAAAAAAACCGTTGCGGTGGCGCTTTTTAGACGCCGCCGACACGTGCGGACGCTCCCATCTGCACTCCCTAGCTCTAGGGGTGTTGAAACGCAACGGCCAGGCTTTGTTTGTTTGGGATGGTTGACCGGCAATCTATTGGGCATGAACGAAAAGGGTCCGCGGTGAGTGTGTTCGCCTATTTGTCTGCTTCTGGGTTGGGGTGTTTGTTGCCCTCGTTGTCTTGTAATTCCGACCGCATCTCGGAGCGTTCGTTATCAAGGAGGATGTCGATAGGGGAGAAGTGTTTCATGGAGTGATCAAAGTGCAAACAGAATCCTTCAATGCGAACAAATTTGTAACGCAGGATGCATCATGACAAGTCATGTATTCATCGACACCGAGACGATGTTGAATAATGAACATCTAAAATTACAATGAAGCCACTGCTTTACCATCTCAACCATCTTCAATCACGAATCGTAATCGTATAGGGTACGTGCACCACGATCCTCGACGGATATCTCGTTTCACTTACTCGTACAAACAATCCAATCAAAAGCACCACCCTTCACACCTCTACCCTAAAAAAGAACACAGAACATCGGTCACGGACGGCAGTTGCTCTCAGGAGAGCCAGAAAAGAAAATATAACGCCATTTCCACCTCATGACTTGTGCCCGCGAATTAAGACGCCGGCCGAGTAGTAGTAATATTTTAGGCCGAGTCTCCGTCTCAGGAGAGAGCATCGTGGCTCATTTCTGCCTCGTGCGGCTGGGTTGGCCTAAGTTGAATCCACTTCGGGCGCCGATCCGATGTTGACGTTTTCGGTGGGAAGAGAGAGAGAGGCAAATAGGGAGAGGAGGGAGGACTAATGGTATCGCTATGGGGCAGTCTCACAGGTGGTGGTGGGCATCTGATTCAGTATCGACGCAGATGGCAGACAGAGAGATCTCGTTCGCTGGAGACCAGGTTGATCACATTGAGCATTTGCGGGGAATTTTGCGGGCATCTCTGGTGGACTTTTTGTTATAGAGTGGAGCTGACGGGACATTCATTACTGTACAGTACAGTGGACGCCAGGCTGATTTCATTTACCGTCTGGTGGAATCAAAAGATCAATGGATGTCCGGTCCCAAATTTGGCCCAACCCTGTCCCGTCGCAAAGGGGATCAAATCTCTAATGCTGGGAAGGGCAGGGGGAGCGAAGCGCGATGCTAAGAGATCGATGCCGGGCCAACGGCCGGGCTAGTGGAAACTCCAGGTCGCACCCCCGGATGCATGTCTCAAAGCTGGCATGAGAATGGGACATCTGACGGGCTGGAGATTGAGGCGTGGGCAATGAAGATTTCCTTGGCCAGTTGCTGTTGGCCAACCCTTTTGATTGCTTTGTAACCACTGCTTGTCTTTATGTTGTCCGACTGGCCCGGCTCTGCTTCCGCCTTTGCAGATGACGTTTTTGTACCGGTACTTGCGTGATGACTTGTACTTACTCGTACGTGTAGGTGCCAAGTCATGACCGAAGCAGATTTCACGGTTACCAATACAGAGTACGGAACAGAGTATGAGGCTCCAAAGTGCGAATATCAAGCTGGGAGCACCTTGCGGTCCGATGTTTAGGTGTGTGTTGGACGGAGACGGAACATTTGCCGGAACACCGGGGGCCTCCAGTGATCCCAGCTTGCTTTTTCAATTTAGCTGCTCCGAGTTCCGACTCACGACCCCAGACTGGGGGAGGTTTGTGTTTTTTCCTCATCCAGAAAGCAATCGAGAAAATAGCTTGATAAAACACGTCTCACAGGGACATGGGGGGCGGATTGATGCAATTGCCGGAAAATATCGTTCGGGCGTGGCGCGCTTATGGCCCAGGCAGCCGCATTATTTATTGCTGTGGAAGCTCATTATCCATGGAGGTCGTCATTCTGCGTCTTTGGTGGTGTGGTCGTTTGGCGTAAGGGGTCCAACTAAAGCGAATCCTCTGTTGGATGCTGAATCAGGTAGCTCAGGTCAGGGTCTGCTGGTTGAAGCATTGGAATTGACCCTTTGTTTGAACCCTTTGAAGTTCTATCTTTGATGGCGATGGGCAGCCGACGGAGATTGCTGCCAAGATCCGATACATTACATACCCAGCCAGACCCGAAAACGCGGAACCGTAAATAGGTACGATACGATGGCGAATTTACATGTACACGTGCTTGAACTTGCCGTAGAAAGCTACAGGTCTTACAAATAATCCTGGGGGGAGCGTCCCCACGAGGCGGCAGGTTGAATTTGAGCACGACTCGCGAGGCTGCCATTGAACCACGGAATGTGTGCACCCGCAAAGACTCAATTCAAGATGGGGGCAACGCCATCTCATGCAGTACAGTACAAACACAGGTATAAGCATCCCGCGTTATGCCTCTTTCCGCGACAGGCGCAGCTCTGGCCTGACGCCGACGCTTGGATCTGAGCCCGGCGTTGCACTTTTGGAGAGCAGACAAGGGCCACGATTGGTCCCGAGGCGATGGGATTTGGGGGAGGGGGCTGTTTAGGTACTACGAGGATACAAGTAATCATCCCACGAGCAAGCAAGAGGGTATCCCGTATTTCGTATGTACTACCTGACCTTGCCTTGCCTAGTGCCGTACTTCGTATTTTCAAGTAGCACAAGGCACTGGGCGGGCGCCGTTGAACGGTGCTAACGGTAACTGTAATTGTATGGAACTTGTTTGCAAGCGGTACCCAAGAGACGGGCTCGTTGTTTAATTAATCGCGAGGTTAGTGTTTGATGTAGCTTAGACCCGACTCCATCCGGGCTGGGGATCCGACCAGCACAATTTAAAGTCGGTGATGGCAAGCGGGGCGCGGCAGCTTCAGCCGCGGGCGGGGAGGGGCTTGTTGAAGATTGTGGATTTTTTTTTTTGAAGCCTGGAGACATTTCAAATCGAGACGAGGGCAAAAGTACCGGTGCCGTATCCGAGCATGATGATGCTGTTGTATTGCTGGACACAGTCCATTTGATGCAACAAGCCTGTACAGTACGAGAGTGTATTCCTTGTACTTCCATGTAGTTAGAGGGATTATCAGACCACCAGAAGAAACAAGCAGAAACGCAAAATGGCGGAGAAAAAAAAGAGGCGAACTCGTTGACCGTTTTTTCAACAGCTGCACGTTTGCTTCATCAATGTGGGCTCTGCGAGAAAAATTGCACTCGACGTGCTGTGCTGTTCGCATGATGGGGCCAGACCCAAGGCGCATGTACCGGTACCGACCCGGCAGACACTTGGCGCATCCGCATCCAATGTACTGCAACATTGGCATTGCCCGAGGAGGTACGTACATGCAGGCTGTCACTTGCATATTGGTCACTTTTGCTGCAGTTCAGACGCACGCACGCACAAGGCAATCTACCTACCAGCATTTTTGCATTGTCAAGCAAAAAGAAAAGAAAAAAAGGAGATTTTGAGAGACACGCAGAAGCGAGAAACCGTTCAGCCTGTTGGTGGGCTTGCCGTCGCTCCGGTGTTGCGCCACCACGACACACGCTCGCAACGATAGGATGCTAGGAGGTTGGCCGAGGAGATGCTCTGTGCTATATGCTAGCCTCATGGCTTTGCCTTGCTTTAATGACAATGCGCTTCAAGCAGTGACATTGACTCGGTTAAGAATGCTTGGCAGTTTGTACAGAGCATCTACGAGGAGTAATAAAACAGCATGTGTTGTTGTGAAAGAGGGCAATAGAGTATCCCCAAGAGGCCGTTGCACCCCAAAGACGATAGAGGCTTGCCAGGAAAATTCGGCAAAACCCGAAGGTCATGGATGCAAATCGACAAGGCGGTAACTCTTTGCGCGCAGATCCCTGACGTTTTTTCCATCTCGAAAAAGGTCACTTTTACGGATCCAAGGCGCGAGCACTGAGCAGGGGCTGATGCAGCTCTATCTGCACAAAACTCACCGCCGAGATGCCGTGATTTGGGACCCTGCTTCAATCTCTCTCTTTCTGTCACACTTGTGTGCCGGGCTTGAATGATTGGATGTTTTCTTTTTTGGTTTGGATAGATTCACGTTGGCCGATGGGTGCCTCATTGCCTTTTATGCCCAATACATCGTCATAAGTTGATCCCCTAGCAAAACAGCAGCTACTCACTGCCACCTCAAAAACGAGAAAATATTGAAAGCGAACCCTGTAAGCCAAGCTCTTCGGCCATTGATGTCTCTTGGCTTCTGTCATTGGCACACACAGTGAGCTGTTGGCATCCTCCTCGCACCGTTGAGGTGATTTTTTTCTTGGGCTCGTAGCATCTTTCTGCGTGTTCTGAGCAGCAGGTACAGGTACTTGCATCTGTACGCGGGCCAACCCCAACCCACCATTTCGGTGCCCGTATCCTCCCCTGTGAGACCTGTGCCACTGCCGCCTGGTGTCTGAGAGCGCGGGACGAGCCCCGTGCGTGATTCGCCAATGACGGTCCGGCATGCGGTCGATGCATTGGTACAGGTACGTGTGCAGATGCTCTGGGGAGCCGCCGCCGTTGCAGGTACTGTACTTGTGTATGTCTCAGGTCCTCCATCCATGTATCCCGGCAAGATGCGCAGCCGCCCGCCTTTGGCAGTTTTCTATGAGGACTTCACCTGACGCTACAATTTCAATAAGCCCTGATGCCGCATACTATCTATTCTGTCATCACTGTATTCTTCTTCTGTTTACACTTCAATTACATGTGGCATGCGGATACAAGGTGCTCCATTCTCCATTAATAGCTGCGTGCATGCTTGAACACGATGTACGTACATAGATAGATGCCTTACCGTCAACAGCAACAATCCAATGCATCAAGGAACCAACCAACCCCGGAATCAGGCACAACTGCTGTTAGGCCGGTGCTAGCAACAGCCTCAGCATCACAATCACCATATGCCGTTGCCACATTCAGCCGTCGGTTTTCCTACGTAGCCGGTATAGGCACCCAATGGCTCTATTCTCGGCCCATTGGCATGCCCGGAGTGTATGCGAATCGTTCCCATTTGCTCGCTTTGCGCGCCTTACTTGTTTAACATGAGGGCGCAATGACGACCGAGTCAATCTGCATAACCCGGCCGAAGCTTTGCCTACCGCTCTTCTCTCAACTGGACTGGTATAAAGCCTCAAACGAATACTTCACCCCAAGGCTGTACTGTGTTGTATCGTCTATTGCTGGCCTGGCGGCTAGCGCTGCTCGTCTGCAATTCAATGTGTTCAATTACAGCCCTCGATTCGATGTTCAAACCTTGTACTCTAACCCACCCCGGCGATCCGCCATTTCACCATTGTCATGTGCCTGCTCTGCTTTTGTCTCCTTGTTGGCTGAGCTGCCATGTTCCATGTCCAGCCAGAAGCCCCATCCGTTACGCGAGAGATGCTGCCCCGACTTGTCACGATGGCTTCAGGACGAGTTGAAACCCGGCGTCTGGATGCGCCTCGCAGGGGGATCCGCTCCCATAGTACATACCGCCATCCAAGACCCTTTGCCAGCCCCTCTTTGCTGCCGCCGCCCTTTTGCCCTATGTCTACGCGGGATTGAGTGGCGTATGTCGTTGAACTGGCGGAGGAGCTGTTAGTGATTTCCCACACTACTGTAGACCTGCGTTGCATCCCATCCGCTGTTGAAATTTTTCCTTCCACGTCTGCAGGATGCGCATGTTTGCACATAACCATTTGAGCCTGTGCCTGTGGCATATTTGGGGTAGCATTGAGTGCCCGTACTCTATATGCAAGTCAAGTGCCAGTGTGTGTGCCAGTAGCGTCATAAGGGTTCGGTGTCCAAACTGGATATGGATGTGTGTGTGGTGATGTCGCTCTTCCAGCATAAGGATTGGGGGAAGAAATAGACACGAATATCCCGATCCTGATTGCCTGAGCGCCAGCTGAGAAGCAACCATGAAGCTTGTCTTTTTACCTTAGTCTCTCGTAGTAGCATTATTAGTACTGCAACGGAGTAATGCTAGTAGTGGTAGATCGAATACAACTCATCGTGTTAGTCAAAAACATGATGCAACAAAACCGTCTCCAATCCCAAAATGGCTCCAGAGCTTGCCCTGTATGTTGCATGGAAGTACCTTGCTCGGACTTGCTGAGAATTGGACCCATCCACCCTTCGCCAAAAAGGCTTGGGGTGGGTACTTTGATGTACATTTAAGCGCAGGCTCAGCACGGCTATTGCCTGGGTGCTGTCGAGGTACCGGCCAACCGCTAGCTGGCCCTTGTACTGTACAAGGCCTGGAGAACCAGCACCCCCCAAGTATCCTCCAGGTACCCTGCAGCACCCTGCAGGAATCAGAGGCTTTCAGCGCAGACTCGAGGGCAAGCGCAAGTCCGCCACCTGCGTCTGGCACATCTTCCCCCAAGTGCCTGTACATGTACAGTACGAGTACCGCCTCCAGCTCTTCTCTCTCCGGCCCGGTAAGCTAAGCGTCACTTTTCTTTTTGCCGGACCTCGTTCAACGGCCGTCTTCTTCTCTTCCTCGCATCTTTCAGCGTGTCGTGACCAAGATGCGATGCCCTCGCGTCTGACAATGACAAAGCACCACCGCAGCTCACACGCCCCCAATCCCCATCACATCTCACTGCCTGCGCTACAATTATTCTCCTTATACTAGCCCTGGTCAGCAGCCTTGCGCTGCGGTCAAGCAGCTCGACGGCCCTGGCCGACTGGCCTTTCGCGTATATCCTCGCCCAGCTCCCGGCTGCCGCACCGCTCAGTCTCCGTCTGGCACGATTCTGCATATCACTTGTCACTGCCTGCTCCATTCTGCTGCCTGTAACCTGCTGGTTTTGTCCTGGTAGCACTCAGATCCTATCCAAGTACGGCTCGAGTAATCCCATTACAGCTGGCACCGCTGGACCGAATCTCTCCAAGCCAGACGACAGCCGAGATCTAGATTCAAATCCCCTCCCCCTGGGGCGCGAGGCAATGGCACACTCCGCATCAGGGCCAGATACCTAGCTTGACAAATCTTGCTCTCCTTTCTTGGGTCTGCCAGATGCTCGACTCTTATTAGCCTCTCAACTACACCCGCGAGGCTTCTCTCTTCCAACTCTCTCTCTCTCTCTTTGCTCCGCTGGACTTGATATTGAATCCCGACGCTGATCTCATCGCACCCATCCTACCCTTTCCAATGTCCATCTCCTCGAAACGGTTGTCATGGATTCAGACTCAGATGTAGAACCTGGTGGTTCGATAGCAAATCGTGGGCCTGCCGTCCTGGCCGTCACAACAGCAACTCTGGTCCTTGCCTCGGTCTTCGTCTTCGCGCGCATGATCTCTCGCTACTTCATCGTCAAGAGATTCACTTGGGACGATAGAATTATCCTCTTAGCGTGGCTCATCTCCTTCTTCTTGTCCTTTACCATCTGCTTCGGCGTCGCCAACGGCCTCGGAAAACACGACACCGACATCCCTACATCGCAAATACCCACTCTTCGCCGCTGCGAATATGTCTTCTCTATTCTTTATGTAAGCCCCCCTTTCCTCTTCACTTGCGAAGCCGAGTTGCTGAATATGCTAGAATCCGGCCTTAATGGCTACGAAAACGAGCATCCTCATCTTCTACTTACGCTTGGCTAGAAACACCCAGATGGTCCTGCGCTTCGCTTCATGGCTCACACTCGTCATTGTCAACATTGCAGGGGTTGTCCTCACCTTCATGAACATCTTTCAGTGTACGCCTGTACAAGCTGCTTGGAACGCAAATTATCAGGGCTCGACGAAATGCATCCCTCTCCTCACCGAATTCATCTGTTCCTCTCCCGTCAACATTGTTACAGACCTTGCTATTCTTGCGCTGCCGATCCCTGTCTTGACTGGCATGCGGCTACCCTCGCGGCAAAAGACCATCCTCGTATTTACCTTTACACTTGGCATTTTCGTTGCCGTCGTGGATGTCGTCCGAATCTACTACCTTCAGCAGGCCATCGCCGATGTTCCTACTGGAATCACCTCTGATCCTACCTCGAGGTTTGGCGGCCAGTCCGACTTTGCCTATAATGCATCACTGGCGCTCATGTGGAGCGCCGTTGAGGTCAATGTGGGTACAACTTGTGCCTGCATTCCTACCTTGAAACCCCTTGTTCTGCGACTTCTGCCCTCCATGCTCTATAACCCCAAGAACAAGAATGGCAATGGTACTAGGGCCAGCCCGAGCACTACTAGTGATAAGAGCCAGAGTCAGCGACCTTCTGATAACCAATCACTGGGTAACAATAACGCATCGGGGGTGATCAAGCCGGAACCCGTTGCCCACGGTGCCCTTGGGGGCCGACAACACGCAAGTCCTGGTCCGGATGCGCCCATGAGTGCTATGGAGTTTTTGACCACTCCCGATATGACGACCCTTGGAGACCGTCTCGCCCCCCCGACCAATTCTTCTGCCAATCGTTCTGCCATTCGCTCTCGCACCACTAATACAGTCTCGACCGACCATTCCTACGAGAATGGCATATACTTTGGGTTCGTCAACATGACCAAGCCCAAGAGCATGCTTCGAGCCAACAAGAAGGAATCCTGGAAGTACTGCACCATTGTGGCCATTCTCTTCTTCCTGTGGGGTATTTCGTACGGATTGCTCAACACGCTCAACAATGCGATTGCGGCGGTGAACCACATGAGCACAGCTCAGACGATTGGCCTGACGAGTGCTTATTTTGGCGGTGGCTACTTCTTTGGTCCTCTTCTTGTCGGTGAGTGGATTCTGCGACGAGACGAACATAGCCGATCCAAGCGCCATCGGCAAAATGACGAAAACATTGGGGGCTATAAAGCGACTTTCATCACTGGCTTGTGCATTTACGGCACTGGCACCATCATCTTCTGGCCTTCTGCCGTGACCAATTCTTTTGGTGGCTTCATGCTTAGCAACTTTGTCGTTGGCTTCGGGCTTTCGGTGCTCGAAGTTGCTGCCAACTCCTTCATGGTGCTCTGTGGGCCTCCACAATACGGCGAGACTCGCCTCATGCTGGCGCAAGCCGTCCAGGGCGTCGGCAGCGTGCTCAGCGGCCTTTTGGCACAAAAGGTCTTCTTCACGTCGCTGAGCAGTGTTGATCCGAGTGGCCGAAATAGCAGTACCACGCTAATTAATGTTCAGTGGACATACCTCGGCATCACTCTGCTGTGCGTCGTGCTCGCCCTTTTCTTCTATTACATGCCGTTGCCCGAGGTTAGCGATAGCGAGCTTGAGGAGTCGGCCAAGCTGCTGCCTGTTGATCCGTGTAAGAAGAGTATTGGCGGTCTGCAGCTGCGAACCATCAGTCTCATTCTAGCCGTCATGGCACAGTACATGTACGTGGGTGGCCAAGAAAGCAACAGCACCTTTTTCAACAGTCTGCTCGTTTCTATTATACCTGGCCAGCCCAAGTCCGGTATGCAAGCTACATTCGGTACCGTCACTGGGGCTGCGGTTGATCCCGATCATCCTATGGGGTTCACACTTTCTCTCTCTGATTACCTGACAGTCGGACACACGGTTTTCGCCGTCTCGCGGTTTGCTGCAGCATATTTCATTTACTTGTCTGTTAACAATTCTCGGCTGCCTCAGCCACGGACTGTTCTCAGCTTCAGCATTATTCTCTGTTTCATATCGGCTCTCCTTTGTGTCCTCCTGAAGCCTTCCAACCCAAATCTATTATTTATTCCTGCTTGTTTGTTTTTCTTTGGCGAAGGCCCCATTTGGCCTCTTATTTTCGCTATTGGCATGCGTGGCCAGGGCAGGAGAACCAAACGGGCGGCCGCCTTTATTACTATGGGTGCTTCCGGCCCTCTATTTTTTCCCTTTATCATGTACGGCATTATTGTACGGGGCGGCACTGTGCAGACGGCGTTTATACTCATTGTAGCCATGCAAGTGGCAATGTTGGCTTTGCCAATTTTCCTCACTTACGTCAAGGACGCACGCCTGATGGTGGACCCGCGTCCATCACGCCGTGTGTTGCGGAAGGAAGGCGGTCGTCCCATAGACGAAGCGGTTGCTGATGTGGTGGTTGCCGAACCGGAGCCTCGCGGTACCGACTCTGCTACTATTACTGTTGATTTTTTCAGAGAACCTGGAGTTGCGGAAAAAAACCATCGTGGATTTCTGGACATTGTTACTAAAGGCTTGGGCGCAAAGCTAAACGGGGCTCGACGCAAGTCCTCACCTACTCTCGAGGTAGAACATAGCGAGGGCAGCATCGACGCTTAGAGACGACTATGGCGGGCACGAAACGTCTTTTTCCTTTTTATTTTTTACATCTTTTCCTCGTTTGGATATATCGGTTTTCTTGGTTGTATATATATGATGTGGCAACAAGTTTTGCCTATTGGCCGGGGTTTGGTGTTTGCTGGTGGCTTGGATGACTAAAATTATACCCCATATCTCAAACGGAGGCTGGTTTATGGATATTGTCTGTGAGATTACAGACTTGGAGGCTTTAAAATTAACTGTACAATTTTATACAATAGCTTGGCGTGGGCTTAGATACAGATGGTGTAGATAGTGTTTATATTACACCCATATCTATCTACTTGATATTGAACCTGTTGATTGTGATTGTACTGCTTTCCCTTTTGATGTATGTATATCTCGTATCTATATCTATGACATTGTTCAGTCCTACCAGATAGAGTTGATGTCTTTCTCAATCGAGGTAAAGACGCCAACGCCCTGTCTCCCCAAGGCCGTTGCGATTCCCACGGCCATGGCTCCCACACGGCGCATTCTCTTATACCCCTGACCGTCATAGACTCCTCCCACTCCAATGATGTCCAAGTGCGCCAGCCGGGAATCGGCGTCAAATTTTCGCCGCAGCGTCGCCACGTTACCCAGTGCGAGGGGATGCAGTGGCGGTCCGGCCATGCCTCCGATGCCTCCTCCTGGAAGGAGGGCATCGTCTGAAGAAGAGTCTGAGTCGAGTAGGAGGCATGACCCGAGGGTGTTTGTTGCGGTGAGGAAGCTGAGCTTGGAGGCTGGCGAATGGTTTGATTCAGAGCCGATGAGGCAGGATACGAGGTCGTCGAATTGGCCGGCGTGAGTGTATGGAGGGATTTTAATGCCGATGGGGATGGTGGATTCAGAGGGCAGGACGTCGACGTAGGAGGATAGTGAGGAGGGGGAGTATGCTGGCGGAGGGAGGTTGGGGATGTTGGGGCAGGAGAGGTTGATTTCCATGGCTAAGGGGAAGAGGACTGAGGTTGAGTGGGAGGAGATGAGGGTGTGGCAGGCGAGGATCTCGGCGGGGGAGCCCGTGACGCTGATGATGATTGTTTTTGAAGATGGAAGTGAATCTGCGAGGGAAGATATGATGGAGAGGTATTCTGATAGCGGGAGAGGGCTGTAGCCGAGCGTGTTGAGCGATGCGAGCGGGATCTTGTCAGCGTCTAGATCAAGACGACCAGCTTCGTTGTCATTGGAGTCCTCCGGGGGCCCGGAAAATGTGGCCGCTCCGATGCTGGTGCCGGTGGCGGGATCGAAGAGGGCGTAGCGGTGGGTGTCCGGGGTGTGCGGGAAGCCGGCGACGAGGCTCGTGCGGGTGGTGACGGCGCCGACGGAGGGGCAGCGGAGGAGGGCGGCGAGGTGGGCGTGGGATGTTGCCCAGGGGGAGGCGGTGTTGAGGAGGGGCGGGTGGAAGGAGAGTTTGGGGGGCATTTTTCTTTGTTTGGGTAATTATTATTTGCTTTTGTATGGGTGTGTAGATTTATTTATGCAAGATGTCTTGTGTTGGTTTTTATGTGGTTGTTGTAAAACGATAGTTGTGTTACTGTGGTGGTGATACTGAAGCTGATAACACATAGGTGGGGAATCAGATAAGATACAGAATCTACATGTACGTACACACACACATGAGGTTACCCCACATTCTTCAACCTCGAACACGGTCCGTCCCGCTTAAGCGAAGCCGAGGTCAAACAAGAAAATCTCAAGCCAAAAAGTACAGAGTACGCCAAGAAAGTACCTCCCTCCGTGTCTCTACACACACGTATATAAGAAAATGACGGAAAAAGAAAAACAGACACGGATAAAACAGAATGAAATCTCACGTTCAAGACAAATTAAACAAGCAAAATAAACTTCTGACAACTCAAAATACAATTCCGCAACAACGGACCCCCATTTAACAGCTAACAATAGCAGCCGAACCCCAGATTCAATAATTTTACCCACATTTACCACTTCTGGCAACGGTAATGCGAGACACACACATTTCACCTTCCCCCTTGGCCACGAGACTTTCTGGAAAAAAGGAGCTCGCGGGCCGGAGAGGGGCCAAGCAAGCGCACCTTGTAAAGTAAGCATTTATAATCCCCCATCTTGGCTTCCGGAGCATTTGTTGCTTTTTTCCCCAGGTTTCGCTTGGCAAAAGCCCGAGCTTGATCGTTTTTGTTATTGTTTTTTTTGTATATGGAGGGACGGAAATCCGGATTTAAATTGGGGTACTGTAAGTCCGTACGTACTTATATACTTGACCCCCAAAGTCTGTTGCTTGTTTTGTTTCTCGCGGGGAGTTTACCGCAGGTTTGCTTGGTTTCCCTCGAAACGGCGACTTTACATGATATGTGTGATACACTCTATTATTTGTGTCAACTGTCTGCTCAATACGGCTGATTATGGAGAGCATCACTCACCAAGGCAACAAAGGGCCTGCTCTTGTCGACGTTGTTTGAGACTTCGGTCGAGTGTTGACCAGTGCATCAAGTCAGCAACGATAGGACATATTACCCGATGCATACAGCCAACCTTGCTTTCACCAAATGGTTCAAAAGGACATCGTGTAACAAGACACAATATATTCCATGGCGATATGTACATGCTTCGCCTAAATGCGAAAGCGGAAAGACCTATATACAAAGGCATAATGCATGACCCATTTCCTCCAAAAAGACGGATAAAGAAGACATCCGTGGTATCCCTATCTCAATCTCAAATGCAACAAAGAAACGACCAAACTCCAGAAAGCTATGAGCACAATCAAACCGGAAAATGCTGGTAAATGTGACAGAAAAAAGATAATCAACCAGAAAAACTTTTTACAGATCCAGGAAAAAAGAAAAGAGAAGACAACGGAAAAGAAAAGACGCGATATCCCCGTGGCCGCATTTACCAACCGAATTGCTCGCAGTGCAGCTCTATGCCCGGCCCGTCAGATCGAATGCATGCCGCCGTGGTGTTGCGAACTGTTGCCATGAGGCCGTCAGGTCCGCATCCCAATACCAGCACACGCTTCTCTACCGGCGTCTCGGCAACTATGCTCTCGATCAAAACCGCAACATCTGGTTTGCCGCGCTTGATGGAGCTCTGATAGGCGTGTGTCTGCACTTCAACGGGGCCGGCGTTTTGTGTTGAATCGGTTTCCTCTGCAACAGACTCTTCAGATGAGGATTGAAGGGGCTGAGCCGTCACATTACCGACAGCTTTTTCGAGATCGGTTTCGGAGGATGGTGTGACGGGCATCGATTCGGGGCGTGTCTCGCTATCTTCCTTCTCTTCTGACGATCGGGTGACGTAAAGCTCGAGTTCAACACGGGAGTCCTTTGCGAGAGTGTCGAGGTGAGAGGCAAACCACTTAAGATGACCTGGTAATATCTTCGTTAGCCCATGTCGCCACTTTTCAAGACCCGATTTACTTACTCTCATATTTGACCATCCAGATAAAGGTAATCTTCTTCTCCAGCTGCGTGCTAGCCACGTTCTTGAGCATGTTGAGTGCCATTCCGAATGTAAAGGTTGAACCACTTCCACCGGCGACCAGGACAACTCTGTCATATTCAGAAGTGTCAGGCAGGGTACCATATGATCCCTCAACCGAGGCCTTGACCGTTGTCCCCGGATGCTTCAGGGCATATTGATGCAGGTCCTGTGTGAAGCCATCGTGAGAATTCACAACAAACTCTAGAGGATCCATGGCTGCAATCGTAAAGGGGTGTGTCTCGCAAGTTCGAATCGAGGGAATCCAAAGGAAGCAATGCTGCCCTGATACAGCGCCCAAGGGAGCCTTCTTAAGGGTCACTCGGGTGCCACCGTTTGGCAGAGGTGTAAGGACGGCAGAGTTGTTGGTGCTGTATATCAAAAGGCGAGTCACACGAACCAGACGGTCGAGCACCCAGATGCCGGCGGTGACAATCACCACGTAGACAATCTTTTCGCCAAAGTTGGGTTGATGGAGGCCGACCATGACGATGGCAATGATCCAGAAGCTGATGTGAACATAGTAAAAGAGCTCGTACCACCACCGACGGATGACCATTCCCGCAAAGCCGACGATGAAGAAGGAGGCGCCAGCAATCTCGCCATAGATCACGCTCTCTTCCCGGAGGACCGAGATTCTTCCCGCAAACCCAAAGTAGGACGAGTAGCAGCTGGCATGGATGATGACAAAGATGATACACGTGGAACCAGCGATTTGATGAAGGATATTGAGGCGCTCATACGACCAAGCTGTGAGGAACGCCAACGGAGTGTTCTTTAAAGCCAAGAAGATGAGGACAACCAAGTTTGCGACCGCCATCCTGTTCCAGAGTCAGCCAATTAAAGCCAAGAAGCAAAGCAAGATCGTTGTTGGAGATACTACATACCATGCAGCTCGTGCGGCCAAGTTGGAGTTCATCGTGATGACAGAATTGTCAATATCGGTAAAGGTAACAATGATGTTGATGGCGAGATAAAAGAAGACGATGATGGCATGCCCTCGCGAAGGCAGACCAGGTGCTGTGCGGAGAAGAACATTTCGTGGTTTCCTATTTTCTTTTATTAGCTTCCTTACAACATTTAATGCTGACCTTTTGCTTTTCATAACTTGCAACTTGTCGTCACAGATCGAACACGATGACGGGCCGAGACATCTAGTTACGGTGCGCAGACTTACCGAGACAAGGCAGCCAAAGCTGAAACCCCCTTTTTTCCAACATTCGATTTCTGCGCAAGGCGTCGTCCTAGATGGAAGAAGATGAAGATCGCCGCGAGTCCTACTATCGCACCGATAAATGCGTACATCTGCCGGTGGTTAAGCTCCTCACGGTGTGCGAATGCGGTGCTGCCAGCCATGTTGGGCGACTTTGATGTAAACCGTTTCGAAATAGGATAACGTCCACGTCAAAGCAGGCAGCTATTGCCCAAAGAGTGTCCTATGCTTTACTCTTAAACCCCTGGAGCCGGCAGTGATTATGGGTTATAGTACGACAGGGAGGAAGATGAAGACTAAGAGAAGGTGATTTGTGATAGGCCAAGGTTGAGGCTTGCTGTGAAGGAGAGTAGTTGAGTTGGTGAGTATAACAAACTATGTCGTGCACCAAGAGGGGGTATATGTCCTTTTGCAGCAACTATCTATCGGTCAGCGATCAGACAAGGACACAAGACGCAAACCTTGTTGCCACGCAATGCCGGTCGATGATTACATGCAAGTACATCGGTGCCTTTTGAAGATGGTTCTATATTTACCTTCGAGTGGATGCCGAGAGTGGCACTGGACCGGCCCGTGCGGCAACTCAGCCAGGTTATTTGCCCTGATATCGATGCCCCTTGTAGAAAAGGCAAAGTCAGCAAGGCCTGTTCAGGCAATGCTGGGCAGAGATTGCGAATTTTCGACCTGATATCGACGGTTCAAAGGGGAAGGTGAGGGCCGTTTTCGATGCTCTCTTCGCGGTGGTTCCTGCTTGATAATGCTTGTCAGACATGTGTTACCCCGGCCCCGACGGCACGGGCGAATAAGCTATCTGTAAGTGAATACTTTTGTATGAGGACAAGCTTACGTGGTGTCTCAAGGAGTCTGTTATCAGTCCAGAGTTTATCTCGCTGATAAAGTTCTGAACGGGAGGGAGGCCTCAAGTGAGTTGAAGTCAGGTCGCTGAGGCTTCACACCGTCCCAAGCTTTCAAACTCAACACTGCAGCGTTTCAGTCGACTCGAAGAGATTATGCGGGTATATGCTCTACGACACCAAACGAGCGGAATGCATAAATATTCTGGCCAAGGGGCGAAAGAGTACCCATGGTACCAGGGCGTCTGCCTTTATGTTTCTTTGCCAAGCGCCATCTTCCCCCAGCATTTTCTCGCAACTTCCCTTTGCAACCACCTTCTGCCAGGCGCCAGATTGCAGATTCGGCCCTTGATACATCATCCATGAGCAACGACCGGCCGAAATCCATGTCAGTCGCGTGTAAGGAGCCCACAACGCCGGCGCAGGGGGGGGCATTACGCTGATCTTTTCGCTCTTGGGGGGCCCCAACAGCTTGTTCCAGAGCCTGGTGGACTCGAAAGAAATCTGATAATGCACCCTCCTCCACTCGAGACAGATCATGATGATATGAACGTGTCGACATGGGAAAATCCCTCCCTCCCTTCTCGTTGCTAGCCTTTCTTGGCTGGCCATCCACGATGCAACGATTGGGCCCATCTTCGCAGTTGAGTTTAATTTCTCCCCCCTCCCTACCGTCATGCCCTATGAAGCCATAGAACTGTCTCTCCTATGTACTTGTGTAGCGAAATTTTTTGGGATTTGGTGATGCAATGCCACTATTGCGAGAACGGGCAGGAGCCTGTACCAAGTGTGATACGGCGTTTCACCCAAGACAGACTTGTAAGACGGCAGCCCAAGTCTCGACATGCTACACCAGGAAACCCCTTCGCTTACACCTCCCATTACATCAAATCGAGCAATTCATGCTCTCATCCAAGATTATCGTCGGCAGACAGAGCCCAGCCATGCATCTTTGATATCCCGAAGGAAGAGAATGCGGGGGAGAGATTTAGCTAACCAAGTTCTACCTTGATTCATTGCGTTCGTGTTGACTCCCCGGGGACGGGCCGACTACGAGATCGCCAGAATAGGGCCGTCCACGGACAGAGTACGCAGGACAGAGTACACACAATTTGCAGGCATCGTCCAGACAAGGTAACGGAAAATATGTTGAGACACAACACGGCGGCCTTGATCCCCTTTGAGTAAGGACGATTAGTTTGTTCTTCCTCTTGCGAGGATTATGACAAGGTTTGACCCGAGATAAACAGAAAAAAGGTTTTAGACGTCGCATGAATTTAGCCCTTGGCTAAAAGAGGCAGGCAAATAGGCCATATTCTGCTAGCACGCAAAGCTTATGGAGACAAGGTTTTGTCCCGAGGCTTTATTTGAGAATTCTACAGAGAATTGCTGAAGTTCTGTCACAAACTTTCGGTGATGCGCATTCGGGTTCGATTAGTGTTTGGCTATTTTGGCTCTGCCAGGACGAAATTGCCGGGAGGTGGTGGTGATGTGAATTTAGCCACGGGCCGGCACGCGGCTTGGATGTTGCTCGATTCGTATTCCTTGGCAGTAGCAGCAACGATAGCGGGTAGCTCGCCTGCCATGTCGATTCTGCCATGGAAATGCCATGGCTATCGTTCTTGACGGTGAGGATGATTAATGAGTGATTGACCCTACGGAAGGAGTTTGCGCCGCCGTCAGTCCATGTCGGATTTAATACTATTTTGAGGGCGTCGGCTGAAACGAAACCACCGATGGCATCCGCAAACCTGTCGTGACCGGGGGGGTGCCGTTTTCCTTCCCAAGACTGCACGGTATCTGCGCCTGGCGCAGTGGTTCGTGACTCAAACAACCAAAGACCGTCTGCGCTGCGATTTCAAATACCTCGGCCGCGATAGTCGAGTTAGGATGAGTGGTCATTCGTCGGAGGAACTGAAACTCGTTGTCTCCGGTCACAACGCCGCTTGGCGCTGACCGTGTGGATCTAGCGGAAGAGCATACAGGGGAATGCTAGTGTTATTGGCTGTGGGTTTGAGAGAAACAAGCAAGTGGCCCGTCGGCAATAGATGCAGATCTGACAGGAACAGGGCTAGCCATAGTAGCCATATATAGATGTCGGCACCAGGCATTGCGGAATCTAGATTGTGTCTGACCGGCACGGCCGTTGTTAGTCGGGATAATTGCTCCGTTTGCCCTACCAATCTGACGATAAGGCCGTGGAAGATAGGAGCCATGCTTACATACAGCAGGTCCGTGGAAACGGGTGTGTCCACAGGCCACGGCACTTGAACAGCCGAATCTTAAAGAAGCAATGCAATCCCGTTGACGGAGTACGGAGTACAGTAGCACGCAATATGGCAATGCCGAGCTCGACCCGTACAAGGACATAACAAGCACAGGCCAGGACCCGTGTGAGAAATCTCCATGGCCCATGTCGCATGCCCCCATACACGTACCAGCAGGATGGCCTGGGCGAGCTCCCGCGAAGCAACCCCAACCGCCGCCTCTAGGTTGCAGCGCAGACAAAGCGCGATGCTCAATGATGTCGATACAGCAGCCACATGATGGCCTCGCAGCGTGAGGGATACGTGAATGTCCGAACCTAAGACTCGGATTATTAGGGAGCCAAGCTCGATGAGCGTTTTGACAGGCGTGGCTCACCAATCAGAGGGACGCCCACAACCTGAGGGTTACATTGGATTCGGCCCTGTCGACGAAATGTGGGCTAGAGGAAGGTCGAGACGGGGGCGTGAGAGTGTGAGGAGTGTGAAGAAGGGGGGGAAGTTGCATAAGTGCAGCTTTGTTTCGTTTTCTCGGAGAAAAGTAAGAGGGCAGGCGGAGAAACTGCTGACTGAGCTGCTGGCGGCAGAATTCATAAATACTCCGGACTCGTATGCTGCAATTTGGATAAAAACATAAGAAAACCTGTCATTTCCTCTAAGAGAATTAGAACCGCAAGCGGAAGAATAAATGGTTCGATTAGTATTTCCTGGGGATGGCTTCAATCCTGCTCAACGGCCTGGTGGAGTGCGACTAAGTACATGTAATCTAAGAGTACCAGAACATAACAGGGAGCCTGTCGTTAACCCATCCAGGTTTTAGGCAGACGCTAGATGGTAGTGACCTACCTATTGCAGCTACATTAGCCATGGATCATTTGTCTGCCTGCTGTCGCCACGCTACTGTATCTAATCCGAACACATCAAACAGATATCGATGCAGCTCATCCCATCGCCTTCACCGGGTAGATGATCAGTCCTTGGCAAGTTAGTAGGTAGAACGCATCGTCAATCTGCGCTTAGTTTATAGAAAACAATTTGCTCGTCTGGCATCACAAGCCCCCTTGGCCTAATGGTTAAGGCGCAAGACTTCTATTAGCACTAGCCTACAAAAAGGTTGGCGTCTGTTAGAGCGTATCTTGAGATTGCCAGTTCGAGTCTGGCAGGGGGCTTCGCTTTTTAAGGGTTCCATCATTTTTGGACTTTTTTTTAGCACTGCGCAACTTCTTTTTTTAGCACTGCGCAACCTCTTTCTTCATTGTTGCATCTATGTTCTGATTTTTCTTGATTTGGGAGTAATACGGAGTATATCATATCTTTGATCCAGGCCCATGGCAATCCCGCTTCTCCACCAGACTAAAGCAGATCATAGTCCACTCACTTTATCAAGCCTATCTCTCACACACGATAGAGGAGCCAAGAACGACATATCTTATCATATGTTTATTTAACAAGTCATAAGCCATCGTCCCGCCAAATCAATGGTTAATCCATGATTCCTATTCGTATCAGAACTAGTGAAAATGTCGTGAATATTAATAAGACGCCATTACCTTGAATCCTATATAAGATTTCAACAGCCCACTAGCTAAAACACGACGACTTCAGTGGCAACCTATAACGAAACACCCCTTTTTGATATTACCAAAGATAGAAAAACCAACGAGTTTCTCAAATTTTCGCTCAAGGTGCCTACACAATTCCATGACTATCACGCGCCAAAAAAATTTTTTTGAATGAGCCGGGCGAATGGACGTTCTACAGCCCCTTATCTGACTAAGAAGAGGGGGGATAAGGGCCTTACGCCAGAAGACACCGACTGTGGCTCGGATTGATTATAAAAAGAAGGGTTCTATGCAGATCCCGCTTACAGTACTCTGTCTTACGTGAAATAGAGATCATGCCATGAGTGTTAATAGCATAAGCCCTAGAGCTACCGACTTCCTAATCGGCCGTCATATATTTGAGTAAGCTCAGGTATGTCTCACTGTGTACTTGGCAACGGCGCTTGAATCTCAAATAGAATATAAACAGTCACCTTCAACTTCCATAAACATCAATTCCTAATACGTTACATATGGAAGGCGTCTATCTTGGCGTTTCATACCACCAGGCGTGTGTGCTCTAAGCCTCCACTTCAGCTATGCATGCGGGCAGGCTTATTGGTTACCATTAATCAATATTACCACCCTGCATTGTCACGTTGCCCTTTCATGGGAATCATTGCGTTGATCAGGCTGCGTTGAGCTGAATCTTTCCTTAGATTGCCGGGATGCAACCTACGAAGTCGTGTAAGTGGTACAATCAGGAGACGTCATGTTCCCAAGAAGTAATTCTACTCACAGATGCATCGTATCTCTATTCAGATATCACGGACAATCCACATCCTTGTCTATCCTAGCTTTGTCATGTCACTATAAGCCGTGCGCAAATCGCCAGAAGCTCTTACCCGCCTGAGCGCCAGATCCTCCATCTTCTGCCTGCTGAGTGACTGCAACCCTTGTAGCCAGTAAATGTCCTGATTATCGACAGTGCTGTTCATGTAGAACTAGTGGGCCTCTCGCCACATACCCATTCCCTTGTAACAATGGGCTATGTAAAAGTTGATCTTGGAGTCGATGCCGGTCATACCCTCGGCAAATGCGATGGTGGAAGCCTCATTGGCCTCGCGCAGAGCTTCCCTCCACCGAGGTGGCCTCTCGCTGGCATATCGTTTGCAGGCTGCGATGTGCCTGCTGATGCGTCTCTTGATCCAACTAACATCTTCTTCGTCAAGCTGAAACAGGCGATCAAAAATCTCTGTTTCTTTACCCAGGGCCTCTGAACTAGCTGAGGTTGACGTACTGGCCATCTTTGACTTTAGAACTGTGGCTTCTCTTTCTTTCCCTTTAGCGATTTGGTGGAAAACTGGCTTCTCGTGGTCGATTCTTGATAACCGAAATCGCGACTCATCCAGGAGTTTATAGATTCACAAGGTTTGTTTCTATTCACAGGTATATGGACGTGATGGTGATTCACCGCCATCATAGTTTTCGTGTGTTTGCCCTTTGCAGCAGTTCAGCTACTAATACTGACGTTCAAGTGACACAACATGCGGCAGGCGGTCGATACAAAGGACAGTGGAATCCATTGAAGAAAACACCTTGTAAATTAAAGAGTAACATCATCATAAAATCACCCTTTGTTCAAATCTAGACCACAGTGTGATGGTCGCAAGCCATCATCAAACAAAGGCGTGATTGTACGACAATAGTGACGCTGGCACCGGACGACAATTCAATCAGCTCAAGGCAAGGTTGCGTTAGCTGTGTTCGATGTTATTTCCAGCACTTACGGATATGTGCTAAACAAAGATCTTTACTGCAAAGTTCACATTTCCACTGGATCTGAACCATAACGGTCGTTATAAGTTCACATTTCCACTGGATCTGAATCATAACGGTCGTTATACGTTCATTTTTGGGTTGCAATGGCCTTGGCCGTTGTCCCCGAAACATTGATCTGGCCGGCATTTGCTGATTCGCGAATGCCCTGAAAATATTAGGACGTCCTCTTCATCAATGCAACGAATCCAATTGAATAGAAAGAAAATGTAAAAAGGTTATGAACGAAAAGAGAACCAAAAAAAGAATTCCAAATACCGGATAACGCATTGGGGCATTTTGCTCCCGGCAGGGCTTGAACCTGCGACCTTCGCATTACCAAGGCTAGATTGTTACGTCTAGTATTAGTACGAAGCTCTAACCAACTGAGCTACGGAAGCGCATCCGAATTTGGAAATTAGCGGGTTCGAAGCCAGAGAATGGCTCCCAATTGTTGGAAGGGGCAGAGTTATTATTGTCTATACAGGGTAACCCATTTCAGAAGTACAATCGCAACACCAAACTGGGCACTCAACCCGGGTATTCTGCTTCAAGCAAGATAGCCCAAATCTCTTTGGAAAGGAGAGTATACACATTTTGGAGCAGTTGACAATTTTGCCCAGTTCAGCCGTCAAGGAGTGGCTGGAGTAGGCGAGAGTGATGCTTTGACGTTTGAGCCCCCTAAGTCCAATGCAAGACAAAGAAAGTCACAGCGGCATCGTTTGAATTGTATAGAGGATCCCCCCAAATGTGGTAGATATCTCAGTTTATTTGCTAGTACTATTTAGCTCATCAGGGGAAGATGAAATAGTCAATGAAACATTTAGAACCCCTTTGCGAATCTACCCAGTCATGTCTTCAGCGCACCTCGGACACCTTGTGCTGGTTCGGCATGAGGCTCCGGATCTGAATTTCAACTTCCGTTCGGGCTTTCGGAACATTTAAGAGAGCCGATTTCAATTTCTCAATAGCCCAAGTCAGTCCGGTCTGCTTTGCGTAGTCAATGGCCGACTTTCCATCGTCATCTTTTGTGTCCGCCGCGATGCTCGAATCCAACAGATCATCCAGCGTCTGCTTCATAGAGGCGACACTACCAATCTCAGCAATTGTTTAAGCTCGGGGGAATCCGCCGGGAATTTACACCACGGCTGAGTCCAGCCATTTTCCACTGTAGGTGAAGTAATGGATGGAGTCGCCTCCAGGCAAGTAGATTGGGCCACAGTAAGGAGACTTGATGATATGAACGAATGTCAATGAAATATGAGCTGAAAGTTCAGTCGAATTTACAGTTGCTGGTAGCGTTCCTTCACTCGTAAGCCGAAAATGGAATACGACGACCCATAAAGTATTGCGTTTCGGATCGGCACTAAGCCGTGCCAAGAGCACCAAGAGGCGCTATGTCTTAAATAATATACGAAGGCAGTACGTTATGCATCAGGTAAAGTTCATCGAAACATATGGATCATCGGCTGTAAGTATATAAGTTACTCGGCAGATACCTGTCCTAATTGCCTGCGCAAAGCCTTTGATGGTCACAAGTCGGCATCTCATCAAGTGAAAACCATGATTGCTCGTCTTATCATTTTCTCTGTCCTGGCAACTGCCAGCTTGGGCATCGAAACACGCCTTCATCGTCGTATAGATAGCAGCACACAGTCTGGTCCATCTGGAACATTTATTGAAGGCGTGGTAAATGCTACAATTGCCATCATACCCATCCCATTCTCCCTCGCCAGAAATATTGTGCCATCAAAATATGGCATCATTCAGACTTATTTGGATTATCTGCCAGACTTTCATGGGAAATACCCTGTGAGTAGATTCACCAATTTATAACCCTATGACCATGCCTGGAGGGCGACTAAAATTTAGTTATTCATGTCTAGTTGGTACTGGAGTTTGCAGTGAACACCAATGTCGTTATTTCTGGGACAGCGTCCTCCAACTTTTCGTCTATACGATTCACCTATCCGTTTATTGACCTGTTAGGCAATGGGTATAGCACGTTCCGTTATGAAACGGACTGGATCGTAACGCCTCAACCCGATATTATTGACGCCAGTACATCGTTTGGATTGAGAGTTACGGCTGCCGACTTTCGACCAGACACCCCAGCAGCTTATGAGCTTGTGTCCGACCCTTATTGCAGAGGGGAGACATCCTACGATGGATTTTCTCGAAACAGCACTGGTCCTTACGTCACGTCACGACACTGTCCACGAAGTCCAAGTAACGAGAATCAATACGATCGTCAAGTGGCATTTTACAGGAACGCGACCACCCAACCAATCTTTGTCGACGGTAGCATCTGTGCGAATGTAACCAGATCTTTTGATGCTGAAATAGCACACAATCACCGTTTCGTTGAGAGCGAGGTCATTATTTATGGCGATTTCCCAGCTCACGGTAAATGGGAGAAAGTGCGCGGTCTACAGGTTGCAACGCCGTTTACAGAAAACTATACCGACTGTTCCCTGCTGTATAATTTATAACTTTGTGAGAAGCTTTCGAATGTGTTGGAAGCCTGATACAATATATAAAGGCCCTAACTATATTTATTTACATATCGTGTGAACTGCACCTGTTAGATAGCGTTGTATAGCATAGTTAACGTTGATAATTATTCTTGATAATAATGCCTTGGCTACTCTCTGATATATTTTTGGCCAGACCAGCAGTTAAAAATCTTGTCATATTATTTGCCGGCATGATTGATAGTCTCTCGCAAATTACTCTCTAACACATCCCATAGTTGTCAAATCATAGCCCTGTGTACGGAGTAGCAGTAAGGCCTCTACCAAAAACCAACAATTTCTATCAGAAAGCTAACGATGGCAGTGACCTAACTTCGACTGGTGATGGGAAAGAATACAAATCCAACCTGTGCTCATTATTTCCACATTGGGACCATCTGTGGCTATCATCACCGCACAGGAGGCCTGAGTCAATGGCTACTAAGTGAGTTCCACATTTCGTATCCTATCGTGTCTTTAGAATATGGTGTAATATTACGGGGACGCCGAAGCGAATTGCAGATGATGAGACTGTTACAACCAAACCCTGCTATTGTAAGGCTTGGCAACGACCACCGTATTCCTTTTTTGACATACGAGATGTGCCATTTGGTGTTCTGCTGTAGGCTCGGAAAATTCATTTGAAAAAGCACACTATATGCTCGGTGATAATTCCTTTGAGCCGTAAAATCCATCTGTGATGTTTAGTACGCTAGCCAGCTGATCCTTTGTTCCTGGAAAATTAAGAAGTAAAAGAAAAGTATATAGGACTGGCGACGGTGTTCCCAAATCAAAGGACCCAAGGACATTCAAGTTTATACACATCTGGCCTTTCTCCTCTTTTTGAAACTATTCAAGTGTCGTCTGGCTTTTAAACATCTAGCTATGGTCGATACACTACTTGTTACTGGAGCAAACGGCTATGTAGCTCTTCATGTTATCAAGGAAGCCATTGCCCAGGGATACAAAGTTGTAGGAACAGTTCGCTCTGTTGCCGCAGCCGACAAAATCATGGCAATATTTCCCGATTTATCCTCACAGCTACAAATCGTCGAGGTGCACGATATTACGAAAGCGGATGACTTTGAAAAGGCATTTGAGAAGTTCAAAATCGGAGCTGTTATCAACACAGCGTCGCCGCTATTGAATAACCCGAAAGACGTAAAGGCCGACGTCCTCGATCCTGCGATCAAGAGTGGCGTGGCAATTCTTGAAGCTTCAGCCAAATATGCCGGGCCACAGCTGAAACGTGTCATCCATGTTGGATCCTTTGCGTCAGCTCTTGACCTATCGTTGGGCCTCGCTCCAGGGAAGACATATTCTCCTAGTGACTGGAATCAACTTACATACGAGGAGGCTGCAAACGGTGGGCAAGCAACTGGGTATATGGGATCAAAGGCTTTGGCTGAAAAGCATATGTGGGAATGGATGAAGGAAAACACACCCGCCTTTGACATGGTATCGGTAGATCCAGCGGCAATCTTCGGACCGCATGTCGGGCCAGTTGACCTTGATCATTTGAACATATCAACCCAGATGATATGGGAGCTTGTCGTCCCATCGCCGCATCCGCCGCCGTACAATTCTGGTCACCTTGGAGTTTGGGTTGATGTCCGCGATGTCTCTGCAGCTTTGCTTGCGGCTGTGAAAGTTCCAGAAGCAGGCGGTGAACGTTTCTTGGTTGCACAAAGGTGCCACTGGCAACTTGTGAGGGATGAAGCAAGAAGGGTATTGCCTGAGTTACAGAATCGGATTGATATAGGCGAGCCAGGTGCTTGGAAAGCTGCCCAAACTACCACGTATAATGTTGATGGGAGTAAAGTGGAGAAAATCTTGGGAGTGCGATATAGATCTCTGGGAGACTGCTTGAAAGATTCTTTTGAACAGCTACTAGCAGCTGAGAAACTAAATAGTCTTGTATAATGGGCACCTAAACTAAGCTATACCAGGGTCTGGCTCTTGACAGAAAAGCTGGACGCCTCTGCAATATTATCTAGAAGTCTATGAACCTTCAATGCATCTTCAAAACTAGCAACTGCAGTTGTCTTGTTTGCAAAGCCCTCGAATATCCTAGCAGTATTGGTGCCCGGTGGTGCCACATCCCTAGTATATTTAGGTTCATCTGGGTCATTGTAATCTATATCCTGTGCCTCCCCCTCTCGTCCAATAACCAAGCGAAGATGCTTTTTCTCCAGATCCATTTGCAGCATAGGTCCATCCATGGATAATTCAAACTCCCCTTTGGTACCGGAGATAAGCCATCGAAGACCCTTCCCGTCTACAGTCTTATCCACCTTTCGGAAGGCGACGTTGGCAATGGCGCCATTTTCGAGCTTGCCTTGGACAAAAAAGTGATCTGGAGCGGTCTTTTTTTACGTGCGGGATTAACAATCGTGCCAGAACTCGAGTCAATAGTTTTGACAGTGGGGTGCTGGATATCCAAGAGAGACTTGAGACTGGCAAAATCGCCTAGAACATAGGTGAAGGCATCCATGACTTGTCGCCTATTAGCTCTAAAGCTGCTAATTAACAGTTGCATGGCCAACTCACAGTGAGCAAACGCAATATGATACTCATTAGCGCCGCTATCATAATCCAGGTAAAAGTCTGCCTCTGCCATCCAGCTATCGATTGGGGCATAGTTGAAACAGCCCAAGGCTATGGTACTCGTCACTCGACCAACAACTCCGGCTTCGATGAGCTGTTTGACCTTCTTAATGATCGGATCAGCTCGAAGTTGCAGGCCAACAGCAGTCTTCACATTCTCCCTCTCAGCTAGCTAGACCATCTCCTCGGCCTGCACAGCACTGACCCCAAGCGGCCATTCGCAAAAGACCTGTTTCTTCGCTCTCGAATAGACAGTTCATAATGCTTCGAGACGTGAACCGAGATGACAACAAGGTCAACATCTGGGTCATTGGCAATATCCTCTGGATTTCCGTATGCTTTAGTGGAATGTGCTAACTTATGATACTTGATGGACTTCTCTGCGGCCTCGACAGACGAATTGCAGAGTGCAACGATTTCATAGTGTGGCGAAAGAATGAAAGTAGGCAGGAGAGCAGAGATACCCCAAGAACCTGGACCCAAGCCATTACCGCCCCCGGCAGTGAGTCCAATAAAACCAACACGAATAGTTGCCATGGTAGCTTGATGGAAGTCTGCCTGATTTAGGGCTTATTGAAGACAAACAAAATTGCAGCTCTAAGCTTTTATAAGTGTGTTACCAATGAGTGCCCTTGAATATTAAGTAGATACCAGATTAAACTTAGGCCAGTATATGATGTGGTACCTGTGAGTGTATTAATTTGTCGTAGTCACGATGAACGGAATTTGAGTCGATATTGAATGGCGCCTAAACATTAGCCGATCGTATTCTGTATGATTCATAATCATCTACGGAATTAGCCATCTATTTACCGGACTTACCTGTAAATCAGGCCCATAGAAGATTCATAGAACTCTAGTGTAAATTCGTATGTATTTATGTATTTACACAAGTGATATAATAATTATGTGAGCTGTGAATGGGCCGCATTTGCTGCTCGACAGGTCTTGCCACTAGGATGATTCAGGTCAAAATATGTCGACAAAAGCTGTTTTGGCGGCCGGAATTGGCCTATAGACTAGCATCTTGTGATCTCCAAACAGTGGAGACAGCATGAGAGCGGGCCAGAAGAAATAATGAAGTAAAGCTGATCCCCCAAGACCCTGTCCTCGCTAGCCTTTCATCTCTTACTGTGACCTTGGCTGGCATTGTTTAGTCCAGGTTGTTGACCTTGGCCCTGAATATGCTCATTGCGTCTAGTTGAACAGGAAACAAGATTACATCGTGGGCTCAATTACCCGAATTCCCCATTCCTTAGTTATATTACTATGCAAACAGTAGTTCTTTACATCCTGTCTATTTAGAAGCTTTCGACTAGTATATACTTATTGTTAGATCTTTCAAAAGAAAACCTTCAAAATAAAAATACTTTCTTATCGATATCAGACAACAATGTAGGTTCTTCAGTCTGAAGCTCAGACACTATCTTCTTAATAGCTGCAAGCATTGGAGGAGGGCCACAGAGTAAAAGACGGGAATCCTTGGATAGTTCGTAAATATACTCTTTGACAATACTTTTTGTCACGAACCCAGCACTGCCTGACCATTTGGAAGGGGGCTTTGCAAGAACGTAATGGATCCGAAGATTTTGGGGGTGTTGCGACGCCAGTAAATCCAATTCTTCTTTCAAAAGAATGTCTGATTCGGTATTGTTCGCATATATAAGAGAAACGAAAGTCTTATCCAAGGGGTTCGCACAAATGGCGCGGATCAGCTGGTACATGGGAGTGATACCGGTGCCACCAGCAATCATACCGATGTGAGTCGCATACCCATTAGTGTATCGCATAGCACCTTTAGGACCTCGAAATTCGACTTTGTCTCCGACTGCAAGGCTTTCAAGGTGTTTAGTCATGACACCAGTTGGATAGACTTTGACGAGAAGATCAACGCGGCCAAGGTCTTGATTATCCGAAGTGGGCGTATATGATCGAGAGACCATTTTGTCTCCAATTTGGGCTCGAATTGCAACGTGTTGCCCAATAGGTAAGCCCAATGGCCGCGATGCATCTGGGAGTCCAAAGACAAAGCGGTATACATTGGGCGAAACCTTGACCTTTTCTTGGAGTGTAAGCTTGCGCCACTTCTGGGGGTCAAGTTGACATCCCGACCCGGCAGCAACAGGCGCAGACATGAACGGAGTCGCTGGATTTTGAACCCTGTATGCTGGGTACGAAGTAAAGTCTTCCTGGAAATCCAGTTTCAAAGCACCCCATGACACTACTCCGAACGTCAACAGAGCTTGTACCACAGATGCCATGCCAAAGCCAACCCAAAATTGGCCACCAGATACCCGCAGGCTTTTGGAAGACGCCTCTGCAAAATGAGACAACAGCTTGCGGTGGTGGTAGCCTTGGTACGCTGTCCCGCCAAAAATCCCAAATATGAATATTTTAGAGAAGGCCCTTGCATACCATGATGCAGTGCCTTTTGATGGCTGAGATTTGGTATGAATGGTCGTCGTCTGGCTAACTGTTTCGAAGGTTGGCCGGTAAACTTCTACCGTAGCTGAACGATCCTGTTATCCAGCATGGTTAATAATGACAGATCTTTCCAAGGACATGTTGGATCATTATCAGACTTACAGATGCCTGAATCTCGCCAACTAGCAAATCCTCTAGCAACTCTCTCGCTTCTTCAGAATGACCCACATCTTCGAATACTTGTGTCGTGTCTTTGCCAGCTTCCGCAATAAGAATATCGATGCCACCTGGGTGATCCTCTAGGTAATTCGTAACATTGTAAACTGGGTCTTCTTGTCAGTATCAAAATTCTCAACAGAGGGAGCTCAACCGCGCCAACCTTTGTTATGAATCACCATCCATATGTCGTCCGTTTTGTTATGCTCCTGGACATCTCTGAGGGAGACAGTCTTCAGGCCCATGTTGCCAAAGGTGTTTGATACTTGAACTATAAGAGATAAAAGATAGTAGTGCTTGGAAGATGAGACCGTAAGAAGGAGACGTGGATAGTTGTATTTATCTCTATCTCCTTGCTCAACCTTCGCTAGAAAGAAGACGCATCGCGGAACCCATGTCGTGACAAGGATATTCCTAAGCTTTTATATAATAGATGTATGTCTACTCTTAGTAAAGCAATATACATAACCCATTCGGACAAGTAGTCCAGAACCACTCATTCATCTGACGTAAAACAAAGACTACTAATTCCAAATCGAACTACCTCGGCTTTTAGACAATATTGAACAAATTCTGCTCCAATTATATAGTATCATTATCAATCCAATAGCGAGTCAGTAGTATAGTAGTATTTAGTCAATTGACTAGTGATCGTTGATGATTTTACCTGGTGGGGGAGCGTTTTGCCTTTGACTTCCAATGTTAAACGTGTTGTGGGGGTGGGGCGAATGCATGTAAGTTTATGCGGGGTGCATGCGGGGTCACAACTTGAACATGAAGGTGGCGTACATGTACCATTCTCTCAAAGCTACGATGGAGTTTTGCACCAAATAATGAGATACTGACTCTGTGTTTGCTTCTCGGCTAGCTATAGAGGTACTTGATGTATCACATTTCCTAACCATTAAACAATGCCTAATATTATCTAGCTGCGGTTGATCCAGAGGTTTGGTAGATCTACCCCGCAATGCAGCAGTTAGACAGTCGGGTTTTGAAGCTATTTGCACTAATAATTCCAACCGGACTTGTGAATGTCTTATGTCGTAGAAGCGCTGAACCTCTCTGTGGATTGGTGTAAGAGGGGATACTGATGGTTGGCCGAGCCCATAAATAACAGCAATCCCTATCTACAACGACACCTTACTGACATAACGGAATGCTACCTAATCAAGTCGTTTGTCTGCTTTCGATCAAATCATGGCATCAAAGAATTTCTTTCTAGTAGGAGACGATGTCTCAACAGCACAATCCATATTAGTATCTCCAACCTACGGTCCAGATGAGCTTAAGCGTGCCGTCGCACGCCATTTCCATATTGTTCAACCAAGCGGTATGATTGATGCTATAATGTTTCCCTAGGTAGTGAGAACGATATCGCTGACATACTAACTCGAACAAGGAGTGTCTTTTTACGTCTCCTATAGCTCCATCAATACTGTCAGCGATATCTTAGACGCCACCGAGCCTATTGGCATCAGAATCGACAATCAGGCCGTTCGTGAGCCTGATGGCCCAGAAGGCCTCCCAATTGTGGGAAGCTTTTACGAAATTTTCCCAGATCATCTCGGAAACCATACTCGTCTGTTCCGTCAATATGGTGGGCTGATCAAGACAACGAACATGGGAAAGACGAATTACCTCACGGACGATCCTGGAATCGCCGCCGTCGCCCTCAATGAGTCCATATACTTTTCGAAAAAGATCAATGAAGATCATCCTCTTTGGGGAGTAAAAGACAATATCGCGACTTTTGTTGGAGATACTGAGACTGAGACCTGGCGCCTCAGCCATAAGTTTCTCCCAACATCAATGGGTCCCAAAGCTGTGAGACATTATGCCCCATTGATTCAGGAAACGGTTCGGCGCTCTTTCGCTGTGTTTGACGCCTTTGCTGAAAGTGGTCGGTCATGGAACGCCTACCAATACATGGTAAAGCTAGCCTCTGAGACCATTGGCAAGGTCATCTTGGGCCAGAACTTTGGTCACCTGGCCAATGCAGACGCGCCATTCCACCCGATCCCGCTGTCTATCCTCACCATGTTCCAATTGAACAAGAGGGTGGCATCTCGGGGTGCTTGGTATCAGAATCTCCCTTTTGGAGATCCTAAGAAGTTGCGAGAGACACATAAGCTCTGTTACGCGTTGATAGAGGGTATCGTTTCAGACATCGAAACGTCTGATACGGCGATGCCGAAGATGCCCATGGCAGAGGCCGCTTTGAAGGCATCTAACCTCGTCGAGTATCTGATCAAGGGCACGGACGAGAAGGGAGAGACATTCCCCCGCTCGATGATTGTACCCAACATTGTCATGCTGACTTCAGCTGGGTTTACAACCACCGCATCCCTTTTGTCTTGGCTCATCTACTCGGTTACCGAGCATCCCGGCAATCAAGAGCGCCTGCTCCAAGAGCTTGTAAACAATGGCATTAGCGAAACAACTGAATGGTCAGTCGATCTTGTTAGCAAGCTGTCATTCCTTGATAAATTCGTCAAGGAGACCCAGCGCCTCCACAACCCTGCCTTCCAGCCTGCGCGAACTGCCAAGACGGATGTCATTGTTCCCGGTGGATACCGCCTGAAGGCAGACAGCGTGGTTGTTTGTGCTCTCCACAGTCTTCACACAAATCCCAATCACTGGCACGACCCTTCTCAATTTGACCCGGATCGATGGGACACTGCCGAGGTAAAAGGTCGCCATCGTGCGATGTATCTTCCCTTTGCAACGGGTCCACGTGGCTGCATTGGTTTCAATTTTGCTCTTCTTGAAGCCAAGATTATTTTTAGCGAGTTGATCTACCGCTATGAATTTATTCGGGACGGGAGTGAGAATGTTCAATACGACCCAGAGTTTCAACTCGTTCGACCTTTGAATCTTTACGTGTCGGTCAGGCGAAGAGCAAATCTATCCACGAAATAGTAGAATATAGCATAGTGAAGTATTAAATTGCAAGTTTTTCTTGCCTTTCAGAACACCTTGTCATACGATACGTGATAAATGTTTTTGTGCTTCATTTAGAAGGTATACCAATATGCTTCATTGAATCCGTCACATGATGTCTGTCTGTCCATCTTTTTACCCTTCCGATAATAGCCACCAAGTGGCGCCTCTATACCTATTACGATAGAGCTAGAAAACGGTGTAAAATCCTACACCTAGTAGTAACTATTATACACAATTACGCAAGTACATTACTTTTATGCTTCTTTAGCCTTCGTGTAGTAAATACATGGGGCGAGAAAAAGGAATGGAACTCATAGTCTACAGTTCAGGTCCACTTTTCACATTTAGCTTCCCTATATAAAATTTCCACTACCCCAGATTCTGCTAACTCGACGTTTGCGCTCCCCATCATTGTCGAATCTGTCTATTTGTTGGCCGCGAATGTCGCGGTTATTGCGCCATGGAAGCTCCAGTCACCACGCGGTCGCAGAAAACTTCGACCAGAAATAAACAGGGGCGTTCTAGGCCACCTTTGTGTCCATATTGTCAGCGGTCCTTCTCACGTCTCGAGCACTTGCAGCGACACATCAGAAGCCGTAGGCCATTTTCACCTTTTTACTGATTAGAGTTAGAAAGTTAACCAATTGCAACCTGTAGATACTAATGATAAGCCCTTTTCGTGTGAAATATGCTCAAGATCATTTGGTAGAAAGTTGGTTTACTTATCAACACCTTGTATTTACCTTAGTACTAATCATTGTGTGACAGTGATCTGGTGATTCGTCATAAGAGGCTTGTGCACGCAACACAGTCTCATCAAGAACGGGAACAGTATGATACTAGAGGCGACCCGAGACATATCTCATCAGAAAATGCCCTGATCCCAGATGAGAACACAAGAACTTCTGCCAGTAACCAGCCCCTGGCCCCATGGACGAATGGAACCTACGCGACACCCAACAGCTCGCTAGAAGAAACTCTGAATGTAAGTGTAAATGTAAAACAGCTCAACTCTACTGCAAATGTTCTTTTCTTCTTAAGAAGTTCACCTCCCAATGCCATACAACAGGTGCTAAATAGTATTCTATCTAGGAGCCCGCATCTCTCCCATTGATGATCCAAGGTGGAGATCCAATGCAAGACTTTGCCACTTTCTTGGAAAGTATTGGACTGTCTGAACAATGGGAATCTGAAGGACTTCCGTCCATGGAACAATGGATTTTCCCAACCGATTCTGCGGTCGCTCCCCAAGCCGGGCTAAAGGATGCAGTGCCGAACGAGTTCGATTCAGAAGACCACTCTCTGCAAAGCCATACTGCCGAGGAAGCGCTATTCTCCAACTTTGGGTCTCGCCTACCTTCTCTGCAGCCTGACGGAAGTGAGGCCGAAAACCGGCTTCAGAGTTCAGCGGACACGATCAGACTTCACTCAATACACAACATAAGCGAGTCCCAGTATCGTTCCTTTTTGAACACTATTGACGGCTTTCACCAAGTCTTACCCAAGGGATTTACACCTCCGTCTAAATATGCCTTGTCTCGGTTCCTTCATGGTTTCATTGATGGTTTGAATGAGCATCTCCCGTTCATACATTCTCCGACTTTACACATAGAGAGCTGTAACCCGGCTCTTGTTCTGGCGATTGCTGCCTGTGGCTCGCAATACCGTTTCGAGACCAGTCAAGGCGTGCAATTGTTTTATGCAGCACGAGCCATTGTTTTGGAGACGATGAAACAAAAAGGCTTCGGAATACAAGCTGGCTATACAACAAATTCAGTACAGTGTAACTCTCCTGCGGCTGCTTTCTTGTCAAACTTTCCAGCTGGCCTTGCCGCTGAGGATAATTTTGACGAGACATTAGAAATAATCCAGACTCTTCTGTTGCTTATTATTTACGCAACTTGGGGAAACAACGAAAGAATAGCGCAAGAACTCGGATTCTTAGACAATACTCTCGTGTCCTTAGTTCGCGCGCACGGCCTCGTGGAACCAGCTCAGAGATTTGACCCGACGGATGGTTCAAATGACGTGAGTTGGCATACATGGGCCAGCAGGGAGCTCAATAGGCGCACCAAATTTGTTGCCTACTGTTTTCTTAACCTTCACTGCCTAATGTATAACACGCCTCCGTTACTCTTAAACGCTGATCTTGGGCTTGATATGCCTTGCCATTCCGCCCTCTGGTCGGCACAAAATGCGAATGAATGGCGAATGGCATACGAATCGGTGGGAAAGAAATCCAATGCCGCTTTCCAGAGGTCGTTTGCTTCCCTTTTTAGTAAGGGAGAAGTTTCGACTACTG